AGGTGTGCCCAAAAATGCAATCTGTCCAAATTCAATGTAAGTCTATAAATATTTATTGCATACTTTTCAAGAGTTTTCTTGCTTTATTTTGGTGAGTTTATATTTAAGTGTTTACTGGTTTAAAAAAAAAAAAATAGCATGTCCCTTTAACTGGTCACTCTAAGCATTACAAAAAAATATACATTTTTGCAGTTGCAAGACTGCCCCCCTCCTCCCCAGAAATGTGAATCAACAGCTGGGCTACCTGTGATAATTTTGTCCAAGATTTGTGTGTGGAGTGTGTGCTCCACATGTACAGCTTGGTTGGAGCTCGCTCTTCTCCCAGGAGAAAAAGCCAATATATAACAAAATGATATACAATTATTTTGATTTGTTACTAAAATGAGGCAAAAGTCAATTGACTCTGATAGTTATTGTAATTGATATATTACTTCTTTATAGATACATTTCATATATTAAGAGAGGTAACCTGATTTAAAAAATAATAATTACAGTAAGTATGGAGGCAAGCTTTTTTAACTGATCAAACATTTTCATTTTTAAAGGAACATTATAGTGTTAGAAACACAAAACTGTGTTTCAAACACTATAGTGTTCCTCTGCCCACACCCCTCTCCCCCAGAAAATAAAAGATAAAAAAAAAACTTCTCACTTTATTGATTCCAGCTCTCAGCCTTCTCCTATGACACACTGATGCGCATGCAAGGCCATTGACTTGGGGATTTTCAAGACCCTGAACAAAGCTACAAAGAATGAGCATGTCCGGCATTGTTTCACAGAATTAAACTATATGTGAATCGAAGAGGTGCCTCTAGTGGCTGTCTGAGAGACGGCCACTAGAGGGAGTTTTAACCATGCAATGTAAACATAGCAAGTTCTCTAACACTGCAATGTTTTACATTAGAGAGTTCAATGAGAGGAAATGGTCTGGGTGCTTATAGTGTCCCTTTAACTAACATAATGCTGCCATGGTCTTAATCAGGAAGAGAAAATGACAATTTTCCATTACTTCTAAAACAATAGCTGTATGTACTAATAATGCTACTATTGTTTTACTCATTAAATAATTTAAACAAAATTACAGCAAGCATGGAGTTAATTGTTTTTGCATTATTTTAAGATTATCTATATATGCTATACGATGCATTTAACCCCTTAAGGACCAAACTTCTGGAATAAAAGGGAATCATGACATGTCACACGTCATGTGTCCTTAAGGGGTTAAACTAAAAAAAAAAATCTAAAGACTAGAACTAATTTCTTATCCCCCCCCCCCTTTTTTAATTTTTGCAGATGATAACCTGGAATTTGTTGACAATGAGAGGAGGCCGCATTTCCCCCAGTTTTCATACTCTGCAAGTGGGAATTCTTAGTGTGTTCTACAACTTTCCTTTCCTTTTTTTTTTGTTTTTTGTTTTACTTTTTAATTTTTTTTTTCCTTTTTCCATTGCAACACAGACTTCATATTTGGGCACTAATGTCATCAGACTTTGTACAGGACCTTCTGTAGCCTATGAATTACAAACTATGTTTGTATGACCAGAAAGGAAGAGTTAAAGAATGTCTGTAAAATTTAAGTCTGTATGTAAAACAAGTTCTCACATTTCACGTTTGCAAAGAAAAACAAAAACAAAAAAACAAACAAAAAAAAAGTCTAGACCATCCTTAAAATTGTTACATGTATGTATCTCCCTACATACATTAATACATGCTGATACATTGGGATGGATGACTACACTCAGTCTGTTTCGAGAATGTGCTCACAAGCTGTCAAGCGAACAAATGAAGAACGAACGAATCATTAATGAAAATAAAGGTAAAGATTTTCAGCACCCTGGTCACTGCATCATCACCGACGTTTATTTATTTAATAGATTTAAATATTCAAACTGTGGGCAATTGGATGTAGTTAGGAAATATTAAAAGGTATAGTAGTGCAATAATGAACGTGTTTTGAGTACTTAAGTCACTTTTTATAACAGTGATGTGTCACTATATGGGAAAAAACAACAAAAGAAATAAAAGCATTAATAGCCTCAGTGAGGTAAATAAACAAACAAGAATTCTTATCTTGCTGTAGAAAGACAATACATATCAGATTAGACGGGTTTAGTAAAGTGAAATGCTTGTAGTCTGCTTGATGAAATTTGGGTTTGCTTACAAAACTGCCTCTAAATTAAGTATTCCTAATTTCAAATGACATTCTAAAAAGCCCAATATTTTCAAGCAAGTCCATATTCTATTAAAATAGCCAATAAACCAATGTAAACATAGCAAGTTCTCTAACACTGCAATGTTTTACATTAGAGTCTAAAACAACAAATCAGTAAACAAATAAATTAATAAAAATCCGTGAATCGGCATATAAAGTTTACCAGTGGTGAAACATAAATTCAGCTGTAGGCAGTTTTCACTATCTGATGGGAAAAATAAAATCAAAACGCAACACTACATCCATCTCTCAGTGAATAGTAGTATGCACTTTTATCATGCTTTTATTTTATTTTTATTTTTTTATTTTTTTTTGGTAGGGGGTCCTTTTACGTGTGTTTAGCATAAATTGTAGTTAATACTGTTTTTTTTTCCTTTTTTTAATTTTTTTTTTTTTTAATGGAACCCAGATGTTTAAAAATGCATATAAAATTTAAAAAGGCTCAGAAATTAGATTCAAAATGAAATAATTGACATGTGTTTTTTTTATTTATGTTACAAAGTTTAAATTGTAATTTACCGCAGCATTGTGTCTACAAACACTTTGAAAATGGGTAGAATAATGTATTGTAAGTTAAAGCTGCATTTCTGTCTGAAAAGATTTTATGCACTTGTTTTAATTTTGTTTTGTTTTTTGAAGACCCAGTAGTTTATTTTTTGTTTTGTTTTTTTACCCCACTTTCGGAATAGTTATATCTGTATCAATCAGGCACACATTGGAATGTACATATATTCCATTGATATTTGTAGAGAATCGAATGGCTTCTTCAATGGACCATTTTAATATCTTAGAATGTAGAGATAAAAAAAAAATGTTTGCAAGTTCTTGGCGGAAAACCAGAAAAAAAATATTTATTTTTTTTGTTATTTAAACATTGTATAAAAAACTGTAGACAGGGATGTTGCTTTAAGACTTAAATAGAATCTCTGAGCACAATCTATGAAAATTCAGTAAGTTTATTAGTCTGCATTTATTTCCTCGTGTAAGGTATAGTCCTATTATACAATTCTGTTTTGAATACAAACTGCTGAGAAGGAAATTTTATCTCGGGTTTGTGCATTTATTAATTAGAGAAATTTCATGAATATTTGGTAGCCTGTGTAATAGTGTTAAACATTTCAGTTCATTCACTACATTTTAAAAGGTGATGAACTAAAAACAGAATTGCAAAATGCAGCTTAAAGTAGCCAAGCTATACTCTTAGGTGAATTAAGAAAGTTTCCCAAATCGGTTATTTTAGCCTACGTTTCACGATGCGCTTTTCAATTAATATTTAGTGAATCAACCCTACTGTATTGTGTCATTTAAGTCACAAATCAAAAATCAAGATTTTTTTTTTTTAAATGCAATTGTTTTAGAATTGTAGTAGCCATTTTAATGTCCACAAACCTTGTACAATTTTTTTAGACTGTTTTAATTGTTAAAATGTTTCTTCTATGCTCACATTCTCAAAGATGGCGTCTGTATAAAGAAAATTTAAGTTGCATTAATTTTTTTTTTTATTGAGGTGGATATTTTATTTTAAATCATTCTGAATATATTCATTAAACAGTGAGCTGCCTTATGTAAAGAAAAAAAAAACTTGCAAAATTAAGGTTAAATTGGCAAAGAGAAAAAAATTAAATTCTGTTGGAGATATTTTTTCCCAATGTTAAGTGTGTTGGAGGTTTTTTTTTTTTAAATTTATTTATTTTATTTTTAACCCAACATTGTGGCTTAAAATATTTATTTGTTTAATTCTAAACTCACTGTTCAGTGAATAGAACAAAAAGCATTAGTTTATAACAGTAGTTTATTACAAAAGATTCCTTCCCATTTTGCTTTTGGGCATCTAAAAGCATTTTAAACGGATAAAAGAACCAGCAGAGACTTCTGCTTAGTTGAAATAATGTCCTTTTTGCTGACCAAATGAGTTAAATGGACATCATACCCACCCTTGGACCCAAGTGTGATTTAACTTAGTATGCATCCAGATGGTTCTGATTAATATGGAGTGAAACTGAAGCAATTAATACAATACAAATGGATACAATACAAATATAATAGATATCCTATTGTTAATATACCTAAGATGAAATATAACATAACGATGTTCCTGATCTAGTTAGAATGATTTTATATCAGGATGAATTACCTAGACATAATTTCATTTTCAGATATTTAAAAAAAATGATAATCTATGCCAGCTTCACCCCTTTCACTAGGTCTTTTTGCTGAATGATATATTAAAAGACTGATGTAGTTATCATAAGTCACACACGGGGGTTGGGTTTGTGCCCATGAAAATATGCAACATTGCATGCTCTAGTGCAATTGCACATGTACTGCAGATTTTCTTAAATATTTCCTTCATCACAATTTCCTTTTTTATAGAGGAAATAAGAGGCATATTGGACCAGGCTTACCCACATTGTGTACCATCATTTCACAAAGGGCTCTGTTTAGTCCTTAGACATATTATCTATCACTGCAAAAATAGATGTGTAGCTTTTTTGCTATAGAGCAAGATGGCATAATGTAATTAAGCATTTTACATGTAAACAAAATAGTTAAAAAAAAAATAAATAAAAAAAAAGTGTTTTACCAAATTATGAAGACCAATTAATGTAACGGCGTTGAAGTGAATATTGTTTGTTTTAATTTCTATTACATGTAATGTTCCCCATTTTGTATTTTTGTTTTTTTTATTATGTGTGAATTTATATATATATATATATATATATATATATATATATATATATATATATATATATATATATATATATATATATATAAATTCTTTCCTTTTTTTTTTTTTATGTCTATTCTAAACCTGTAAGTTTTTTATTTGTTTTCACATGAATGTACCTGGTTATCAATTTGTTTGTTTTTTCCCTCATCCTATTGTACAAATATGTATTGCACTTAGCTATTTTTTAAATTTTTTTAATTATTATTATTTTATTTTTATTTTTTTGTGCTTGGAGGGGAACACATTTTTAATTAAAATAAGAAAAAAGTATTAAAAAAATCCTGAAATTCCCAGTGAATTTAAACACAGGCAAAAGAGCCCTGTCCATTATTTTTTATGTTTCAGCAGTAGCATTTTTACTTCTCATGATGCAGTTTTCCCTCTTAATGCATACAATAAAAACTGCTTTACCCAAAGTGTCTGTTTCTTTACTGAGATGTTACTAAACAAGATGCTTGTTTTAAAATGAGCGTAAATGTCAATTAAAGGTTTTTCTATTTGGCAACTAGAAAAATGCATTTAAAATGTGTTTACTGCTGAAAAAAATGTTGTGATGATCAAAGCTTTTTTTTTTTTCTTTACCTTTATATGCCCTTAAAGTGACTGGTGTAAATTAGGCATTTGCTAGTCTATTCCACGTCTGCATTACCAATATAAACCTCAGTCATATTTTAACCGCTTGTGGACACAGCTTCAGAAGTTATAGACCAGCATGACAGAAAATTTCCGTCATGTGTTCTTATCGGATTAAAGCCAAATATAAAATGCTAGGAACACTGGGGAGGACAGTGTCAACATTCGCCAGTTAATAATAATAAGTTTCTGGCCCGGTTGATGTGGGGTACTTAAAAGGATCCTCTGAGCACAAAACCGTATTTAGCCTAATGAAACCATTTTGTGTATAGATCATGCCTCTGTGGTCTCACTGCTTAATTCTCTGCCATTTAGGAGTTAAAGGGATCCTTTATATTGGCCTTCCCGCCACAATCTTATTAGTGAGGTGCTGCCCTGTATGAGAACACTTCCCCAAGCAAGCCAAACCTTCTCCGTGACACCAACACGCTGATTTGACTAAATAAATAGTGTGTGGCAGGCAATCCAAAACATATTCCAAAATTTGGTGTCCCTGTAATAAGGAAATAAAAAATAAAGGTCTTATTTTAGCAATAAACCCAGGTGGTTTATCATCAAAGTGAAATGTTTTGACTCTATGTATCTTTCTCACGCCTTGAATGGAGTAATGTCCTGTAGCAGGGCCTGCTTTAGAGAGTTACCATAGCAACCACAGTGCATACACTGTGGTTGCTATGGCTGGAGAGCAGGAGGACTGCGTGTGGGAGGTAATTTCTTCTCTTAATGTCCAATTCTTTGTCATAGAATGTATGCCAAGAATTGTTTGATATGTGGGAAAGGTTTTTCTCTCACTCATTTATACATTGTTGGCAAAACTACTAGTACAATGTGTAGATAAAATGTTACTGTTTTCTGTGATATCATACAACCTCCATGCACAAAATGATTCAATTTTCAATCTTACGACTCAGAGTGTTTACTTTAGAGGTTCTTATCTCCTGCTCTGTTACTAGAACTTTATTCATACACAGGGGCTCATTTAGGCTCTAGCAGGCAAACAGAGCAGGACATAAATTAATCACCCTGTGCATGAAGGAAATGTACAAATTTAGATCTCTCCTTACAGGATGTAGGTAAGGAGGCTGTGTCGCATGCAGGGTGTAGGTATGGTTAGGGCCACAAAAACAGTGGTTTCGCTCCACAATTGCAGAGAATAGAGCAGTGACAAACCAGGTTCATGCTTTACCCATCGAAATCACTTCATTAAGCTAAAGGTTTGGTGTCTAGAGTGTCCCTTTAACGTGGGACGGTCCTCCCTTCGTATCAGAAAACTGACAAAATGTTGATCAAAACAAATGACCCCCCACTTCACTTTGTTAAATATTTTTCTTTATTTTACGATCATAATAAAACTAAATGTTGTAATATAATGTAGTGTTTTTTAAATTTATTTTTTATTTATTTTATTAAATCTGCATTCTATTTTAAAGTAATTCATTGGCTTGAGTGAGTCATTTGATGTGCTTAGCTCATAAATGGCTTTTATGGTTATGGTGCCTACACTGATCATTTTAAGTCGATTCCAGCCTAAAACTATACTTCAAAAGTGGAATGTGAAAGTGCTGTCTCAATACATAGTTATCCAAGAATGCAGTGAGCACAGCTGAATGGTTCCTTATAGAATAGGATAAAGAGAATTTTACTAAAAAACAAACAAAAAGGTCTGCTTGCATCCCTCCCCGACACACTGATGATAGTTTGAGGGAAGCATAGTAGCCTGGTCAACTACAACTGTAAAGGAACATCCTGTAAAAAAGGAAAACAAACTTCTAAATCCTATGGAATCCCTTGTAACCAAATCCCATTCCCTGCCTTGCAATATCCTGTGTATTCGGTGCATCAATATGTCAGCACTAAAGGGTCATGGGTAGATTCAGCATTGATAAATTTGTGCTTTAACCCAGCACTATTGGGTAGGGAATAAGAACACCCTAGAATGATGTTATAAGACTAAAGTACTTAGTCCTTGTGATTCTAATTAGCCTAACTGATTAAAAAGAACTTTACAAAAAAAAAACCAAGGGACAATCCTGTGACTTCAGCCAGTCGGCCACCGTTACGTGAATTTGCCATTTGCCTGGAGCACTGGCACCGTGCCCCCTTGCTATATTTAGGGTGCTTATCACTGTCTGGTGCTTCTGAACGAATTCAAGTTCTGTTGCTGAATTATCCACTCTGCACAAGGGTGCCCTTTGGATGAGGTATAAGTTGTGATTGAGTGACCTAATTTCTAGAAGTTATATTACAACTACCAGAAACGTAAGTTAAATCGTAATATACAGTAGTAGACTTGGGCATTCGTTTTTGGAAGAATCAAATTTCTAACAGAAATAAACCTGTTTGGACATTCCTCCCAAATTCTGAATGCCACAGTCGAAGAAGGATTTAATTAATTAGCTCATTCTTGTAAAATTGGTACTCCTATGTGGGTTTATCAATCTGTATTTAAAGGTACCACTACCAAATCAGACAGCTGCTGTGTTTAAATAGGTAAAAAGGATCATCACTAATATACTGGACCATACAGAGATAAATATAAGGCAGCACACCTGAAAAATAGGGCTCCCTCACCGACCCTATAAAGGAAATCAACACAGTAAAGGAGGAGACTATATTTAAAAGAAGAAAAACTACCACAATAAGAGGACATAGTCTTAAATTAGAGGGGCAAAGGTTTAAAAATATCAGGAAGTATTACTTTACTGAGAGGGTAGTAGATGCATGGAATAGCCTTCCAACTGGAGTGGTAGAGGTTAACACAGAAAGGGGTTTAAGCATGAGTGGGATAGGCATAAGGCCACGGACTAATGAAAGTATTTAGAAAATTGGGCAGACTAGATGGGCCGAATGGTTCTTATCTGACAGCAAATTATGGTGCAGTATATCCCAACAGGTACGAAGTACTATTTTGTAAGAGGTCTATATGGTCCTACTCACGTTTTCCAGAGCTATAAAACTAGCTCTAGTGTGGATGTCATGTAGTAGATGGATATCATGTTGGTATAAGGACCATATGAAATATAAAAGAAACAATAGTAGTGCTTATTGTATAAAAGCCAGATGTGAAATAATAATAAAATACTAGGTGGTTACTCACATTTTTTTTGAGCAGGCTGACTGCTCAATAAATAAAGCATGATTGGTATAATCCCCACTGAGGATTCTTTGGAGTAAACTTCTCACTGGAACAATAAAAACTCTGGTGCCAGGTAAAAATAAATAAAAGAGTACAATGGCTAACTCACAAGTTGAAAGTGGCCAAAATACCTTTAATAAAATACATCAATTAAAATAACACAATTAAAAATGCTTAAAAATTAGACTGGCAGAGCACTGTCGGAACATCATCGAAGGTTACCCTAACCACTCAGTCTCAAAGCACTTTATCAAATATGATAAAAACCCCAAACATCTAAAATGTCTTGGAATTCAAAAATGTAAAATACCGTGGAGGGGAGGTGATTTAAAAAAAAAAAAAAAACTTTTTGGTCAGAAAGAAATATATTGGGTGTTCTTGTTAAAAATGCTTGCCTCTGAAGGTTTAAACGTTGATTTTGATCTTTTTAACTTTTTATAAATTTGCATATTTTGTTTTGTTTATAATGTGATACAAGTATACTAATGTTATTTTATTTTACTTTATTCTTACCCTATATTTATATATGGTTTTAAAAAAGTATAGGCATTTATTTGTATACAATTTTACAATAAAAAACATCATGCAACACATCCTCCTTTTACCCCTATTTATTATTGCCTTTGCCTGCACATTTTTCTCTTTATTTCGAAATTTCTGTAATATTTTGTGTTTCTTTATATTATTTTTTTCAATTTCTTTTTACAGTTTGTATCTTTTATTTTATTTTCTGTTATTTTTTATTTATCATACTTTTCTGAAATTTTTCTGTGACATTTGCAATTTATTGTGACCTTTTTATATTTATTATAATTTTCTACTATCATATTTTAAAATGTATGCTAAATAAAACCATGGTCTAAGTAGTATTTGCACTTGCTACTTGTCACATATATGTTTTATTCATTCATTCCCTCCTTCCACTTTTTTTCATTGCCCTCCCTAATATGGCTGACACATGTTTCATTGCTCTCCCTAATATGGCTGAAACATGTTCTATAATAAAGTTATTCAAAAAAAAAAAAAAGTGGTCATGAGACCATGATGTAATTTTGGCGCCAAAATAAAGTAATCTGAGGTCTATATAAAGCCAGTGTTGTCAGGTACATGTTATTATCCACTTGAGAAAGCTCTAAGGGGCGAAACACGTTGTATTTTAATTGCTGTATTTTATTAAAGATATTTTGGCCACTTTCAACTTGTGAGTCAGCCATTTTAATCTTTTATGTATTTATTTATTTTGACCTTGCACCAGAATTTTTATTGTTCTAGTGAGAAGTTTACTCCAAAGAATTATTGGTGGGGATTATACCACTCAAGCTTTATTCATTGAGCAGTCTGCCTGCTCAATAAAATGTGAGTAACCACCTAGTATTTTATTATTTCACCTCTGGCTTTTATACAATAAGCACTTTTATTTTTTCATTTATATTTCATATGGTCCTTATACCAACAAGATATCCATCTACTACAAAACGTCACGTATCTATAAGTGGGGATTGTACCACTGTATGCCATCCACACTAGAGCTAGTCTTATAGCTGTGGAAAACGTGAGTAGGACCATATAGACCTCTTAAAAATAGTACTTCTTACCTGTTGGGATATACTACACCATAATTTGCTGTCTTTTTTTATTTTTGAGACTGATCCCATGCCCATTCCTTACTGGGGAATACTTCCCCTGACAAGATTGTGATTGTCTTCTTATACAGGGTTTCATTTGGACTTTTTGCTGTATTAATCAGGCATAGACTCTTTTGGACTCCTGATTATTATTCATTATCTATATTTCGAACTCTTTTTTTTTTTTCATCTTATATGTATTCTCTCTTATGTAGTGTCTTGTATAGTTTAAAACCAGTTTTTTTTCACCTGTGGCGCTGCCTCCCCCTCCACCTTTAGCGGCTTTGTTTAGGCAATAGCTCCCTAATTCGGTATTCTTGAATCTTGCAATCACAGATAACGGTACCAAATTAAGGACTTTTCTACTTTCTAAACCAAACAAAGATCTGCCTGAGTTTGCAGTATTCCATTCATACAAATGGAAATTCTATAAATTTATATGTGCCCGATATTGGGATTCAGCTGTGCATCTATAAAGGAATAAATAAACAGCACATAGTCAAGTACAGTATAATACAATAAAATCTGCGCTCGCAGAAATATTTAAAACATTTTTAGCCTCGGGGTGCCTCTCTGGCATAAGTCTGGGGACTATCACCTTCCTGACTTTCTCTCTACTGTATGTGAGGTCCAGCGTTGGAAAATAAATGGATGACTCTCTACAGAATTTCAAAGTGATTTATTGTGTGCAAATTGTCATACATATAACAAAAATTTAAAAAAAAAACAGCACTACCTCAGTGGACTTCCTTAGGGACATGATCAAATACAATAATAAATATACAATCAATGACTCAAAAGGTGAATATGGAGTCCCATGTATTCCTGACCCTGTAGTGTTTCTTTAAGACATAGTGGTTCTGGTGATTAGAGTGTCATACATTCAATCTATTGCTGCTAAATACCTTTCCTATTTCAACCCTTCACTGAGTTCTTAAACATACTATCTATATATCATGTCAATATTTTGCAGTAGACCAATTGGATAATCTTTGTTCCCTTTGTGTACTTCCAAATAGATTTTCCCAAATCATTTTCAAAATAAATTTATATTTTTCTTTGGATGAAGTAGTTCATCTGAATCTATTTTTTTTCCCACACCTGCTTAACACTGTATTCTCCATATCTACAAAGAATCAACTGTGTAAATCTTAAATCCTAAGATAACCGCCATATGGTGTCCTCAAAATACGTAAGCCTTATGTCTTTCTGGCTACAATCAATCCACTTACTACTAATGAGATTTCTTTGCCCAGTTTGGTAAGTAATCTCACCGCCAACATCAAAGTTTTGTTTTTATTAAACATGCTTATCCACTGCACTTTGTTGTCCCACCAACCGAGTTGTAATGCTACCATAGAAAGCTCCAGGAAAAGAAAGTTATGCTAAGTAAATAATAGTAAAAATGTTCTTCTTTGCCTGGGTTTATATGAGATTCATAAATGCAATGTTCCACTCTTCACATAGGCATCACAGTTTGCAGCAAAACAATTTGATGAGATTGTAATATGAATTAATGTTTATCATTGTGATCCTGTCAAACCAAATTTTTTTTTTTTTTTAAGGGAACCTGCCACCACTTACATTTCCTTCCGCGATCTCCTTACAAAGGTCGGTGTTACACTTCAATAACGCCCACTGTTGGTGCACCTTCACTCCTTACAGTCTCCCAGACAGCAACACGATGCTCTTCTTTGCATTTTACTGTGTTTTACTCCGTGAACTGACGGTGGAATTCCTCACGCTTTGCATGAGGATGCCTAGCGTCTTGCATAACCTACAGAGAAGCCAATCGCTGATGTCGCAGGAGACGACATTCGATCCAGCACCAACGAACCTCAGCGCTGGAATAAGGTAAGTGAATAAACCTTTGGGGGACAAGGCCGAGGGACACTATAGTGTTAGGAATACAGTTTTTGTTTTGGTGACTTTAGAGTCCCTTTAAGAAATGACCATGGTTCCTTCCCTGTATTTCCACGGCATTAGCAAAATATTAGGATAGTGAAAGAAACGAGAAACAATAAGACAGTGCAGTGCAAAGAAAAGTGAAGGGAAAACAAATGTAAATGTATAAAGGGGTAGGCAAGGACAGGACAAAGACAAAGGAGATCATAGGGCAGTGGTCTAAGAGAGGGTGTTTCTGAAATATTGAGTCAACTGCTGAAGAAATAGGAAAAAGTAAGATTTCATTGAAAGTAAAAATTTAAAGAGCGAAAAAAAAATATATAAAATATATTACAAGATGCCAAAATACCAGAGTATTGCAGTATGCAAAATATTTCATATATACATATACACATATTAAAACAGTAACTGCAATGGAAGATCAAATGTTTTAAGGAAAAATAAAAAATGATATTCTGAAGCTGATAAATGTGTATTGATGAAAGGATACACAGAACATGTGAGACTCATAAATAGAAAGAGAAAAAACACAAAACTGCAAGTGGAAAAGTTCTGTCGTTGGGAATCAGACTTGATAAGTAGGTAATTAGATGGGAGATATAAAGCTACTCCTAACCTCACCGCTACATGGCAGGAGGTTTTATTGAAGATGACAAGTCGATTTGGTGTTAATAGCGCTAATGCCAAATGAAAGAGACGTTTGCCGGTGAACCAGATGTTGCAAACAGTTAAGATAAAACCCATTAGGAGAAGAAAAAGAATATATGCAAAGATCATTAACTTTTATTATAATTATCGTTTTGGTTTTAAAAACAAACGATGGGATTGCTGCTGTGCGTAACTGCAATTTGTATTCATATTTGGTTAGGGTGAACAGAAAGATGTTGCAAACTTTACCAATAAAAACAATACGTAAAACTCAAGACACAAACACAGGAGTAAATACCATATTTCTGGGGTTAAAAGTGATAAGTTGCACCAGACAGAGTGTATATCAAGTATCTCTGTAAACATTTTCTTTTGCCTTCCACTTTCTATTCACCTATTCTAACCCTCTTACGCTGTTTTGCATTTACGTTTTTAAGTCACCACGTATGTGACTGGTTTTACGATACTACCTCCCTTCTTACAACAACCACTTGCTCTACAGAACTTATCTTTAGCTTGGTCTGGCTGTTAGGGTACCATAAGTGGCCATAGGTAATTTTCAGCTTCTCGTGTCATAATTTAGAGGTCCCGCGAGGCCAACTCCCATTCTCAACTACAGAGGTATTCGCCCCTCGGGCTAAATCATAGTTACTGTCTCCCATCTCTGCCCTCTTGGCAAAAGCAGCCAGGGCCTCACCTGTCACTGCCAACTTATTTTGAATCTCTTTAAACCTCACCGAGAGGCCAACACCCCACCACAATGGTCGGTGGCAAACATACCCAACGGGCCAAATCATAGGTAGAGCCTCTCTAGTTAGGTTCCCAAGTCACCAATTTAGCTTAATTGTTTCACTACTTGGCATAACATAGGTCAACCAGTATCTTGGTGTTATAGAGCAGGGCTTGACAAATTTGCTTGGAATCTAGGAGCCAGTTAGAAAGGTTAGGAGCCAGAGAAATCCACTCCAAAAATACAATTCTTAAAGGGACACTATAGTCACCAGAACCACTACAGCTTAATGCAGTTGTTCTGAAGTCTATATCCTGTCCCTGAACGCGTTTCAATGTAAACACCGACTTTCCAGAAAAAAAAGGCAGTGTTTACATTGCTGCCTGGTAACACCTCTAGCAACTGTCACTCAGACGGCCTCCAGAGGCGCTTTCTGGGTCAGTGCTTCACAATGCCGATGGTTAAGGATCTCTAACCATCCCCATTTAGTTGTTTGTTCTGTACTGGCAGCCCACTAAACCGTTTCTGTTCTGTGTACCAGAATTGCCAGGAATTCTACTTGAATTTAAAATTTTAAGTTCAAAATGAGTGAACTGGCACAAATTCTCCAATCCAGTTTGGCTGCTTTGACCTTAAATTTGAACTTTGCTTTGAATTCCCAGCAATTCTTCATTTAGTAAACCATGTATGCTGTTGACCTGAATGAATATATTAAAGGGACACTATGGTCACCAAAATGACTACCGCTTAGTAATGTTCAGCATCTACGTTAATGTTCTCTATAGGGATGCATTGATTCAATGCACCTCTAAATTGGTGCAGTGGCATTTTGATTTGCATGCGCAATAGTCTTCCAATGCTTTCCTATGGGGAAGTATTTGATTGGCTGAGATAGTCAAGATTGATAATCTCAGCCAAGGAGGTGGGGTCAGCCACAGCGTCATCAGCACAGTGTGGGGGGAAAAAAGTGAGTAAAAACACTCACAGACACACAAACACACAAGTAATTACTTTATTTAAATCCACCCAGGCTCCTTACTTTTGGAGAGCTGGGGTGGATAGGCTTTCCCTGAGGTCTAGTGGGGCTGCTGTCCTCTCCCTACGCAGCTCCTTCTCGCGCACTGTTTGGTGAGCCAGAGTGATGTCATAACCCGGCTCACGGCATCACTACAAGCTGTGCGAGGGAGCAGAGCAGGGAGGTTACAGCTCGCCGCGGCATTGTCATCCGTCCGCCTGCCTCCCTCTGCTCTCCATTACCCTGTTGCCCCCTCAGTCAGAGGTCTGCCTCCCTCAGCAATAAACAAACCGGCTGCCCCACCCCCTCTGTCAGCCGCCTGCCTCCCTCTCACAGCTCTCCATGAGCCGGCTGGCCGCCTCCCTCAAGCCTCCGTGAAACGACTGCCCGTCTCTGCTCTCAGGCAGCTAGTCACCTCAGGGGCTAAACAGGTTTACAAATACCAGGTGCCAGGACAAATTTCCTGGTTGCCATGGCTACCTGGGATTTGATGAGAATTTTTATTGAAAAATTTTGCAGAATTTTCAAATAATAAAGAACAATATATTGGGGAAGAGAAAGGAAGGGTAAAACTGGGAAGTGGGAAGAAAAAAGGGAGTATCCATCCATTATAACAGTAAGTATGTTAATGTACAAGGCACTTAAGTTGAATAACATTGCATTACAAGTTATGACCGGTTATATGTTTGTTTTTTTTACATCGGTTTCCCATTGATCCCAGTGATATTTTAATTGTGCAAATATGTGTGTGTTATTTCTATGTGATCGTTCGTATGATTTGTTTTATAGTGTTAGTGTCAGTACTTCCTTGATAGAGGGTGTATGTTTAGACTTCCAATATCTAGGTAGACATGTGGTGGCGGCTATCAGGATGTGGTCTGCTATAATCCTATCGAATCTACTGATGGATTCAGGGAATTTTTTAAATAGAGCTAGTTCAGATGTGAAACTGTCTATGTTACTGTTCACTTTAACAATTAAAGGACCACTATAAGCAACCAGACCACTTCAGCTTAATGAAGTGGTCTGGGTGCCTGGCCCAGCAAGGTTTAACCCTTTTTTTTTTTTTTATAAACATAGCAGTTTCAGAGAAACTGCTTTGTTTACACTGAGGGTTAAACCAGCCTCTAGAGGCGCTTGCGTGCTTCTCACTGTGAAAATCACAGTGAGAAGACGCCAGCGTCCATAGGAAAGCATGGTAAATGCTTTCCTATGAACTGGCTGAATGCACGCGGTTCGTGCTGCGCATGCGCATTCAGCCGATGACGTCGCTAGGAAGGAAGAGAGGAGGAGGAAAGCTCCCCGCCCGGCGCTGGAGAAAGGTAAGATTTTAACCCCTTTCTCTCTCCAGAGGCCGGCGGGTGGGGGCACCCTCAGGGCACTATAGTGCCAGGAAAACAAGTTTTCCTGGCACTATAGTGGTCTATTAAGTCATGTATCATTTTCCAGTATTTAGTTAGTCTTGGGAAATACCACCATATGTGGGCCATATTGCCCAATCCTCCGCAGTCTCTCCAACACCTATCGCTGTACCTATTATTCATATTGTGCGGTCTGGACGGAGCTAGATACCATGTATACAGAATTTTAAAATGATTTTTGTGATGATTGGAGCAGAAAGATAAACCCTTAAGTGCTGAAAAAAAAACTGAACCACTCTTCCAACTTATATTGGGCACCCAGCTCCGTCTCCCAAGATAACATGTTTCAGTTTGGTTGTTGGTTTATCGTTGTGTAACATATAGCAGATAGATATGCCTTTCCTATTTCGGTCATTTAAAAATAGCTTTTCTAATGGAGATATAGCTAGTGCTTAGTAATTTTTATCGAATTCTAGAATTTTGTATAGTTCTTTCAATTTCTCAATCACTAACTCACAATCAACCTTGCATTCGATCGGCAGACTATGCTTAAATTTTAGTCTTTCATAAGACAGAATAGAGTTTCAATGGAAGAAGTTGTCTATATGATGCAGTTGGTGTCCGTTAAGCAATGTTAAGTCTAAGGTTGGGATGTAATATTTTAAAGATTCAATTGGCATGGCTCTGTAAAGTTTTATCAAATGACAGTTGTTTTTGAATACTATATCCCAGGCCTTGAGTGTGGTCTTAGTAGTCAGAAATATTTTAGATACGCCAGGTCTCCTTACAGGGCTTAGCCAGGGTAGTTCCCTGAGTTGAAAGGGGAGAATGCTGGATTCCTCCATCTCGGCATATTTTGTTGGCTATTAAAGCTTACAACCACTGCAGCATTAGTAGCAAAATAGTATTTCCTGAAATTTGGGACACCAATGCCCCCATGTTTTTTTTTTTGGTGCTGCAGGGATGTAAGCTTAATTCTACTGAGTTTATTGTTCCAGATAAATGTAAGCATTATTGAATGTACTTTGTTAAAGAAGGACATTGGAACAGATAAAGGGATAGTTCTGAAATAATACAGTATTTTTGGTAGGATCGACATTTTTTTAGAGGCAATTCTTCCTAACCACGATAATTCCATACCACCCCATCTCTTCATCTCCCTTTGTAGGTCTGGCCATGCTCTCTTCAAGTTATGAATATGCATATTAGGTAAATGTTTGCATAAGTTAATAACCAAATATTTCAAATAATCCTTCCTCCAATCGAACGGATATGTTAGTTTTAATTCATCCATGTCAGACTTTTGCAAATGAAAAGGCAGGGCCTGGGTCTTAGAAATATTTAATTTATAATATGACACTTCTCCAAACTGGAGTAGAATAGTGTTGAGAGATTCCAGAGAGTCTTTTGTGTTTTTGAGTGCTAGTATGAAATCATCTGCAAATAGCCCTATTTTGTGAGTGGATCCCTTAATGTGAATACCTGCTATTTCTGAGGTCGTCCTAATCAATTCGGCCAGGGGTTCCATCACCAGAACAAAGAGAATTGGAGACAAGGGACAACCCTGACACGTCCCATTAGTTAGAGAAAACGTTCTGGATTGGAAACCCGAGGCCCATACGTGAGCTGTGGGTGCAGTATAGTGCCTTAATCGCAGTGATAAAAGATTGCGGAATATCAAATCTACTCAATGTCTTCCATAGATATCCCCAGTGTACCCTGTCGAACGCCTTCTCTGCATCCAATGAAAGGAGCAGAGGAGGAGTTTTTGTTGAATTGATATGCTGAATCAAGTTTATGAACCATCTCGTTCCGTCAGGTGCCTGCCTACCCTAGACGAATCCATCCTAGTCATTTGTAATCAGTAAGGGTATTAAACTAGTTAAGCGGTTCGCTAGTATCTTAGAATACATTTTTATGTTGTTATTGATAAGGGATATGGGCCTAAAATTAGAGCATCTATCAGGAGTTTTACCTGGTTTTGGCAAGGTGACAATCTGTGCGGACAAAGACTCTCCCAGCATCTTCCCCCCGGACTTAGAGTAGTTAAATAATTTGGACATATGGGGAATTAAAGTTTCTGCAAAGGTCTTATAATATAAAATAGTAAATCCATCAAGTCCAGGAGCCTTTCCTGACGGCATGAGCTTGATCGCCTCGGCTAGGTCTACTTCAGATATATCACACTCTAGTTTTTCCAAATTATCAGAAGATAGCAGAGGCAGCGAAATCCTGTCTAAAAAATTATTAATAGTCACCTTAGACGGCTGGGTGAGATTCAAATCAGATTCCAAATTGTAAAGTTCACTATAATATTTTGCAAATTGGTCACTAATCTTATTCGTGTGAAATATTTTTTGTCCCTGGTCATTTAGTACGAAATTTTAGATTGGGCATTTACCTGCGGGAGTTTGGACGCCAGGAGAGTTGTGGCCTTGTTACATTTTAAATAAAACAATTTCTTGAGGCATCTCACCATGAGAGTAGTTCTAACTAAAAGATTAAAAAAGCAAAACTCAAATAATAGGCTTAATAAATTGGTTGAGAATCAAATTACATACTCCTCCCCGGAAAAAAAATCGGGCAATTATTCAATGAATTTTACAATAAATTATATGATCTGGATACATCATCAGATAGTCAAGATATTAAAGAATATTTGGATAATACCGCTATTCCAAAAATCAACAATCAAGAGTTAGCCCAACTCAATTATGAGTTTACGATAAATGAGGTGGAAAGAGAGATCGATAGACTTGAATTAAATAAGACTCCAGGACCGCATGGATTTAGCAATCTCTTTTATAAAGTAATGAAAAAAGAAATATCTGCCCCCTTAACGGCTCTTTTTAATGAAATGGCCAAAAAAGCTAAAATGCCAAAGGAGTTGCTACAAGCCAGTATCCTGCCAATACTAAAACCAAATAAAGATCCAACAGACGTTAAGAACTATAGACCAATCTCTTTAATACAGATATGAAAATATATGCAGCAATATTAACAGGTAGATTAAAATCACTTGTCGAGAGAGTCGTTCATTCTGATCAGGTTGTTTTTTTGCCAGGCAGATCTTCTGATACTTGTACCAGAAGAATAGTGAACATTTTGGATGGTGCACTCCGTCGGGGGATTCCACTGCTGACCCTGTCGTTGGATGCTGAAAAGGCCTTTGACAGGGTCAGTTGGGGCTTCCTTGACGGGGTGCTGACTTCCTTTGGATTCACAGGCTGGATTCATGATGCCATTTTGGCACTTTACTCTGAACCAATAGCTAGAACTGTAGGAGTAAATATTCAATCAAACTGGTTTAGTCTACATAATGGCACACGCCATGGTTGTCCCCTATCCCCCCTTCTTTATATCTTAACTTTAGAACCCCTAGCAATTAATATTAGGAGTAATTTGAATATCAGAGGTTTTCTAATGAAGAATTCAAAAGGAAATATATCACTTTATGCCGATGATATATTATTAACACTTTCTTCTCCAGAATCCTCTCTTCCCCAAGTTGAATCTGCTATAAAAAGTTACTCTAAGGTATCTAATTATAAACTTAATATATCTAAATCAATTGCTGTAACTACTAATGTCGACATCCACAGTTTAAAAGATCTGCGAGATAATTATGATTTTGTATGGTCTAATAATGTTTTTAACTATCTGGGCGTGATAATTTCATCTCAAATTAACGATATTATGGAAATAAATGTATTGAATCTCCTAAAATATACAAATATAAAATTAAAAGAATGGCGCTCGACCGAATCCTCTTGGATCGGCAGGATTAACATAATTAATGCTTATGTTATGCCCAAATGGTTGTATCTATTTAGGATGATTACTCTTCAAATTCCAGATATCTGGTTAACCATGATACAATCTAGTTTTCAAAAATTTATTTGGAAAACGACAAGACCAAGAATAAGTTCTAAAGTTCTCTCTAGGAAACCCCAAAACGGAGGTGTAAACTACCCAAATATCAGAAATTGTTATTACGCCAACATTATTGGTCACATATATAAACTCCAGGTTGAATCGTTTAAAACAGACACATGGTACATAATTGAATCCGAGGCAGTTGGAAAAGATAGATTGGAAATGTATTTATGGCTTAAAAACAACAAAAAAACTATAGAATTTCTATGTAGTAAATCATTAATCTTGACACAAATTATCAGTGCTTGGGAGATGATAAAACAAAAAATCTCCGACAAAATAATTAAGTCATCCCATTTGATCGTTTTAGAAGATAATATCGAGGATATTTCCTTAAATAATTGGTCTAAATTTCAATGGACGATTAGGGATATCCTCCAAGATGACCAAATTTTACCTTTTGCTGATATTCAAGCCAAATTCCTTCTCCCTAACAAATAACTTTTCTCTTATTTAAGAATTAAAAATTTCTTGAATAAGTTCTTATTAAATACGTCACCAAAAATTGATATTCTTATTCAAACCTTCTTTAGATATACTAAGGTTAATAAAAGTCTTTCAAAAGCTACTAACTTGCTATCCATCCTTGATCAACAACCCTTAAAGATACTTGATAAATGGAAAAATATCCTAAATATTGACATAACTGAGCAGGAATGGTGTACGTCTTAAAAGATACCCGTAAATATATTAATTGTCAGAATTTACTTGAATGTCAATATAAGGTTATGTATAAATGGTATCTGACTCCATATAAATTAAGTAAGATGTATTCAGGTCAAATTGCTCACTGCTGGCGTTGTGGTTATCCAGAGGGAACACTTGTTCATATATGGTGGCATTGTAGTTTAGTTAAAAATCTTTGGGAGTGGTCTTTTGAAATACTTAAATGTTTATTTATATTACAATTAAAAAAGGCCCGGATACAGCACTGTTACATTTAAACTGGAAACTTTCTTCTAATTCTTCTAAATGCCTCGTAAACCATTGCTTCTTGGCAGTAAAAATAATAATAGCAAGACAATGGAAGTCGCATCTTCCTTTCTTGAAGAGTCAGCTTGTTAATCAAGTTCTATTCCAACTCCAAATGGAAAAAGATTTACCAGCAGGGACGTATTAGCCGCGAGGCAAACAAGGCATTTGCCTTGGGCGGCATTTTTCAGGGGGCGGCAAAAAACGCCGCCCCCCAAATGCCCAAGGCAAATGTCTTGTTAGCCTCGCGGCTAACTGACACTGACATCCCGGGCGGGCGGCTGGCGAGGGAGCTGAGCAGAGCGCTCAGGGGAAGAGCTCCCTCGGTGGCCGCCCGCCCGCCCGCCCTGCAGCCACTGGACCCCAGGGAGAGGAAGAACCCCCCCCAGCATTACCAAAGGTAAGGAGGCTGGGGGGGGGTTAAATAAAAAAATAAAAAAAAACACTAGTGAGTGTGTGTATGTTAGTGTGTGTGTGTGTATGTCTGTTAGTGTGTATGTTAGTGTGTGTATGTGGATGTCTGTTAGTGTGTGTATGTTAGTGTGTCTGTTAGTGTTAGTGTGTGTGTCTGTTAGTGTGTATGTTAATGTTAGTGTATGTATGTTAGTGTGTGTGTGTCTGTTAGTGTGGATGTCTGTTAGTGTGTGTGTGTGTATGTTAGTGTGTATGTTAGTGTTAGTGTGTGTATGTTAGTGTGTATGTTAATGTTAGTGTATGTATGTTAGTGTGTGTGTGTCTGTCTGTTAGTGTGTGTTTGCCTGTTAGTGAGTGTGTGTTTCTGTTAGCTAGTGAATGCGTATCTGTCAGTGAATGTGTGTGTGTGTGTGTGTATTTAGAAGGCGGAGCAGGGGGGGAGGTTGGGTGGCGGTTGCGCGGGTGGTGGTGGCGCGGGGGGGTGCCTGAGTTTTGTCCTGCCTAGGGCAGCACAAAACCAGGATACACCACTGTTTACCAGTCTCCTCTATACTTCTTATAAATAAACAAGACCAATACATTAATTGGATTCGAATTCTGGAAAATAAATGAATTATTTCTTTGTATTTTTTCTTTCCTTAGATTTTGATAGATTTCGATAGAAAATCTCACTACGGGGATATTTCTCTTTCCATGATGTTTAGACTGACCTTAGCCCATATTTATTCTTATTTTGACAACAGTTCTATAAGATAAATTATCCTTTTATTAAGATATCCTTAGCTGTTTAGCTCGGGAATTACCTTATATTTAAGATCAGAATAGTTGTAATAATGTAAATTATATGTTTGTTATTGTCACACTTGTCTTTGTCTTGTATGTAAATTTCACTATTTTGTCATATGTATGATAAAATGAAAAAAAAAATTTCAATAAAAAGAAAAAGAAAAAAAAAGTAGTTCTATACATATTTATTTTATGTGTTTTTGATTTGATCTCCCTTATCATTGCTGATAGGGAGGAAGATGGGCCAAATTTATTAGCCTGGTTTAAGTTGTACAGTTCTTTTTCCAAATTTCTTAAATTGCTATTATTGTTCTTCAAGTGAGATGCCCTAGAAATGAAACGACCCCTCATCACAGCCTTGTGCCCATTCCATGTCACCTCACCAGGAACCTCATGTGAAACGTTTTCCAAAAAATAGCCGTTTAGTACCCCTTCAGCGAGCAATCTATTTTCAGGATCGTCTAACAAATAATCACTCAGTCTCCACTGTCTGTTGGGTGAGGTAGAAACCGTTTCATCTATATGCAAAGTTATGGGAGCATGGTCAGACCAATTGATATCGAAAATATCAGATCTTGAGATGTGTGATATGAGATTGCCCTGTATCAGGAACCTGTTCAGCCTGGAATACATGTTCTTGGATACGGAGTAGTAAGTAAAGTCTCTCTCATTCTCATGCTATAATCTCCATGGATCACATAGTACGCATTCAACCATATATTTCGAGCATTTCACAGCTAGTCTGTCACAGTCTCTCGTATGGGGTGTGTCTAAATTTTCCCTTGCATTATCTAAGTCGCTGTCCATAAGGAAGTCCATTTCTCCACACATCCCTAAAGTCCCTTTCATGTTCTCAGTCACCAATTCCATTATTTTCCTAAAAAAAAGTTAGCTGACCTGTGTTGGGGAAATACACATTAACAATTGTATATAAAACATTGTTAACTTTACCAATCCACAGTATGTATCTCCCGTCATCATCCGTCAGTATCTTTTCTGTAGAGTTGGCCACCTTCCTACTAGAAAATATAGACGTACCTCTAGACTTAGATTTGTAAGTGCAATGAAATTGGGATGGGAATAACCGTGTCATTAATTTGTATTCTTTTCCTTCCTTAAGATGAGTTTCTTGAATACATACAATATCCAATTTGTTGGATTTTACTTCTTTGAACAATAATCGCCTCTTGTGAGCGGTGTTCAGGCCCCTCACATTAAATGACATGAGTTTAATGACCATGACTCAAATCAAAGTACACAGCCATTAAAAGGAGAGTGTATGGAAATGTGGGAGGCTGAAGGCCCACGTCCCAAGAGGAGAATTATGAGATCCAACAATCGTAACAACAAATATTGGTTTAAACAAGAGTGAGTTTGCTAAAGCATTTAAAGCAGAACCTGGTAACTTCTTAAATTGTTTACAGTGTATAAGAAGGTGGATGGAATAGAAAATAAAGAATGGGGGGTGATAAACTTGGGTAAATTCCCCTATACGGGGAGAGAAAATAACCGTATGTAAAAATAGGGCCATGAGGGAGAATAAATATTTCTCCATCTTAGGGTTGGTGGGAGGAAAAACTACCTGAGACCAGGGGGTCAATGTATGCTTCGATCAAAACTAAAATATTACAATTAAATTAAGAAAATCATTATATATATATATATATATATATATATATATATATATATATATATAAATTAATAATAAATAAAACATAATAATAAATAAAACATAATAAATAAAACAAGTTCTTCCAATCCTGGGATCTCTGCTGAATTAGATAAGCGTTAGGGCAGGATAAACAAAAGGAAAAAAAATTCCTGCAAACTGCAGTGGTACTGAGAAAATTCAAAAGAGAGTTTCCGGATGCATTAACCTATCCCAATGTTAGGATAAAAGTAATACCATTTTGCAGAAACATCAAAGTAATGTGACCAAGTTGGCACAGGGTAGAAAAGCAAAAAGTGAGGAAATTAGAAATATGAAAACAAATTCTTTAACAGTAGAGGAAGTACGTCCAGTACGTTATGAAAAGAAAATCTGGAAGCTTGTAAGCCAAGACCTGCAGTTATCAAGTATCATTTGCCTTGCTACCAGGAGTGGTAATCGTGAAATTTCGACCATCCATATTAAAAAGCACTTTTAAGGGAATCCCCATCTGTAGCGTATCCCTCTTTGCCTCAGTTCCGTTGTAATGTGCTGGAATTCCCTACGATGTCTCATTGTGTATGCTGAGAAGTCCTGAAAGATCTTAATGTTTTTGTATTCATCAGGAAGACCTGATGTGCGTATGGTACCCAAAAGTACTACTTTTATGTGGAAAAAGTGGAGTCTTGCTATGGTGTCCTTTGCTGCCGCTGCAAGTGCCTTGTTAGATTTAGGTAGTCTATGGATGCGGTCTACTAATTAATCCAAATTAGTAGCCTCTGGTAGAATTGTTTTGACCATGGTTTGGAAATAGTGCAATAATTCCAAAGTATCTACAGTGTCAGGGATCCCCCTGATTCTAACGTTGTTGCGCCTGCTCCTGTCCTCAGAATCTGCTATTCTTTTTGCCTGCTGGTTAAACTGTTTTTGAAGCTCCTTTACAGTTTTTACCAGTTCTAAATAAGATTCTTGTGCAGACATTCTATGTTCAACGTCCTCCGTGCATTGACCTATGTTCTCCAAAATCCCGTACATGTTAAAAACAAAAAATGACCTTAAAAAAAAGATTTTGATAAGTCCACACGCAGATCTTGTATTAGTTGAATAATCAAACCAGCCAATGGTGGTATATCCTCGGCCATTTCCAATGGCATATTAGGGTTGTAAGTCATGGCCTTGAATCCAGTATAAGTTGTCTTGGATGAAACAGTTGCCATCTTGGTTGTGACATTGGTGGTCTGTGCTGTATTGGTGGTCATCTTGGTTATGGCTGGAGCTGGGGCAGTGCTGTCATCCATCCTAGTGGTGGCAGTGTTGCTGACCTTATGTTAAAATGAAGTTTGGGAGACATAAAATTCTTCCTCCATTTCATGTTCAGCAGGGCTCTCTGCTGCCCCTTTAACACTAGATGTGTGAGGGGAACGAGTGGCAAAGGCCCTTCCAGTCAAGTCTGACTGCCGTGAGGCAGAGAACCACGACGGGGATCGGGACCTCCCGCCACCCACCCCCTCATCCTCAGCCCAGTCTCCTTTATAGGCTAGGGACCGGGCTGCTTTGCATGTAAGCCGCGAGCAGCTTTGATCCTCCTTTGCTGCGCTCGCGGGAGCTAAATACACATATGATTAGCTCGGAGCAATTGCCAGACCCTCCTGAGATCGCGGTAGTTGCGGCTGCGATCCCACCGCTCTCAGATCGCTGCGAGCAGGTCGCAGCCGCACATGAACGAGTATGCGAGAGGGAATGGGAGGAGGGTGACTGTTTCTCCGCTGCAACCAATTAAGATTTGTGGCGAAATAAGCCGCGGGACTACAGAATGGGACGGGGAATGTGAGTGGGCTGGCATGCCTTTACTCACTCCCACTGTAGTTTTATCGATCCTTTTTGCTGCAGGAACAGTTTTCTCCATGCTTCTTTGTTTCTGCATGTTGAGCAGGATTTCTTAAACAAATATATAATACATTAAAAAGTTGATTTTAGTTTGAAAAAAAATTAAACAAAGTCGTCCCCAAGTCTTAGGAGCTTCCCTAGGTGGTGGCCATTTAAGATGGTGGCCAAACTCCGCCCCCCTAACAAACCTCTTTCAGGTATGGTTATAAATGCTGATAAAACCTAAAGTATTGATTGTGTAATGTAGACACATATTAAAAGTGTTAAACTATTAACTTTTTAGTTAAGTCAGTCATATAAAATATATTGATTGTAAAAGAATGGTGCCGGAGGGTTATAATAGAATCAAACAAATATATTCAAGGCCAACAAAAACCAATGTCTGGAAATCTATTCATAAACAGGTGGCTTTATCAAAGTCTCTACAGATGTTTAAAACAGCAATTGAATGAACACTTGCAAAACATAAAATCAGGAATATAATTTTTAAATTTGTGGGTCGATCAGAGTATAACAGACTGCCATTCTGGGGTCAAGATAGATTTTTTTTATTTTATTTTTTTTAGGTTAGTTGCAAAATTGGAAGTGCGTCAATTTTTTTTTTTAAATCAACAAAAACAGATATAAGAGAGGCTCTTTTCAACTGTGGAAAAAAAAAAAAAAAACACCACAAAAGCCATTATCACCATTACTTCTGGTGTAACCTATCTCAAAGGTCAGCTAACTGGATATATTTTGGAATGCCATAATAAAACAGGTCAGAGCTGCTTTGTAAATACAGAATTTAATAGATAAAGACCATCTTAGATCTGACAACACAGGAGATGTAGGTATATAGAACATTCATTGGTACAGAACAATCTCAAAAAAAAAAAAATAAAAAAAAAAAAAATGGACAGACAAGGACAACAAGGGCTAGCTTTAGAACCCCTGCCTTTGAGCACAGCTTTCTAATAAACCAGTAGATTTTCTCAGGAGCATTTAAAATGCTGCATTAGAGGAATAAAAATAAATTTCTATTGCTCCAAGTTTCCCCAATCGCACACAAGATATAAATATAAATGTGTAAGAAACTTCTGGTGTAGCTCTGCCAACAGCTGCTAATGCCCTATTCCCTGTGAATTCATGCAGTATGTGACAGCAGAAGGAAAAAAAATAGGCTAGACAGATGCATGCAGGGGCATTAAAAGATTTCAATGAGGTCTATGACATTTTAGCTTTAGGACGGTTTATTAGAGAAGCAGGTGGGTCATTATCTTAAAACACATTAGGAGTTTTCGAGGATAGTGGCAAAGGATACAATTCCTTTGTAACCTTCTTATAAAAGCTTGTAAACCAAAAGTTTGCAAAAATCAGCCAGCTTGTTCTAGACTAAAATTAGATGTACATACACAGTCACAAGGCATGTTGAGCATTTGGAAAGCGACCGAACATTAGTTATTTAGGGTCTGAACTGCAGAATATTGGATTGAAATAAAGAGGGTTTTACAATAGTTGCAGTGAACTGCAAACCAAGAAATTTCTGATAAAATACTCAAGCTGTGACTGACGATTTAGATCGTACTTCCAGATCAGCTCAGAGTAACAGGAAACATCGAAACATAGAATGTGACGACAGATAAGAACCATTTGGCCCATCTAGTCTGCCCAATTTTCTAAATACTTTCATTAGTCCCTGGCCGTATCTTATGGTTAGGATAGCCTTATGCCTATCCCACGCATGCTTAAACTCCTTTACTGTGTTAACCTCTACCACTTCAGCTGGAAGGCTATTCCATGCATCCACTTCCCTCTCAGTAAAGTAATACTTCCTGATATTTTTAAACCTTTGTCCCTCTAATTTAAGACTATGTACTCTTGTTGTGGTTTGTTTTTCTTCTTTTAAATATAGTCTCCTCCTTTACAGTGTTGATTCCCTTTATGTATTTAAATGTTTCTATCATATCCCTCTGTCTCGTCTTTCCTCCAAGCTATACATGTTAAGATCCTTTAACCTTTGCTTGCAAGTTTTATGCTGCAATCCATGAACCAGTTTACTAGCCAATTCTGGTGGTAAGAAGATACTTCAGGGAAGCCAAGAATGGATTGTATTGAGACAAGCCCCCAACGGTGGTGGCTTAGCATACAAGAAAGCCTGCCAAGATAAGGCACTGAATGCGGGGGGTTTATAGAACATTCTTATGCGATGTTAGGATATGATTGTATGGGCTATGGTTGGGGAAAAAAAAAAATATAAAAAAAAAAATTCTGACGCATTCTGATGAACAAATTTGGTCCTGGCTCCTAGATTCTAGAGAAATTTGTCATGAAGCCAACAATTTTCTGAAAAGTTCTGGATTAAGTATGGCAAACACAGAATATAAAGTGGTACAGGAACAATATTGTATTTACGATTAAAAAAAAAATTAAAAAAGTGAGGAGAGGATTGAAAAATAAGTTAAGTTGTCATGATTATAAAAAACTGGAGTACAAGGATAATGAAAATATAAATGAGAGGATTTAAAAAAAAAAACCAAAAAAAAAAAAAAAACCAAAAAACGCATAGACAGCATACGTGTTTGTCCTTCAATACTAGGTAGGTCATTACAGGCATACCCCCCTTTTAAGTACACAATGGGACCAGAGCATGTATGTAAAACGAAAATGTACTTAAAGTGAAGCAATACCTTTTTTCACTTCCCAATGTATGTACTGCATTGCACTAGTCATTTACAGGCATAACTATACTGCAAATTTCCAGTGGGCTTTTATTCAGTTAAAACAACAGTTTAAAAAACAAAACAAAAAAAACTAACCTATTTCCAGATTGTACCATTTCTCTTTAATGTTTTACTCATCTGACAACCTTAAACTGGGAGGAAAGTAAAATAAACCTGCCCACTGGGCCATTTTCTGCCAATTTGTATTAGCAGCTTAGTTGCACTTTGCTTAGAAACAGATCTATCACTTTAAGCATTTATGGTTTAACTTTGAATCCTCAGAATTGTGGCTAATGCATCTAAGCTGCTAAGTCATAGTTATAGCAAATGGCAGGGTAAACCCTTTCACTGGATGGCACCGATTGCAGAATATGGACAATGTAGGGGCAGGAAAAAAAAATAAATACACACACCCCTAGGAGTAGGCATTATAAATTTGAGATGATTAACCTGTGCCATGTGAGAAGGTGTGAAAAGTTCTTGCCCCAATGACACTGAACTGAGCTGCTCATGGCGAGAATAGAACCTTCCATTTACTGTTCACTCGCGAACAGAGGAGGCACGGGTATGTAAAGCGGGGTATGCCTGTATATAGGAGTTTGTATATTAATGGAAAGAAAATGTGTAAATATATGCACAATAGTTTGGTCAAGTTTTGTATAGAACTGTTAATTGAATTCTAAACTGTAATCTTTACATAAAAAAATAAAATGCTCCTTAGCCAAGTTGTATTTATTACGAAGTTTATTTTATTACATATAAAAATTTTCATACAAATATAAAAAGATTTAGGCGTTAGAATATAAAAGTATTTACTACATGCATTAGAACATTCTTTACAATTCAAACACAGAACAGGAAGTGCAGAAGACCCGTTCCCCAGGGTCGCTGTCCCTGAAATTGGGAAACATTTTAATTAGTGTATCAAATCTGCTATTAACAGTATTGACTGCAGATATAGAATTAACATGATGCACAACATCTCATCATAGATCTCACCAAAAAAAAAAAAATAAAAAAAAAAAAAAAAGACACTCCACTGCACAAATATAACAAATACAAATAAGTCTTTGTTTAGTAGATATACAATAAACAAAGGCAGGCATGCATTTAGTTACACACTTTCTAATGGGGTAGATCTAAAAACAACTTGCAATAGCCTGCTAAAGTATTTTAGGGTTCCGGAGTATCCATTTAACCATACCTTTACTCTAGCACCAACAATTCCTCACTGCAGCTGGTACACCTATTTTAAAGTCATCGAGCTGGACAATTTTCAACCAGTCCTTCTCAGACAAGGACTGAACACAACACCAGGCCGTGAGGATTTCACAAACCACAAGGTGAGCAACTGCTCCGCTCACTGTTCATTTAGAAAATGCAGGCATAAGCGGTGTGCAATGTTCCAAATCCATTTAGCATTGCCATGGTTTGCATGACATCAAGACCTTTGAAAAATAAAAGGCTCTAAAGGAGAAAGTGGTGCTTCAGCTACTATAGAGATATGTTATAAGCCAAAATGTAACGACATCACCATTTCTCAGACATGACAGTGATTTACATTGTCAATGACTTCGACAAAAGAATCTAAATCTGAATTCCTGGGTCAAAAACTCTTTTGGTAAAAGGACATTAGAGTCCATTCAAGAACTTCAGCTTTAGCATAAAGTGCATCTCTGATTTAACTTACGAAACCAGCAATCTAAAGAGAAAAATTACCACTTTTATAAATAATCTTAGTAACTCACATCTGTCAAGCAGACAGCAGGGAGAGTTTCTTTTCTCACCCGCTTTGAACTGTAGTTCATAAAGTAAATGCTTCTCAGATAAGTCTGATGACTGTTCGCATATAGCCTTGCATGCACCATGTGTCATAATGCTTCTCTATAATGCTTCATCTGATTGGACACAAGTCATCAGTAATGATAACTTCAGAGGAAGTGGATTAAGCTGCAGAGAGGAGACCATCCCAGAACATGAATATAGGCAAGTTAACTATTGTTTAAATCCTTTCAATTTTGAAAGTGGGGCGGCAGTAATGAAAACATTACTTAGAAGGGAGTCAAAAAAGTAATTTGTGAATACTTACGCAACTCTACAGAAAGAGCATATTGCTGCCGAGCAGCAATTGCAAGACATGCAGCACCTTTTGCACACAGAACGCTCACATTGTGAACACGCTTCATTTTCCCCAACAGATCGGACACAGAAGGAACACGCTTTTGAGTTTCCCATATTCAGTGCTGTATGAGAAAAGAACGGCACCAGTTATAACACCACATCTCTGTAATACATTACTATGCACAGCTTCCATCATATCGTTATTGGGACAAGGCACGCACACAAACAAACATGCTAGGCACAACGTGGAAGTTGGGTTACAGTTCAGTGCGCAGGTGTCAGATATAAACCATATCTTAGTCACCTGGACTTATGGGAAACATAAGAAAAAAACCAAACAAAAAAAAAAAGCAAAGATTCTCAAAAAGGTAAATAAGATGTATTGTGTTCTCCCTTACCATTCTCAGATTGCCCAGACACATACATGCAGAGCTTGCCCCCAAAAGTGAATGGTTATGAATGATAACAGTGGATTAAACAAGTTCATAAAATGGTTAATTTTGTGTTTTTAAACTGTGCATAGACATGCTATAAAAACCAACAGACCACACAATTAGCAGTATTTAGGTTTGCCAATGATACATACATTTTGGTGCTTGTGTGTTTCTATGTAGTTTCCCATCTTGTCCAATAATGGTCTGTCCATTTAATAGCTCTGGCACTGTGCAGTGGTCTTCTTCCTTACCATTCTGATGCTCTGCATTTTGCAAGACTGACTTTGCTCCGCTGAACAGGAGCTTCTTGGTCTTTTCTAGAATTTAAATAAAGAAATATTAAACTAGTTATTCAGCATTAAACTACAAAGATTTTAGTCAATACAGAAAACCAAAACAAACTCACATAGGACAGATTGTACGTTTGGAACACACACACACACTACCAGGTCTTCGATCACGATTTGTAAGCTTAAATGCTTGCTTTGTTCTTAACCCGAGGAAACCACTTCATAGCAAAACAGAAAACCTGGTGCAATTTACTGCAGTATATCAAACGGCAATAGCAAGCAGAAATTACTGCATCCACTGCAGGTCTGACAGATATGGATAGTTTCTGAATATTCACCAGTTTCATGTTCAGTTATTAAAAAGGAGTTTATTTAAAACCATTTACATTCTAGAACAGAAGCACTTTGATTTAATATTCATTAGTTTGTGGACCTGGCACCTCAGTGTCTAATCTGCATCACCAATCCACATCATTCCTAAGGCAATCATACTACAATTATTTGAGCACTTGTACATTTGTATGATTTATAGTGCAGACATAATACATTATCGATCTCTTTAGTAAACTATGAATTTGCTTTTGCAAATTTAATGGATTGCATTTGGATGTGCATTCCTCTACATTCATGAACAACCACATGGTAACCAGATTGAGTGAATGACCGCTGCTTTTTTCAAATGGATAGCTGTGATAATTTGAAGAACAGAGAGGCTGAGTCCAAGTGCATCAAAATATTCATATTGCAAGAAACAAAATATATTTATATCTTCATGGTAAGAGAATGATTTTGAGATTGTTTTAAAGTTTGTGAAAAAAAAATAAATAAATAAAAAGTTATTTCCCTGGTCACCATCAATGTAATTGGATGAACCAAAGGGAGGAAATTCGGTCGCAGTCAAGCAGTTTGTAAACAACCGAATCAAAGTTATATGAAGATTTGGCAAAATGGCAGATAAACAGAAGCACAAATACACATAAAATAACCAAATTCCTTTTTCTGAATCACAAATGGGTTAACATCAGCTGAACTACAGCAACACATTAATGGCTTTCGGCATATAGTGAATAGACCGCTATATTTGTAGCTTTCTCTAAACCATGTACCCTTAGCCGACTCATTTACTATAGTGAGAATTCAGATTGAAATTCAAATTTAAGGCCAAAGTAGCCGAGAGGAAAGCATAGCAGACTCAGAGAAAGTTTCCATTTTAACCATTTGGCCTGAAATTTGATATGAATTCTCAGTAAATTTCCTGTAGCTATGCTAAATCCTTGCAATATTACAGTCCAATAGCAGGACTCCTGCATGACAGAACATGGAAATAATAATAATAAAGCTAAAGGGGAAGCCAGCAGGTTACTCCAGAGGGAGCAATAGAGGGAATGGCCTATAGCAGCCAGGCAGTGATAAAGTAAAGGAGTTATTGCAGTTTTGGCATTGGGGGTTCTGGGGGGGCCTTGGTTCTGGTCTGGATGGGGAGAAGGTCCTGGGGGGTCCTGGGACTTGTGGGGGTCTTGGTTCTGGGGGTCCTGGGACTTAGGAGTCCTGGGACTTGGGTCTGGGTTCTGAGGGGGCCTTGGTCCTGGGGACTTGGGAGGTCAGGGGGTCCTGGGATTCTGGGGTAAATTTTGGTTCTGGGGTATTCTGGGGGGGAGATCTTGGTTCTGGTGGGTCCTGTCTGGCTGCTGGGGGCTCAGCTTCAACAAGCTTTATTGACAGCGAACACTGAGCACAGCAGTACTCCCACCGAAGATCTCCTGCTTGTAGCGCTCCCCCAGCACGCTCTCACACATCTCCCTCTGGCCGACGTGGATCTTGAGCTGCTGCGGGGTGACACCATCGAACGGGTAGGAACGCTTGGGCATGGTGTGCGGGGGGGACAGGCAGCCGCTGCACCCGGAAACGCGAGCCACGCGCAGACTGAACGGAGCATGCGCACAGCGCCCGGCCACACTTTACACAGCGCGGCCACGGGGTCCAGCCAATCACAGGCCGCGGCTGGAGCCACTGGGTGCTGTGATTGGCTGGGAGTGTGAGAGGCGGGTAGAACTGACGGCTGGGTGGGCGTGGTCAGGAGTTCTCTATGTTGACTGTGTTACAATGTTTACCATCAGGCAGCATGGCTACAATGTATCTGTGGGACTGATGGCTGAACTGTGTGACTGATGGCTGAACTGTGTGACTGATGGCTGAACTGACCAATGGCTGAACTGTGTGACTGATGGCTGAACTGAGTGACTGATGGCTGAACTGTGTGACTGATGGCTGAACTGAGTGACTGATGGCTGAACTGAGTGATTGATGGCTGAACTGTGTGACCAATGGCTGAACTGAGTGACTGATGGCTGAACTGAGTGATGGCTGAACTGAGTGACCAATGGCTGAACTGAGTGACCAATGGCTGAACTGAGTGACTGATGGCTGAACTGTGTGATGGCTGAACTGAGTGACTAATGGCTGAACTGAGTGACTGATGGCTGAACTGAGTGATGGCTGAACTGAGTGACTAATGGCTGAACTGACCAATGGCTGAACTGAAGTGACTGATGGCTGAACTGTGTGACCAATGGCTGAACTGAGTGACTGATGGCTGAACTGAGTGACTAATGGCTGAACTGACCAATGGCTGAACTGACCAATGGCTGAACTGAAGTGACTGATGGCTGAACTGAGTGACCAATGGCTGAACTGAGTGACTGATGGCTGAACTGAGTGATGGCTGAACTGAGTGACTAATGGCTGAACTGAGTGACTAATGGCTGAACTGAGTGACTAATGGCTGAACTGACCAATGGCTGAACTGAAGTGACTGATGGCTGAACTGTGTGACCAATGGCTGAACTGAGTGACTGATGGCTGAACTGTGTGATGGCTGAACTGAGTGACCAATGGCTGAACTGAGTGACTGATGGCTGAACTGTGTGACTGATGGCTGAACTGAGTGACTGATGGCTGAACTGAGTGATTGATGGCTGAACTGTGTGACCAATGGCTGAACTGAGTGACTGATGGCTGAACTGTGTGATGGCTGAACTGAGTGACCAATGGCTGAACTGAGTGACCAATGGCTGAACTGAGTGACTGATGGCTGAACTGTGTGATGGCTGAACTGAGTGACTAATGGCTGAACTGAGTGACTGATGGCTGAACTGAGTGATGGCTGAACTGAGTGACTAATGGCTGAACTGACCAATGGCTGAACTGAAGTGACTGATGGCTGAACTGTGTGACCAATGGCTGAACTGAGTGACTGATGGCTGAACTGAGTGATGGCTGAACTGAGTGACTAATGGCTGAACTGACCAATGGCTGAACTGACCAATGGCTGAACTGAAGTGACTGATGGCTGAACTGAGTGACCAATGGCTGAACTGACCAATGGCTGAACTGACCAATGGCTGAACTGAAGTGACTGATGGCTGAACTGAGTGACCAATGGCTGAACTGAGTGACTGATGGCTGAACTGAGTGATGGCTGAACTGAGTGACTAATGGCTGAACTGACCAATGGCTGAACTGAAGTGACTGATGGCTGAACTGTGTGACCAATGGCTGAACTGAGTGACTGATGGCTGAACTGAGTGATGGCTGAACTGAAGTGATTGATGGCTGAACTAAGTGACCAATGGCCGAACTGAGTGGCTGATGGCTGAACTGTGTGACCAATGGCTGAACTGAGTGACTGATGGCTGAACTGTGTGACTGATGGCTGAACTAAGTGACCAATGGCTGAACTGAGTGACTGATGGCTGAACGGACTGATGGCTGAACTGTGTGACTGATGGCTGAACTAAGTGACTGATGGTTGAACTAAGTGACTGATGGCTGAACTTACTGATGACTGAGCTTTGTGAGTGATGGCTGAGCTTTGTGAGTGATGGCTGAAAGGTGTGGCCGATGGCTGAGCAGTGTAACTGATGTCTGAACCATGTGACTGATGGCTGAGCTGTGTGATGACTGAGCTGTGTTTGTGTCAGCTATGTGGGTAATGGCTCAGCTGTGTTATCCATGCCTAGAGGAGTTGTGTAATCGATAGCTTTAACTGATTTCTCACGGACCGCCAAAATTCTATAAAATCTTTATGAAATATTTCCTTGAAATTCCAACCCAGTCAAAAGATGAACTGGAGTACATTGTCTCAGTATTTTTCCTACGGCTGACACTTCTAGACACAAGGTGGTGTTAGTCTTCAGATGGTGACGGTTCCTCTTTAGGGTAGTTTTTGGTGGTTATCCTGGGGTTCAATGCCGGATTAATGTTTGTTTCATTTGATCTTTTAAATAAAGTTACAGTGTTTATTATAGTAGTGATTGGTTACAATGCTAAGTTTTAAAAATATAAATATGGCTTTAAATAGAGTCTTACTTCAAGTTAAGTGTCTCTGCGTGTTTATTTATTCAGTTTGTTTGTTTAGTCTCTGTGCCATCCACTTAGATTTTTTTGGCAGTCTATTTTGGAACCGACAACAAATGTGACTCTTCTGGCTCCCAGTTACTGCTTCCTCAACTGCATTAATAATGTGGCCTTTACATTTCCGCATTTCATCCACTGATTGGCTGAGAGTGCTGAGGGGCGGGTTAGGTGGCTCTCTTCATATCTTAGATACAGACTGCACATCTCGCAGTTTCCCATACCTTCTGGATATATTGTATATTTATACTGCATTCCTACATTCTAAACAGCTCTCTTACCCAATCTTTCCTCGAAATTTGCTTCTATTCATATTAAAGGGACACTTCAAGCTGGGAGTTACCCCTAGATTTTTTTGAAGCATCATTTTGACAATGTCTTTAAAGTAATAAATACATTAAAATGAATAAGAATAATTGTAATTGATGGATGAGATGATGGCTTCATTGCAGTTGGCTGGGTGTTCATGCTGATTGCAGCTAGTATTGCAACCTAGGAACATTATTGTTTCCCTATTGTTACTGTAATCTAGAAAAGTGACAGCTTGTTCTCTCCAGGTCTCATTAGTCATGAGATATCAGGTCTTGTATCCAGGAGACAGCACCAACAAACTCCTACGGAAGTGCTGGACTGTGGTTCCTTTTCCAGACATAGACAGCTGAACTGTAAGATTTGTTTTTACACGCTTACTTTATTTTACTTTTCAACCGTTACTTTAATTATCTTATACTTTCTTTTACTTGTGTATTTCTTACAGTCTCACCCACAGGGTGACCAACAATATTGTGTAATTACACTTTGACAGTTTAATGAATAACTCTAGCATAGATATATGATACATAGCTGCAGACTGTCTCAAATCTTTATCCACAGTCCCTAGTTTCCTCCGCATGCCTTTGTTGCCTCCGCATTCCTGACATTGATTCCCAGATTTAGAAATCGGTTGTTAATTTTATGTTTCCTGTATTGGTGATTAAAAAATATATATTTTCACTGTGATCAATAGTACGCTGTCGTGTGATAAAAATTACGCTAATTCAATAATAATGATGGAAACAATTAAACTCCATGCACTATAAACACCTCAGCAAGGTTTGTTCATTTGAAATACAAACTAGTGGCTGTATTATTATTATTTTTTATATAAATATAGTTGTGGAATAGTAAAACAATGTTAATATCTCTCATAATCATACCCTAAATGTATTTCTTCTGTAGTAACTTACACCATTTTGCAATGGTTATTCACTGAAGTGAGAATTTAAAGTGAATATCAAATTTAAGGTCTAAATAGTCAAACCGGAAAAAAAGTCAGTTATGCTTTCAGTTTGGCTACTCTGGCCTTAACTATGAAATTCACCTTGAGTTTACACATTAGTCAATATTCCTGTAAGACTGTTGCTTCGGTTACAAAATCAATAATTGTACGTCTTTCAATAACAGGTTTTACAATCTGTGCTTCCTAATACTGCATTTTATCGCTCATGTTATTTTTTTTTTCAGAATTGGAAGATGGATTCAGAGCATAAAACAATTCAGAACAGAAATCAGAAATCGTTGCAAGGGTAAATAGCCTCTCTTAACGGGAACTGTTTATAAATATTTTTCTTTAATGCGATCATAGTATTTGATCTGTGATAAATGACGGAAGTTTTATTTTCATTGAAAGAATTACAGGAGGTGGCAAAAACGTAAAGTCTTCAAACAAACTTCAAGTGAGGTTCATGGAGTATGATCCTCAAATAAACTGCAAGATTCCCCTGGATATATATGGGAGACCTGAAACCTATCGCTGGAAGACAGAATATGATGAGGCATTTAACATGGATTCCGAGGTTTAGTAAATTTACTTGTTCATGATGAGGCTAATGCACTCGAGAAAAAAAAAGCATTCGACTTGACGTTTATATCTTAAATCTACAGGGCAAGTGGAAGTGACAAATCTGGGGATGTGGGAAGTACGATGGATGAATAAAGGTAGGTTAGGACTTGGAAATATTGGGGTACAATGGATCTGTGCTATCAAGGATATGAAATGACCCCAACTTGCAGTACGAAAGCCTCATATCTTACTATTAGAAAGGTTAAGGAAAGAATAGGACTGTGTTGTATTACTGGTCCTTAGGATGACCTGGCCTAAAGGGACACTCCACTGCCCAAATACAAAATAAATACAAATCTATATTTAGTAGATATGCACCAAATGAAAACTTATATGTATTTAATTATAATTTTTTATTGGGGTTTTATCTAAAACAGCTTCTAAAACCTACAGATCTCGTCTGCTGCCTTTGCAAGCCCCACACTTCGAACCCCTGCCCAGACTTTCTGTGACTGTCCAATCACAGACTTCCCAATGCAGCTCAGTGTGAAGTCTTTACAAGTCAGGTGCTCTGGGCAATTGCTGCTTTTAGAGTTTATCTCCACTAAGCTAATCAAACCAGGAAGTAACAGAAGCGGTTCTATGATTGATAGCCAAGTGGGTGTAGCCAGATTAATTTATAAAAGTCTAAATTTCTATTTGCATCTGCCCTTTTTGCAAAATGAAAAAAAGGACACACTCTTCACACGTAAAGCTTTTCAGCAACCAAAAGTGCTTTAGACGTGTGGAGTGTCCCTTTAATGCAGACCGTATTGCAAGGTATAAAATAGTTAGCCTACTGATAGTATGAGAGAAAATGTGGTGTAATTGTGGATGGAAGTTATAGAAGACCTGCGTGGGCAAATTCTACCTCTCCCTTCTATGGGTTAAATTTCCATGGGAGGATCCAGGCAGGTATTGCACTGAATAGAGGAAGTTCTACAGGTGAAGCCAGTTGCCAATCACTTGCCTCATTATCAGTGTATGTAAGAGCAGCCTGAGTCAGTTCACTCAGAGTCTGATATTCCAGCCGAGAGAGCTGGACTGATACAAACTGAGCTTTATCTCTTGCTATGATACTTTTGTGTTTGTTGGTAAGTGGAAAAGCCACCCAACAATAGTTAGATAATTCTGTGTATAGTTAGCACTCAAGAAAGGGCAATGATTTATTTTGTTTATGTTTTATATCCACTTTTTGAATGTGTTAAAGAAAATAAAATGCTTAAAGCCAGAGATGGAGTGTGTCCTGTGTTGCAACTTGCCATCAAAGTCCGTGGTTTCAAAAGATCCCAGATAAACTAACCTTTAAATACACAGGAAATATTTGTCACAATAGGCAGAACGCTCCATAATAAAACGAGGGCTGTTAAATTGGATAAATGTATAACTTGGTGAGGTGAACCAGCAATCAGAATGAATGGCAAACCCTTTTGCACTTAGTGCTGCAATGTAAAACATCGAAGTTCCAGAGAATGTTTAGATTGCAGCTCTAAGGCTGCCCTCAGTGGCTGTTTACCACATTGAATAATGCTTTCCTATGGGGAGGTCTAATGCGCATGCGTGGCCGTGGGAGTAGCGTGGGCAGAGAATGACCCAGCGCCGAGGGACATTGGCGCTGGATTCAGGATAGCCCTTTGGGAGTGGGGGGGGGGTGTGAGGGAGGGAGGGACCTATTAACCCTTAAGTGCCAGGAAAATGCCTTTTTTTTCCTGGCACTATAGGATCCTTTTAACAGAGAATATAAATCAAGGAAAGCTTTAGAAGGTCTGAGAGCAACAGAAGGCTTCACTTGACCCGGTAGTATGTCCCTCTGGTTAGTCGGGGGTCGATTTGATCTTGGCTCATATTTATTGATTTTTTTTTACTTTTCTCCATCTCATTGTTTCCGCCGTCCCTATTGTTATTTTATTTTAAAGATCATTGTGTATTCATGAAAGAATAAAGTAAGATGGGCTAAAGGAATAATCAGTGTGATGGGGGTAATAGTAATGTGTGCAGGAAATAAATGGATGGGGAGGCAAATAACAGGAAAAAAAATCATTAGTATAAAAAAAAGGAAGCAACGGGAGAAACAATCACAGAGAAACCTCAAAACAAAGAACATTGATACGACTAGGAAAATAATGAAAGTGAGAAAAATCAATAGTAACTTACTGATAGACTGATAGAGAGAAGGGAGAGGAAATAATGTGTGCGGACCCCCTCCTCCCTGGAAAAGTGGTCCGTACAATGGAAAAGAAGAGGAGGGAGCAGGGGAGATAGGTGGAGATATTAAGAGGGGGCAGTGGAAGAGAGCATTAAAGAAGTAGAAACCAATAAAAACAAGGAAAGAAATAGGTGGGGGAATTATATTTCTGGTCCAAATTTTCAGAAGTTCAAAATTGATAATGCTAATAAATTGTCAATTACGTCGATTTACGTTTGGTGATTGTAAAACTGGATTGCTCGGCTTCTTGTTTGTATAACTTGGAAACAAATCTATCAGATATTCAGAACTTAAGCTTCCAAATTCAAGTAAGAAAATCTTTGCTCCACGTGGCCTGTGAGAAAAAGTTGTTTAAAAAATCTTATTTTTAATGAAATGGGTATTGAAAGATGATCATTTTCTAATGATTGTTAAATTATCATGTAACAACATGTAAAACAGCAAAACAAAACTAAAATGTATTACTTTACTTTCCGCAGGTCCACCTTACTTTCCGCAGGTCCAGGTGATATGTTTTGGAAGCAATCATTGAACTCACAAGATCTGTAATTTGGCTACATATCTTCTTCCCTATTCCTTGGCCGGTCCTATACTGAAACCATGTAAGCAGAAATCACAAAAATGTCTAATACATCTTGAAAAGGACAATGTTTTCCGTATTTCAGTAAATTTCCAAATCAAATTTCGAGCTTGTCACCATATTTGGCCAAGACTTTTGTGAAACCTTAATTAATGAAAATGCGTGTGTCTCAAGCCTCTTACGCACTTTACCATTCACTAAATGAATAGTTAGAAGATAAATCCAGTATAATTCTTCTTAGCTAATAAGACTCTGTTAGAAAGTTCTTTCTTTCTTCACTAGTTGCCAGCAATCGCAAATGTATGCGATTTAACCTCAACATATGAGGAAAGGGATTTAGGGGTGATTATTTCTGATGACTTAAAGGTTGGCAGACAATGTAATAGAGCAGCAGGAAATGCTAGCAGAATGCTTGGTTGTATAGGGAGAGGTATTAGCAGTGGAAAGAGGGAAGTGCTCATGCCATTGTACAGAACACTGGTGAGACCTCACTTGGAGTATTGTACACAGTACTGGAGACCGTATCTTCAGAAGGATATTGATACCTTAGAGAGGGTTCAGAGAAGGGCTACTAAACTGGTTCATGAATTGCGGGATAAAACTTACCAGGAAAGGTTAAAGGATCTTAACATGTATAGCTTGGAGGAAAGACGAGACAGGGGGATTATGATAGAAACATTTAAATATATAAAGGGAATCAACACAGTAAAGGAGGAGACTATATTTAAAAGAAGAAAAACTACCACAACAAGAGGACATAGTCTTAAATTAGAGGGACAAAGGTTTAAAAATAATATCAGGAAGTATTACTTTACTGAGAGGGTAGTGGATGCATGGAATAGCCTTCCAGCTGAAGTGGTAGAGGTTAACACAGTAAAGGAGTTTAAGCATGCATGGGATAGGCATAAGGCTATCCTAACTATAAGATAAGGCTAGGGACTAATGAAAGTATTTAGAAAATTGGGCAGACTAGATGGGCCGAATGGTTCTTATCTGCCATCACATTCTATGTTTCTATGTTTCTATGTATACAAATTCCTCCCAAGTTTAGCTTACTGACAGTACCAATGGACTTTTAGGCCTCATGGTTTAGTGTCCTCTGGTTTTAAACAAATATAGACTTTCCAGGCATTTTCCTTAGTAAAGTAAGTTCTATCAACTCATTAATGGTTTACCTTAGAATCTCTTTTCTGCTTTTGGTTGGCAGAGAATCGTGACTAACAAAGTCCCTACTCACAGGTTTTTGAGTGCCAAAGGCTACTTACTGCACTATAACATTAATCCCAAACAAAGACTGTATTAAAACATGTCCCATGCAATGAATTGAATGTCAAAAAAATACCCGGGAATTAGCTTTAATCAGGCTAATCTAAGCAAATGTTTCCGTAACGGATTTTTTTTTTTCCCCCCAAATGCGCAAAAGGTAAACAGAGACGTTTTTATTTCAAACCGGATTTATTTTGTACCATTCTAGATTGCAATTTCCTGTAACACAAACAGTAACAAAGTGAAAAATCATTCACACAGTAAAATTTGTATATTGTGTAGTACACCCAACTTTCTAACGCCTTGTTGACGATAGCAGAAAAGAGGACTTTGTTCGATGTTCTAGACTTTAAAATAGTTCGATCATAGATTCTCTGGATTTTCCGACTCCAACCCATTTAACTGCACAAAGAAACAAAGCATTAGTTATTAATAGATTATATATATATTAAGAGAGAGAGAGTATTGACTGGAAATAGAAAGGTTTCATCCATTAATACAAGCCAGACACAACATGTCTACCGTTTGGTATGAAAACATTGTTAACGTTACTGTTGCTTATAATATATTAAAGTACTTATTAACCCATGTCAGGCATACCTGGGACACCAATGTGGTTCTCCACAAATCTGATGTAATTCTGGGCTTTTGTTGGGAGCTCTTCCCATTTTCTGGCACCGGTTGTATCACTTTTCCAGCCCGGCATAACCTCATATTCCACTTCTACTTTTTGTAGAATTTCTTGGTTTGCTGTGAAACAGACCATTAGAAAGCAAAGATAAAAAATATATAAAAAATAATGATAGTAAAGATCTTCATGTTTGCTAGATATTTTTACCAGACTATCGTTTCTGGTCACATATGAAGGTGTAAGGTTTTATGTCATTTTAGCTTTCTTTAATAAATGTTGATTAATTTTGTTTCACCCCTTGATCCCTTTCTATTAATTATTCCCATTTAGAGGTTATCTCCTGTTCTATTGCTCTAGGCACGATGCATATCTGTAAAGAGAGAGTGTTAAACTATTTAACAATAGAACGTTGGCTTCCATTTTCTTTATCCCATCATTCCGTACACTGTAGTGGATAGTGGCAGTGATGCGCCAGAACCCCTATTAGCCAAAGGACCCCATAAACCAAAGGATGTTCAGCAAACTATTCCACCTGCATGTACCAAGAGAAGTATATTATTTCCTCTCTTTTTGTGGCCCTCTACCAGTATTTTGCCATTTTGACATCACGTCTGTCAGCAGAAATCACTCCTAAAATGATATAAAAACTGCAATTCTAATTTTGACCAAACCTGGAAAATACGGGATTCTCTTTCCATTAAGTCTGTATGCAACACCCACTTTAATTTCATCTAGGACGTCCAAAATATCCAGTTTTGTTAACGCCAATCTAGAAAGCAAATAATGTGAATTACTACAAAATGTGTGCATGTATTTGACGTTCAAAAAAATTCCAAAAGATCTATATAAAGCAAGAGTTTTCAGACCGCAGTCAACCAACTGTTGATGGATGACATAATTCTCATCTTGAGAACAAAGGTTGCAAATTCCTTTATATACCGGTAAAGTAAAAGGGAGAGAGATTTAGAAATCAAACCCTTGTATGAGGTTGTTTAAATTTAAAGCTCTTGGATATTTTTATATTGTTATTTGAGATTTCATGTTAGAGAATGGTACTCATACAAGACACAGTGCTTCATACTGGACCATATCTCATGGGGTAAGAGTTATGGTGAAATGCAATGTCCAGCTATGCACTACCTGTAGTCACATAGAAATGAAAATGTTAAATTTATAGAAAGGTAAGAAGCCAGAAGTAAGCGAAGAAAAAAATCCGTATAACTAGCCGGGAGGAGGGAAAACAGTTGAACAAGGGTCAATAACCTAGCCGGGTCAAAATACCAAGGAGCTTCTAACAAGAACACGCTGTTGGACTCCTAAGAGAAATTACGGCAGGCAAAGTACTGTTTGTGGAAAGGGTTTTTATAATGGAGAAATAAAGCCTCAAATAAACATAACTGCAATGTCAAACTGTGTAAATGTGCTGTTGCAAGTATGACGCAAGAGCTCTCATAAAAAAAAATTGATGCAGGCATCCACAGTGTCATAAAAGGACGTGGAAGGGCAGCATTCACTATCAAAACTGCCGCCAGAACATGAGGTATTAAAGCAGTGATTTAGCGGAGGCACAGGTATTGTGACAATTTCTCTCTCTTTGCCAAAAGGGTCAATAAGTCAAATTATAAGTTAAAACTATTTGTGATTATAGGTTACATATCTTGGTAAGGAATAGCTCTGTTGAGTTATGGTGTTACCTGTGAGACTGACTATCTAGGTACAGTAAATGCAAAACATAAAAAGGTGTATAAACCTGTAGGTGAATGGAAATACAGTGGCTAGTGAAGGAATTAAAAACATGTCAAGAATACTAAAGAATTTTTTATTCCTAACTTTGGCTAATATATGTTAGCAATGGCCATACCATATACTTTGTATTTCCCCCAAGAAACTCCACTGCTTCATTGTGATCTAGTTGTGACATGGTTTATATCTATGTATTTAAATAATTGAAAAATGTTCATGAATTAAAAAAAATAAAAAATGACAAATACAACACTTACGCAGTAAAACCATTTATCATATGAGCATATCTTAAAATGACCAGGTCCAACCAACCACATCGCCTCTTCCGACCTGTAGTTACCCCCCATTCATGGCCACGGTTTTGAAGAAGATTGCCGATTTCCTGGTGGGATGTATAACATAAAGTTTATGATAAATGTTGCATGCTCTTTAATTATATGACAACACAATTAACAAATATGAAATACAAAGAAGAAGAATGGGAAAAAACCCACTGAAAATAAAACAAAAGGCTTAAAAATAACCTAGACTTTACACTAAAAAGATATTATAATGGAACGGACATCACTGTTACCAACAAGCATGGACAAACAAACGACTGTGAGCTCCAAGTCTCAATTCTAAGATATAATGATGTAAGTAGGCAATAGTGTGTGTCCCCTGTGTAAATATATTTTGGACTAGCTACCACTGCTGAATCTAACACGATAACCTCATCCTATAAAAAACCTTTCAATGGAAATGCCGTTGATTTCAGCTATGGAGAACAGGAGATCTATCAAGTAAATCCAATGTAAGTTCTTGCTTCCTATCCAGTTCTTATAAGTAAGGTATGTCAAATGAAATCATATCCTTGAAGTCTCAGTTTGTTCTAAAGCAGAAGATGTATAGGGACTCCGCAAATCAGATACCAAAGGTACTAACATTTATTTGCTCAGTTGGAAATGCTCCAATACCGACTCTTGTGGTATATGCCTTAACAACTCCATATATTTCTCCAATGTTCTGCGGGGGAATCCCGAGTCCAGTACAAACACCTCCAACGGTACAATTTGAGGAGGTCACAAAGGGGTAGGTTCCTGTAGGCAAAAATATAATCATATTGGAAATTCAGAACGGGAGTAGTTGTGTCAGTGTTGGGCATTGTATAAAAAATAGAGGTTTATATATATATATATAGAGATGAGTGCCCTTAAAATTTAACTTTTATAAGGTTTATTATATCGAGTAGACAGTCTCTACAGCATTTGTGAATTTGCAAAACACTGTTTTGCACACATTACTTGATGAAGGTTTCTGAAAACTTCTGAACAGAACCTCATCTATTGACTTCAACATATTTAGTCATTTTTTTCAATATATCTAGTTATTTATTTTGTATTACTTTCTTTCCGAGGTTGAATCTGTTTGGACATTTGGACTATATCTGTTTTTTTGACCCTATTAGGTCATGACCCATTCCAAAATATAATTCACCTCTGAAATTGAATTCATCGCTGAAGCATATAATTAAGCATTTTAAAATACTTTATTTTATTCTACGATAATCAATAAAAGTTAAATTTTAAGGGCACTCATCTCTAATTTCTAGTTTATAGGGTTAACCCCTTCTTTCGAGTCTCCCTTTTCCAGCTTCCCTTCTTTTTGTATTTATTTTATATATATATATATATATATATATATATATATATATATTGTGCAAAATAAGCACAATCACTCAATTCCAAACTAGCTTCAATATCTGCAGAATTATTTATGAGCTTTTAAAGACTTAGGCAAAAATAATGGGGGTTTAGTTACGTTATATTATTAATATTATTATTGGTATTTATATAGAGCCAGCTTATTCTGCAGTGCTTTACAATATACTTATATGATCATATATTGCATAAGAATGCCACAACACCAATGTACCCCATTTGTGGCAGGTCCAACATTAGCAACCTAATGCCTGCTCTCATGAAATGAATCCACTTAGAAGACATTGGTGTTGTGGTGGGCCTATGCAATGTATGAACACATGCTGTAACTAAACCCCATTGTTTATTCCCAACATAGGTGTCTTTAAAAGCTTTTACATAATTCTCAAGATGATGAAGCCCATTTAAATTTAAGTAAGTATATTGGTTTTGCACAATGTTTTAAATGGTTCAAGTAGCACCCTTATGGTATACCTGAAGTGGAAATGATGTGAAAATGAAGGCAGTAGTAGTCCCAGTTGTGATAGGATTATAGTTACTTTATATAGACATACAACAACCACCACATCCATACAATTTAGTGGCTTATTTTTATGGAGCAAGTAGGATATGGGTGCTGTCCCTCTAGCTTTTGTCAAACCGTTTTCAAGTTTGGGTGTTGAAGAAACCAGTGCGTCCAAACACAATTAATTTGATTGGATAATTAGGAACTGAAACGTCCTCATTATAACATCAGTGGCTGACGTGGTGTGTTCTGGGTGCTGATGAGACCTTGGTGTATGACAAAACTGGTGGGACCTATGCAGTGGTTGTGTTGCTTAGAATGTCCCTGTAAACTCTGTCTCACAGGAGATCTGACAATCAATAGGCATGCTCCCAATAATCAAACTTTGTATATATTTCCAATACATATCTTAAAATTGTCATAACAAACATAAAAATAATGAATAGCTTTTAAAAATAGTTAAATGATCGGCACTAGTCTCAAAGAAAATTAATTCCAATTATTTTTAAAGCTTGATCACTAGGTGATAGAAGCTTTAAATATTTGTGATCTTTTACTCACCAAAATCAATGTCAAGTAAAGCTGCATTCGCGCCTTCCACCAATATCTTTTTTGGAGAGCCATGAAGAGCCTCATACATATAATATACTCCATCACGCACCATGGGTCGGATTTTGTCAGAGTACATCTGAAATAATAAAAGAGGACTGCTGTTTTAAAATTAAAAAATTTACAGAAAACATACTAATCGAGATTCTGCTCATCACAAGGAATTGTGACAATGTAAATGGTTATACCTTACCTTAAGTTTCTTCAACTGGCCTTCTACATCCACCTCCAAGGTTGGGAACATTGATTGATACTGTAATGCCAGATTTTTAAATCTGTTGGATATAAAAGATAATTTCTATAAACACAAACATACACAGAGCATCTGGTTAGTTATTAGAAATACATGCAAACAATATGAAATTTGTACCAACATGTTAACAGCTAGCAACGAGCTGTAAATAATATTAAACGATCAAAAAACACTTTGTCTACTTCGATACATTTCCAGAGCACTTTGACCATTATTGGATCAGTTAAATAGGATCCGAGCCACAAGTTTATGCCATCACAATCGTTCTGAAAAAGAGTTATTTGTACATTGGCCTCCATTTAATATTTGTAATTTTTCAAATTATTTACTATTGCAAAAATATTTTTTGGGAAATCATGTATTTTTGGTATTTTTATATATTTTTTTAAAAAATATTCGTAACAGTTTAAAAATTTTTTTAAATCATTTGAAAAACTTATACAAAAATAATAAGCTGGTCTCATTATTGGGCCAGCAGACACTTAGCAATTTCAATACCTAAAATCACTTGAAAGGTCACTGAAAACATATACATTTACCAAAACTTCATCTGTTTATATGTATTTGTTCATCAGCAAAACAAATACTACAACTAGCTCCACAGACTTGTGCAATACTGTCAACTAAAATTCCTTTTTAATCATTTAGTTCAAATAAGGGACAAAAAAGCACTGCAATAAAACATAGCGAATTTTAATAATATAACAAATATGCACCTGCACAATACCTAAATCGCCTGTAATTTACCTTAAAGAATCACACTGTAATGTCTACATGGAACATAATATGTCAATGACACATATGCTCCCTAGGATAATGAACCATGTACTTGGTTGCCCTAATCTTCAACCTGTGATGTAATCAAAAAGCCCGTAAAGGCGCCAGCTTTTTTTATAAGTATATCACAAGTTTGACCTGGTTTTAATTTGGTAACATTTTCTGACTTCAGTGGCATCACCGACAGTAAAATTATCTTTGACGTTTTGGAATATGATCACATTGAAAACCATTTTGTGATTTTAGTGGAAAATCCGAAAACATCAATCAGATTGCCAATAATGGATTGTAATTTAACTGCTAGTTAGAATTCCCAGTTTATGGTCATAAAAGTCAGCAAGAGATCGGGGTTAACTATACTATAACTTGAGTGCAGTTGATTAATTCCTTCTTGGCCAAACACTTTTTGAAAAGCAGAGATACAATTTACTAAATCGCTAGACACAGAACCTTGTTTGAGGGACAATCACTGTACTGAGTTGATGGCAAGTTTCATTGAGAAAAGTTACCTAGTCAAGCTTTGTAAAGAGTTGGAGAGCAAAAAAGAATTGACAGACTGTAATTTTACCACATGACAGGAGGCTTCCTATTTTGCATTAACTTTCTTTACTAACTCCATAGCAGCAAAGAAAAAACATGTGAAATAAAGAACCAATCAGAACACAGTCAGAGTGTATATAAGTGAAAGCATATCCAGAGCACTTCCTCTTTCTTTGCTGCTCCATCACAAGTCAGGTCAGAGTACTTTTTCTATGCCTCTGTTTTAAAACTGTACGTATTGTATGTGATTACTATTTTCTTTTCCTGTGGGGGTGACAGGGGGATATCCTTTATCTCCACCTCTCTAGTGGGGCTGTTTATTTCTCTGATTGGGGTTCTGTCCCCTCTCTCCCCAGGCCCTCTCTTCCCTGAGGCAGCCTATTCCCCCCACTCCCCCCTCCCTGGGGGCTATGTTCGCCACTTTCCTCATTTTACCACGCCGTTCGCATATTGACTTCAGTGCATTCGGGCAGGGAACTCTGTTGATTTTTGCATTTAGGCACGAACGGACTGATCGCGGGTTTTTCCCGTTCGTGCCTTTTCTGTGCATAAGGGTTGGTGGATTGCGTACAAACTGGCTGGGTCGAAAGGAGCTTCAAGGAAGCACAAGATAAGCTCCTGGGCGCGATGTGGCCACTGGCCCATGTAATGTACCTGGCGGATGATGCATATGCCCGGGCAGACTCTTTCACTGCAGATATGGTGCGTGAATGGACGACATTAGAGAATGGATCCAAAGAGGGTTTTATTTTATGGGCAATACCAATGCGGCCCTCTCGAACCAAGTGGCGCCGTGCAGCACTCTTCCGCATTGACCCCAAACTGGTGGATCTTGGGGCGAAAGAACTAGGCCCACTGGCACAGGGAAAACTTTTTTTTTGGAGAGGTCTTCATGAAGGAATTAAACAAGCACGTAAACGTGTTCACCTCTCTAAAAAGGGCCCATACCTCCATGTGTAGGCAAGGTCTTTAGAGGCAACCTCACCAGATTGTTTTCTTCCAAGGCTGGTCAGCAAAGTGGCCGTGCCACCAACCGATTTTGGCCATCAGGCCCTTGTATGGGACACCCACAACAATTCTACCTGGAAGCGGGCACAAGACAACAATACCCCTACTATCGGGGAACGGACAGAGGCTGTGGAGGTCACAAATGCCTACTTTAACCGTTACTGCCAGCCCTATTTCTCTTTTTTTCCAGAATTGGGAAAACTGTCCACAGATGCATGGGTGTTACAGACCGTCAAAGGTTATCACATCGAACTTCAGACGCTCTTTATACAGAACCAACCCCCTCGCCCCCGTGCAACTCCGCCATGGACGCTGATCTCATAAAATTTGAACTCTGCGAATTGCGCACGAAGGGCACAATCCAACCTGCGCTTGGACGAGGGGGCTTCTTCAGCAACATGTTTCTCGTTCGCAAGAAAACCGGTGACTTCAGACCAGTGATCAATTTAAGGGATCTAAACATACACGTTACATACCATCACTTCAAGACGGAGGGAATCCACCTCCTTCGAGACCTCCTACAAGAAAGGGACTGGTTTTCACATCTAGACCTCAAAGACGCATATCTGTCGATCCCGTTCGCGGAGCAGCGGCATCGTCGGCTTTTATGGCAGGAGCTTCACTTTCGGATATCTTACAAGCGGCTGACTGGTCACGTGAATCTACGTTTCGGACATTCTACTTCCGTCCGTCGTCTAACACTGCGTTTTCTCTTCTTCCTAAGCGTTAAAATTGCTAAATATGAAGCCTCCTGTCATGAGGTTAAATTAAAGATTATTCTAGCGGTCCCGTCGTCAGCTTAACCAGTTGTCAGCACCTCTGGGAGGAATTAATTTCCCTTATCATTTTCATGTTTAAAGTTGGATTTTCGTACGAAGTTATCCGTTTGGTTATGGACTTGTAATGTCGCATTTGTCAAGAGGAAGTGCTCTGGATATGCTCTCACTTATATACACTCTGACTGTGTTCTGATTGGTTCTTTATTTCACCTGTTTTTTCTTTGCTGCTATGGCGTTAGTAAAGAAAGTTATAGCAAAATGACATTATTTAAATTAAGATTATTAGTACACTACGCTAGTATAATCTTCAATTGTCATACACAGATCACAATAATAGATAGATGTCCACCAGAGGGCGCTGATAGCACATTTTTGTGCTGAAAAGAACCATCTCACTTGAAATTTTTTTGCATAGCTAGTGCAGGTTTTCGAAGTTAAACTGGAAGGTGGTGAGTAAAAAAAATAAATATGAAAAATAACAATCGTGCAAGTACTCATGGTCGGTAGATGGAAAAATGACAATGGTCAGCATCATGCCCACACTAAAATATTAAATATAGAAGGCTGAAGCTTTCAGGAGAACACTGGCCAACAAACTAAAAAATACATAGAAAAAAATTAAAGAAAACCAAATTTGTTTAAAGCAATTAACCTTGAAGAAAATTCATCAAAGTCTGCAAGAAGATCACAAATGCGTAGACCTGTGCGGGCTGCTTTTGATGAATATGTTGGTCCAATCCCTTTCTTTGTAGTACCGATGCTGGTGAAGAAGAGAGAAAAATACAGATATATTATGTGTATAAGATATATATTAATTTGCCAAGATAATAACAATGCCACTATTTCAGTCAATGATCCAGTCATCGAAGGCTTAATGCTCACATTTTATATACACAAAAAGCTTTAGTTACTATGTACATTTTGACATTCCAGAGTAACGCCTCTGTTAATTAGATAACATATGCACCAATATAACAGTGATGGACAATACAAATGGCATCTTATGTTTGCAAAATATAATTTCACTAAGCTCCCTAACTATTGAAAAAAAAATTATTACTAACAGGAAGAAGGTGATGTTTGATAATTACTTTTTCCCATCTTGTGCTTGACGCTGAACTTCTTGAAGGCCATCAACTGCCTGATGAAAATCGCAAACTACGCGGTAGCACATGATCAGCATAAAACAAGAGAAATAAATTAGCTTCAATGTAAAAAATAAATAAATAGATAAATAAAATTGCTGCTAAATCTCTCTGCTTTCACTTGTAATTTGTAAACTCTGCGATACCTCCCATGATTTAGACAGAACACAGATGATGCAACTATTTATTGAGTAGGTAAATGCCTAAAGGCTGAAGGAGGATAGTACCCCAGGTAAAGCTCGATTAAATGCCCGTTTTGTCTAAGAAAAGGCAATATTCTTGGGTTTCTTGTTTGTTTTAAACTGTTTTTTAACACGGCAAACTCTACTGAAGGTGTTTGGTTTGGTAATTTCCAAGGCCCACTTTGTTCTCTATATTTTGTCTAAAGCCCAAAAAATTATTTTGAATAAAATAAGAAAATATAGCAATGTTTACCTTTTGCATAAACCATGACAGCCACTAAAGACAATACTTTATTGAAGACCTTTGATGTTCGAAGGTCTTTACATTAGGCGTCATAAAAAGCATGATGGTACTGAGCACGCTCAATGCTTCTTAAAATCATGGAGGGATATCAAATTACTGTTCTTTTATCCCAGCACAAAAGGCCCTAAGTAGATGATATTATTTTATGGATCGTTTTCAATACACCGAGGCAAAAACTCAATAGCAGGCAAAATTCAATTATCCAAATGCCTAAGAAAGCAGAGAGGTGGCAATTTTGACATATTTTGCTTTCTGGTCTAAAATTTTAACTATTATTGAACACAAGCTTGATTATGCATCTACGCAAATTACTTACCAATGTGTGCTCGGTCAGATATTATTAATCGTTTTTCCCAGTCTTTTAAACCTATTCAAATAAGTAAAAAATAAAACATTAGTATGCATTGCGAATTACCCCATTATATAACAAACATTATAAATAGAGATGAGCGAACATTACAATTTTTTGACCCTGAACCCGAGCCCGGACATTTCAGTAACAGTTCGGGTTCGAGTTTGGTGTTTGGCGATTTAATGGCGCGTTTTGAAAAGCTGCAGGGCAGCCAATCAACAAACGTTTGACTCGTGTGCCCTTAGAAGCCATCACAGCCATGCCTAGTAATGGCATGGCTGTGATTGGCCAGTGCAGCATGTGACCCAGCCTCTATTTAAGCTGGAGTCACATGAACTCTTATTAGTGTAGGGAGAGGATGATGCAGCTTTGTGGGACAGATTAGGAAAGAATTCTGATGTTGAATCTGCAAACTACAGCGATTATTTTTGTGGGTGCTATACTACATTTTTGCACCCTGCCCTGAGCCCAGTGCCACAGAGAAATAAGCAATCAGTCTGTTTGTTAGGTGGGCACTTGCAACTGCATGTGTGCCAGGCACATTGCTTTAATCCTGTTCTGGTAGCTCAGTGGGCCACATCTAGGCATTTTTAAATACTGCTGTGACATTGCAGTTTGACAAATTCAAATTTTTTCGATGCTAAAAAGTAAATTTGGGGCGTGCACTTCATATCTGAGAGTTAAATAGAACCGTCAAATACTGTGGTTACATCGCACTTTGAAATATTCAAATTTTTTTGTGCTAAAAAGTAAATTTGTGGCATACACTTCATATCTGAGAATCAAATAGAACCGTCAAATACTGTGGTTACATCGCACTTTGAAAAATTCTAATTTTTTTGGTGCTAAATAGTACATTAGCGGCCTGCGGTGCACTTCATATCTGAGAGTCAAATAGAACCGTCAAATACTGTGGTTACACCGCACTTTGAAAAATTCTAATTTTTTTGGTGCTAAATAGTACATTTGCGGCCTGCGGTGCACTTCATATCTGAGAGTCAAACAGAACCGTCAAATACTGTGGTTACATCGCACTTTGAAAAATTCTATTTTTTTTGGTGCTAAATAGTACATTTGCGGCCTGCGGTGCACTTCATATCTGAGAGTCAAATAGAACCGTCAAGTACTGTGGTTACATCGCACTTTGAAAAATTCAAATTTAAACCATCTGTTAGTTTGGTGGGTGAACGCAAAGAATGAGGAGAGCGTCAAATAAGGGACGTGGCCCTGGTTGTGGTGCTGCTGGTGTTGGTGGAGCTCCTGCTGCAGGGAGAGTACGTGGTCCATCTGTGCCAGCTACACGCACAAGTGAAACACCTTCCTCAGGTGCGAGTAGGCGACAGAACCTTCAGCGTTATTTGGTAGGCCCTAATGCCGCTCTACGAACGGTGAGGCCAGAACAAGTACAGGCGATAGTAGATTGGATGGCTGACAGTGCCTCCAGTTCCTTCACATTGTCTCCCACCCGGTCCCCTGCTGAAAGCTCAGAGTTGGCACCTGCAGCCCATGGCCATCTGTCTTTCACCTCAGCCCCTTGCAAATCAGCCAGTCAGTCTGAGCCACAAGTCATGCAGCAGTCTCTTATGCTTTTTGATGAATCTGCTGGCGAGGTTTCTGTGGGCCATCCACCTAGCCCTGCCCCAGAAGTGGAAGGGATTGAGTGCACTGATGCACAACCACTTATGTGTGAGGATGTGGACATGCAAGGACCACCGCAGCACGTCTCTGATGATGACGAAACACAGGTGCCCCACATGGAATCAAGGTCATGCGAGTGACGTGTCCAGTTTGGAGGAAGAGGTGGTGGTCGCATAGAGGCACCAGCACAGCATAAGAGGGAGCAGGGTGCAAAAGCGGAGCGGCCGTCCCCAAGACAGTATGCCTGCTACTGTCCACCGCACCCAGGGACCGAGCACACCAAAGCCAGCTCCAAGGAGTTCCCGGGCATGGCAGTTCTTCAGACAATGTGCTGACGACAAGACACGAGTGGTTTGCATGCTGTGCAATCAGTGCCTGAAGCGAGGCATAAACGTTCTAAACCTGAGCACAACCTGCATGACCAGGCACCTACATGCAAAGCACGAGCTGCAGTGGAGTAAGCACCTCAAAAACCAAGAAAGGTCTCATGCTCCTCCTGCTTCCTCTTCTGCTGCCGTCTCTGCCTTTTCCTCCACCTCTGGAGTGACAGTGGCACCTGCCACCTCGCAAACAGAGGATGTGGCAGCAACGCCTCTACATCCGCCACCGTCCCCGAGCATCTCCACACTGTCCCATGGAAGCGTTCAGCTGTCCATCTCCCAAACACTGGAGAGAAAGAGAAAGTACCCCTCTACCCACCCACGATCCCTGGCCCTGAATGCCAGCATTTCAAAATTCCTGGCCTTTAAAATGCTGTCATTCAGTCTGGTGGAGAGGGACAGTTTTAAAAACCTGATGGCGGTGGCTGTCCCACAGTATGTGGTTCCCAGCCGCCACTACTTTTCCAGGCGAGCCATCCCTTCCCTGCACAACCAATTGGCGGACAAAATCAGGTGTGCACTGCGCAATGCCATCTGTGGCAAGGTCCACATAACCACTAATACGTGGACCAGTAGTTACGGGCAGGGACGCTATATCTCCCTAACTGCACACTGGGCAAATGTGGTGGCTGGGCCTGAGGTGGATAGCAGTTTGGTGCATGTCCTTCCGCCACCGAGGATTGCAGGGCATTTCTCTTTGCCTCCTGTTGCCTCCTTCTCTGCTTCCTCCTCCTCTACCACCTCCTCATCCGGTCAGCGTAACACCTTCACCACCAACTTCAACACAGCCAGGGGGAAACGACAGCAGGCTGTTTTAAAACTCATATGTTTTGGGGGAAAAACCCCACACTGCGCAGGAGCTGTGGACGGGCATGGAACAACAGACCGATGAGTGGTTGTTGCCACTGAGCCTCAAGCCCGGCATGGTGGTGTGCGATAATGGGCGAAATCTCGTAGCAGCTCTGGGCCGGTTTGACACACATCCCTTGCCTGGCACATGTGCTGAATTTGGTGGTGCAGAAATTCCTGAAAAACTACCCAGATATATCAGAGCTGCTGCAGAAAGTGCGGGCCGTCTGTTCGCACTTTCAGCGTTCTCACCCTGCTGCTGCTCGCCTGTCTGTGCTGCAGCATAACTTCGGCCTTCCCGCTCACCGCCTCATATGCCTCATATGCGACGTGCCCACAAGGTGGAACTCCACCTTGCACATGCTGGAGAGACTGTGCGAGCAGCAGCAGGCGATAGTGGAGTTTCAACTGCAGCACGCATGGGTCAGTCGCTCTGCGGAACAGCACCACTTCACCACCAATGAGTGGGTCTCCATGCGAGACCTGTGTGCCATGTTGCGCTGTTTCGAGTGCTCCACCAACATGGCTAGTGCTGATGACTCCGTTCTCAGCCTTACTATCCCACTTCTATGTCTCCTTGAAAAAATGCTTCGGGTGATGATGGAAGAGGATGTGGCACAGGAGGAAGAGGAGGAGGAAGAGTGGTAATTTCCACGGTTATCAGGCCAGTCATTCACAAGTGGCTCGGAGGGTGGGTTCCTGCACCAGCATAGGCCTGGTACACAATTGTCCAGCCAGGGCACGTTTCATGAGGAGGAGGAGGAACCATGTTCACAGCAGGGTGGCACCCAACGCAGCTCGTGGGCATCACTGGAGCATGGCTGGAGGGATACGGAGGACACAGACGATAACCTCCCACAGAGGACCTCCCGCAGCCTGGCACACATGAGCGACTACATTCTGCAGTGCCTGCACAACGACTGCCGAGTTGTCCACATTCTAACTTGTGCTGATTACTGGGTGGCCACCCTGCTGGATCCCCGTTACAAGGACAACATGCCGTCCTTAATTCCCTCACTGGAGCGTGATCGGAAGATGCCCGACTATAAGCGCACGCTGGTAGACGGGCTGCTGAGGGCATTCCCAACTGACACCGGGGGCTCAGTGGAAGCACAAGACGAAGGCAGAGGAGGAGGAAGAGGTTCGCCAACACAGCTGGGGCACTGCCAGCACCTCAGAAGGCAGGGTTAGCATGGCCGGAATGTGGAAAAGCTTTGTCAGCACGCCACAACAACCAGCACCACCAGCTGATATGGAACGTCTTAGCAGGATGCAGCATTTCAGCAACATGGTGGAACAGTAAGTGTGCACACGCCTACACGTACTGACTGATGAGTCTGCCACATTCAACTTCTGGGTCTCCAAATTGGGCACATGGCCTGAGCTTGCCCTTTATGCCTTGGAGGTGCTGGCCTGCCCTGCAGCCTGTGTATTGTCTGAACGTGTGTTTAGCACGGCAGGGGGCGTTATCACAGACAAGCGCAGCCGCCTGTCCACAGCCAACGTGGACAAGCTCACATTTATTAAAATGAACCAGGCATGGATCCCACCAGACTTGTCTGTACCCTGCAGAATAGATCTTTATACCGGCCTCACCCAGCCATTGTTATACTCAAGTGCACTTATTCTTTGTTTTCTTTTTTTATATGTCCCAATATTTTGGGGGCTACCCCAATTTAAAAAAACAAACAAACAAAACAAACAAATAAAAAACAGTGTTGGCTACCTCCTCCGCCTCAACCGCCGCTTCCACCTACACCGCCACGGTCACCGCCTCCTCAACCTCCTACTCCACATCCACCTCCTCCTCCTAGTTCAAGATTATTATTTTTACTTTTGATGTATTTTAGGCTATTTTAAGTTATTTCCCTATCCACATTTGTTTAAAGGGCACTTGTCCTACTCTTACCCCCATTTTACTTCTTTTTGCAGCCCTCTAGCCCTTTCCAGGACTTTTTTAGAGCCATTTTAGTGCCCAAAAGGTCAGGTCCCCATTGACTTCAATGGGGTTTGGGTTTGGGGTCAAGTTCGGGTCAAGTTCGAGTCCGAACTCAAACTTTTTGCCGAAGTTCGGCCGAACCCAGAGAACACGAACATCCAGGTGTCCACTCATCTCTAATTATAAACAGTAATTGTAATATAAAAAAAATTACATATATAAAAATACAATGCAATACAATACACTGAAGCTTGTATTAGGGTAAAATAATTCAAATTTGGGGATTATAGAGACATGTAGAAATGATGAAAGGCATTAACAGTAAGAAATATAAAGTAAAATGTGTATTTGTCGGGAAATATACCAATACGTTGGGAACAAAAAAATTAATTTCCAACAAATTTCAGGCCAGAACGCTCGATGTAGAAAATGTTTCCAATTCATCTGTTACGGCCAACATTTTAAATTCACAGCAATTCACTCATTTGTGAATAAGCCCTGTTTATGCATTCTTTAATATTTAATATTTTGATGGACTCCAACTACCACTAACCATTCCATTTAGTCATACCTTTCTTTTCATTTTTTTCCGCTTCTTCAAACAAACCTGGAAGATGTATGACTACCCCATTTCCTGCAGAAAACGCATAAAAAGATTAAAAAATATTGACTTTACTTCAGTGTCAAACAGGATTGCTTGCATCTTTAGCAAACTGTAAAAGGATCATACATTGTATTACCCTTAACATCCGCAGTAGCTATTAGCGATCGCAGTTCTGTTTTGAAAATATATGCACTTAAAATAGCCGAGCAATATATTTGTTCAGTATAAAGCTACGTTAAAATCCCATAAGGGTTATAGATTACAAAATATATAAAACCTGTATCACCAGAAAAAAAAAAATAGATTAATTTGACGCAGGGGAAATATGGTCTGGCTACATTCGCCATCAGAAAACACAGATCTACAGTCATTTGGGGAATTTAGTATCAGACAGTTTTACAGATTCCCTACTAACGCTAGATAAAACCTGTGCTTTTTACAGTAAAAAACCATTAACTAAACAGCCTCTATGTTCAGGTAAGAGGGTTATAAAACATAACACTCACCAAAGTGCTAAATTCTACGGTACAATTTGTACTATCGAGAATAAGGGCATAACCTGTAGAGTTGCTGTAAGTCTCTCGTACTTAATGTTCCGCTGTATAGTGTTAAGTCTGATGTATTTTTATTATTCCCGTAACATTGCTGCAAAGCATGTCAGTGGTGCATTAATACATTTTACATTTATACACTTGTATTAGGTAGTCAGTGAATTAATTAGAGAGTTTGTAGGGTTTTAAAATTTTTGTAGACTGTTTAAATCCCTCCTTTTCAGAATTCCCCCTGCTTCAGAGCTGCAAATCCCATGAACCTTTGCAAGACACTTGTGGTCGATTTTTTGTACAGAGCTAACTGATGAGGTTCATAATTTGAATACCCCAGTAAATATAACATTTTAATCACAAGATCGTTAGCTGCAAAATAATTTTCAACTTAAAAAAAAAGTATGTTCAAGATATTGAAAATTGCAATTTTGTCACATTTTGGGTGAGAATTATTCCAGTAGCCTCATCGTTTTTTATTCCCCACCCTTAACATTTGACAATGCAGATATTTGTAAACTACATTTCCATCCAAGTTTTAGAAGAAGCGTAGTTAAACGTCACAAATGAATGAACTACCCAGAAAGCCATCACGTGCTTTGTTTAGCTCAGTGGAGCTAAACTCAAGAGGCAACAATTGCCCAGAGCACCTGCCTTTCATAGACTTCTCATTGAGCTGCATTGGAAATATGTGATTGGACAGTCACAGAAAGTTAGTAGACAGTACGGAGAAGCTGGATCTTTCACTTCATTGTATTTTAATAACCTAAATAAAAAATAAACGTGAAAACTACAAAACACTTACATTAATGAGTTTATTCCAGTTTAAGGCAACATTCATAAAATTCCACAGTGTTCTTTTTTCTATAAGTGTCTCGTTCTACATGTTTCCACCAGCGTTAATTTTGTCAACTAACAATTTTAGTCAAATTTTAGTCAACTAAACCTAAAACAATTCAGATGACTAAAATGCAAATAAAAATAAAATGTTTTTTTAGTCAAAATACTAGGACTAAAACTAAATTGAAATTTGCTGCCAAAATTAACACTGGTTTCCACCTGGTGTCACTATAGTATAAGCGAGGCCTTTACTGCTTTCAGAATTCATACAGGGATCTTCCAATTGGGCACTCCTGTTCTATAATATTTTAATTTCATTCAGTAGTTCTGTTCTCACAAGTGACATGTAACTCAGTGTTAACCCTTTTTGTATGACACAACCTCTTAAAGAACAATTATAGCCAGAACTGATACCTCCAGCAAATCAACTCATTGATTTTCATAACCAGATACATACAGCATTGCGATCCGTGCAGTATTGATCATTCATTAACACACCTACCTAACAGGTAAACATTAAATGCTAAAACAAACACACTCAATGCAAATATTAATTTGGAAAATAACAATTGTGCTCACAATGTTGTATAATTATTTGTACCAAAATAATCGTCACAAATATGTGTTTTGTTTTTTTTTCAAATATAATCATTTTCATTGTTTTCTTACTTTGATAATTATCTTTCCGGGCCCTGTCAATGATTATAATGAAAACAGGAGATAAAACCAAAATTTACCGATTAAGGAAATGGCTTTAGGATTAATAATTCCACTGGGGAAGAGATGGAAGTCATATTCCTTTCCTTCGACCACGACCGTGTGTCCAGCATTATTTCCTCCCTAGATGCAAAGAAAAATAAGCGTTTTAAAAATTGTTGTATAGATGAGTATGTCGGCATATAACAATGAGAACAATAATAAAGATTTTTTTACGAGGAAAATTGCATTTAATGTAATAGGACACTCAAAGCAACATAATCACTACAGCTCTCTGGTTATGTCAAATACATCTGGTATAGAGCAGATACATGCTATGCATTGTGAGTATGTACATCGAAGAACTATCACTTAAATGGTTTAGTTTTGACACAGCATTTTGTGCGTTGATCACATTCATTTTGCATTCTATATAATCACAGTGCTCTTACAGAGATTAATTTAGTTAATTTAGCACTAATACTATTTATATTATCTCCCACGTTGGAATTAGTGTAGGACCCACAGATATTTGGGTACTGTGAAGTAGTGGTGCGTTTAGCACAATATGGCCACATGGTGGAACTGAATCCCCATATTTGCTTGCTGGGATAGGTGATTTTAAGTAGCCATATAAAAATATAAACCTGTATTTGTATTTGTGCACCGTCCCCTGGTTGAATATAGAATGGGTTAGGAACATTAAATTAACACTTCCGCTATGATCAATGTAAATTGTATCCAACCGGAATTTGTAGTCAAAGACGCAGAGTAAAAATGGTAACTGAATGACAAAGACATTAGCAAGAGCAGGAACGAACACATCCAATGATAGATTATTCCAGGAGATTGATTAATACAATGCAGGGAGCTGCAAATGTGAAAATAAAACACACCAAGGGACTTCACACATTTTGTTCTAGTGCCACTTTGTGTATTAGCCATCAATGTCACCCAGCTTGGCTGACATTGACATTGATAATGTGAAATTGTGAACTCTGCATTTACAACACAGCCATATTAAGGAGTTAGGAAGAGATCCGGTTTATAAAATAACGTTTCAAAGCAGTTTTATATTAAACTGGGGATGATGTCAGGGAACTTTAAAATTACCCCTTTAAATTTCTTATGGTATATTTGTTTTTAATAGCTGACTTAATTCTAACCAAAGAGGTGGTTGGCTAATTCCTATCACCCCTCACCTAGGCCATGCCGTTTTGGGCACTGGGAAGGAATATTCTTTTGGCATTTTAGCCGTATCTTTGGCAAGAGGCAGGGCTGTTACATAGTATGCATAGTGTACATGGTATTACAGCCTGGCTAAGCACCTGGTTATTTAGTTTTATGTAGATTATGTTTGTAAATTATAAAGTCATAAAATTACCCTATGGCAACCAAGCATTAATGAAGTGCTGATTGGAGATGGATCCACTTGCCAACTTCTAAAGTCAAGAAGGCAATATTCCATAGGTTTCTATGACTGTTTCCCATTGATCAGAATGATAATCCTGTCCCTCTGAATTGCACAGCATTTAACAGCCTTCTCTTGTAATTGCCAGTTACAGACAACCCTCTAATAAAATCTTGACTGGAGTGCTGGCCCATACAGAATCTGGGGTAATCCCATCACCACCTGATGCAACCATTTGTAGTTGATTTCATAATACAGACTGGATCAGGTTAATGTGACTTGCCGAATTAGTCTAGATCAGGGATTCCCAACCCAGTCCAGAAGTGAGGGATTACCTGTTGTGTCTAAAGTGTTGTTTTTTTTTCTAAAAACACCTTAGACACAATTGGGTAATCCCTAAATCCTTGACTGGCAGGGGGTACATGATGACTGGGTTGGGAACCCCTGCTCTAGATGACGATGAGAAGACTTGATAAAATGCCAACACTTTACATGATTTAACATGCCTCAAATTTCCATTGCACCGTCCATGTTTCAATCTGCTGAAAGGTTACTGTACTAGGGATCTTAAATATGGCCAAACTTTGATCCATTTAATATGAAGTATGTGGGGTGTGTTGCATCACACACATAAACTGTACAGTTTTTAGTGACTGGGGATTTTTGTTCTAGCAGATTGGATTTTACTGTCAATTTTTATTTGAGATTATTTATATCAATAACAGTAAACTTTTGAAAATTGTTTTTAAACCTAGTTTTTTTTCATTAAAGGACCACTCTAGGCACCCAGACCACTTCAGCTTAATGAAGTGGTCTGGGTGCCAGGTCCAGCTAGGGTTAACCCATTTTTTAATAAACATAGCAGTTTCAGAGAAACTGCTATGTTTATAATGGGTTAAGCCTTCCCCTATTTCCTCTAGCGGCTGTCTCATTGCCAGCCACTAGAGGCACTTGCGTGCTTCTCACTGTGATTTTCACAGTGAGAGCACGCCAGCGTCCATAGGAAAGCATTATGAATGCTTTCCTATGTGACCAGCTGAATGCGTGCGCATTCAGCCGACGGGGAGGAGAAGAGGAGGATCGGAGGAAGAGAGCTCCCCGCCCAGCGCTGATGTGGGGTGTGGGGTGGGGGGCACCCTCAGGGCACTATAGTGCCAGGAAAATGAGTATGTTTTCCTGGCACTATAGTGGTCCTTTAATGGGGAACAATAATGATGAACAGTTGTTACTTAGTCGTGTTAATGTGAGTGCATGGTTAGTTCATGCTCCAAAACCAACAAACATTTAGATAAAATTATAGGTGTAACATTTGCATGTGGTGTCCAAATGACTTTGTTTATGCAGCCCTAGTTACACCTCCCTGCATGTGACTTACACAGCCTTCCTAAACACTTCCTGTAAAGAGAGAACTAAGGTCTAAACTTCCTTTATTTTATATTCTGTTTAATTTAGAATTTTTTATCTCCTGCTCCGTTAATAACCAGGTACAGCCCGCAGAAGCTTTCTGTAAGTGATTAAAGTTCAATTTACAGAGCTGGAGATACAAGCTTCTAAAGTAACTTAGGGTCTATGTGTTAAAACAATAAACCATTGTAGTGAGATAGAAATGGCCCCTGTGCAAGAATGATATGCATACTTATGACGTGTCCCATATATATTTTTTTTAATAATAACGTGATAGAATTTATCTTGATTCCAAGGCTCAAGCTTATAGGTGTCATATAATGATATCCTATATTAAAATTGGCTAACGTGGACTCAGGAAATGCTTGATGCTTAACACAACACTTAAGACCATATATGTCTAGTTCGGGGAGCAGAGAGCCTCCACCTAAGATGTCTCTTCTCTAATCTTTTTGTTCTTTCTTACCTTGGAACTTATTTGTTATGTGTACATGACGTTCATCCCTATGTCTTATCTGTACTCCCTTCCTATTACTGTTCTAAGAGTATTTGCACGTAAGCACTTACTTTTTAATGTATAAAACTCCGCTGATGAATAAAACGTCAGAGGCTTATTTTGAATACCAACAGGTGTCTGGTGTCTAATTCTCGCTTCTCCAAGTGCACTTGTAACAACAATTTGGGCTTCCTCTGAATATAACAAAGATCAACATTTCTGATCCACAACAATTTGGTGCCGTGACCCCGGGATCTGACGGTCGGGAGACTCGGACATTAGCGTACAGGTGGACGTCCCTCTGACAGTGAAATCAGCTGCAGCAAGGTAAGAAAAACTTTTTTTCTACCTTTATCAATTTTGCTCTCAGATCCACGTCCTACCAGTCTGTCTGGGTAAAGAACGACTTAAAAACGTAACTGCAAGTGTCCTCCTAAAAATACAAAACCCCAGGATTCTAATGATAACTCCCATGACAGCCAACCACCTCCACCCCCCCCACCCCCCCAATAGGAAATTGGCAAACCAGTGTCCCTACATATTATAAATATCCCTGACTCTGCAGGACCCTCACCCATTATTAATGTTACACTGCCCGGGGACCGAATAATCCCTTTCCTGTTGGACACTGGCGCTGCTAAATCAATGTTACAGTAAAAATATGTGTTCCCATATGAGAAATCTAATGATGTATTATCATGTGTAGGGGTGGATGGTATCGAAAATGACATTCCCCTTACCCACAAGCTGAAATTGAAGCTACACGACTCTACTGCCCTTGTAACAAGGCTACTTGTCATGCCCCTGCTAATCTACTAGGTAGTGATATACTGTCTGCTCTTAGTGCAAATATCCAGTATAGCCCCACTGGAAAAGTAACGTTGTCTGTGCCTTTAGAGGACAAACAAATTATATCTCTTTCAAATGTTCTGGCAACTCTCACTATGCCCAGCCATGTGCCAGAACCTACCATTGACTTGTCCTCAGTCCCTGATTCCTTATGGGCTACAGGGAAGACAGATACAGGCAGACTCTCTGTGCCCCCAGTCAAAGTGAATCTCCTGCCCGGAGCCAAACCTCCCTATCAAAAACAATACCCCCTAAGCCCAGCACAGGAAGATGCTATTTCGCAATCTGTGCAAGAGTTTCTGCAGGCAGGGGTAGTTGTCCAGACCACCTCCCCTTGTAACACACCATTGTACCCAATTAAGAAAAAGCAAGAGTAAGGGAAACCTGTGGTCTACCGTATGGTACATGATTTGAGGGCAATTAATGCTGTAACTGAACTGATTGCCCCTAATGTTCCCAACCCACACACCTTGTTGGCACAAATACCACCTTCCTGTAAGGTATTTACTGTTATTGACTTGGCAAATGCATTTTTCAGTGTCCCCCTGGATCCCGACAGTCAGTTTTTATTTGCATTTACACATAAACACAAGCAGTACACTTGGACAGTATTTCCACAGGGCGCACAAAACTCACCCACTATGTACAGCATGGCTATGGCCCAGATTCTTGAAGAATGGCAAAGGCCAAATAACGTAATTTTATTGCAGTATATCGATGGCCTACTCCTATGTTGCGATAATATGGAATCTTGTATTGTAAACACTCTTTCCTTGCTAAAATTCTTGGCAGAAGCAGGCTGTAAAGCGACAAAAACGAAACTGCAGGCTTGTGTAGAGAAAGTTATTTTCCTAGGACATTGCATTTCCCAGGGCATTAAACATTTCACGGAGAGTAGAAAGACTGCAGTTCAAAATATTAAACCCCCCCGCAGCCTAGCCCAGCTCCGCACATTTCTCGGTTTGATATCTTACTGCCGTCCTTGCCTGCGTTCTGTAGCTATCTACATGCAACCACTCTATGATTGTCTTGACAACGAAAACAAACCATTTAAATTAACCCATGCGGCAGAAAATGCCTTCTATACCCTTAAGTTACTGGTAACGTCAGCTCCGGCACTGGGTCTCCCAGATTACAGAAATAATTTTAACCTGTTCTGTACTGAGCAATCAGGTTATGCTACATCTGTCCTTACACAGGACCATGGTGGTAAACAAAGACCAATAGCATACTACTCCACCAGATTGGACCCTGTTGCCAGGGGTGCCCCCTCATGCGTTAGGGCAGTGGCGGCTGTTACTGCCCTCCTGGACAAAGCCACTGATATTGTCTTAGATAACCCGGTGACCATATACACACCGCATGATATCAACAGCATACTCTCACAAGTTCAACCAAAACACATACTGCAAGGCATCTCAGAATGCAATGTGCCTTGCTTATGCCACCTAATGTTACTCTTAAAAGGTGTATGGTGTTAAATCCATCTACATTACTTCCCCTGGATTTAAAAGAGGGGAGTGGAGATAGTGGGAATGGTACTTGTACTTCTGATCTTTTTGTAAATTCACTTTCACCAGATGAGTTAGCTGATGCCCAGGTACCCCATGATTGTGCAGCACTAATGGCACAAGAAACAGCAGCTTTTTTGCATGTAATTGATTCTCCATTATCTAATGCAGATTTTGACTGTGTTTGCCACGAGTTTTGTACCCCACGATGGCCCAGATTGCCCATGGACCTACACATCTATCCAAGATGCACATGAACAGCATAGTAAACACCCATTGGGTAGCACCTGGATTTACTGTTGTAGCAGCTAAACACACTCAAGCTTGCATGATTTGTGCTAGAAACAATCCAGGACAAGCTGTCAAAACACCAAGTAAGCACACACCAAGGCCACTTTACCCGTTTCAAAGACTGCAGATAGACTATATTCAACTACCTAAGGTAGGAGTGTATGAATATGTGTTGGTGTGCATTGATCTCTTTTAAGGTTGGCCTGAGGCCTACCCAGTGTCGAAATCCACAACGAAGGTCACAGCAAGTAAGCTTCTGAAGGAACTGGTATGTAGATATGGAGTACCTGAAGTGATTGAAAGTGACCGAGGTAGCCATTTCACTGGGGAAATAATGCAAGAAATTATGAAAGCCTTAGGGATCAGTCAGACCTTCCACACCCCCTATCACCCCCAGAGTAGTGGGAAAGTAGAAAGGGCAAATGGCACCTTAAAGAACAAGATTGCAAAAGCAATGCAAGACACAGGGAAGCCCTGGACTGAATGCCTTCCCCCAGCACTCTTTTCTATGAGATTCACCCCCAATTCCAGACATGGCCTATCCACGTTTGAGATCCTGTTTGGATGTGCCCCAAAGACAGGCCTCTATTTTCCCCAAACCCTCCAGATGCAGCATGGTAGTTTGACTGCCTATGTTCAGGCCCTACACCAAAGATTAGGCAGGGTGAATAAACAAGTCTTTGATTCTATTCCAGATCCAGACTCTGATTCTGCGACCCACAAACTGCAACCTGGTGATTGGGTGGTGATAAAGAGGCATGTGAGGAAAGGACTTGAACCACGCTTTGACGGTCCATTCCAAGTGCTCTTGACTACGGCTACCTCAGTGAAACTAGAAGGAAAAGCCATGTGGATACACACCAGTGACTGTAAACAAGTCACTCCGACTGATCCACCGACGTGAAGCTGTTCTTATCCTTTACCATTTTATGCTGTGTTCGGATATGCTACTCTGACTTGAAACCAGAAAATAATAATGCATGGCAGAAAAATATATGGTTGCAGATAGCAAAGGCTTTTAATTTAACCTCCTTTTGCCTCAACCCTCTCCTCAGTACTGAAAACGCCATAGAATCTTGTCTTATAGCTGTCCCTACCCCCATCTCACTGTTGAGGAAGTACCTACATACCCATAGACCCCAAAAATCACTACAACTATATTCTTATGCCTTCAACCCCTCGTAGGCAAGCCTCCCCTAGCCCTGAAGACAATTAATGTGACAGGCGCTGAACTATGTTGGTCTTTTTCATGTAATTGTTCAAGAGACCCTAATACTGAATCCCTGTTTTGCCCCAGATGGTGGAAAAATACCACGAATTGTAGAGCCCTGAGCACCACTATGAATTGTACCAAAACTCACCAAGTTATGAGTTACCACTACAATGTCTATCTTCCGAAAGGATGGACTTTCTCCTGTGGAAATATTACTTATGCTTATGTCCCAGGTAACATTACAGGAGGTCCCTATGCAATCTCTCGCCTAACCATGACCATGTTTTCCAAATTTGACCTGATCACTAAAACCACCCAGCTACACAAACTGCTGAGAGACAGGAGAGAAGGTAAAAACACCCTTAATGCAGACTGTAACCCTGAAATCACTCTCTTATCTAAAGCCGAATACTCTGCCCTAGTGTACACCTTGGTAGGAGTCCCAGGCTTAGCACTGTATAATACCCGAGTAGTTAATGCTGTAGCCTGTTCCCTTGCAAAAGGTTTAAATGCCACTTCACAGGCCCTAGAAGAGCTACTTATGGACAACCAGGCAAATAAGAAGGCAATCCTTGAGAATAGAGCAGTCATTGACTACTTACTAATGAAACATGACTTAGGCTGTGAAGCTATTGAAGGTATGTGCTGTTTTAACCTATCTGACCATGGCACTATGATCCATAAACATATAAAAGATTTACATGACTTAGTACAGGATATCAAACAGGATACTGGCTTCTTTGGGGTTGGGATTGGACATTTGGGCTAGGAACATGGTTGACTTTACTTATTAAGAAAATGTTGTACTTTTTGCTATTAGCTGTATTTGTCATTATGGCCATTTTTCTAACCTTTAGATTTTTTTCATGTCTACTAACCTCTCTATGTAAAAGCAAACCTACTATTGGTCGTACCTTAACTTACATTCCAGCTCCGACTTTGGAAGGGTTTTATGATGTTACCTCGCCTAACAAATGAAGAAACTCTCCTCCGCTGTTTCTGGCGGTCTCTCAGTCCAAGGGAACCGTGGTGAAGCAATAAATGAAAGTCCCACAGGCTTTGGCTAGCAGGCCTGGATATACCTTGGACATTTGGGTGACCCTTGGATCAAAAGAGGGGATTGTGATAGAATTTATCTTGATTCCAAAGCTCAAGCTTATAGGTGTCATATAATGATATCCTATATTAAAATTGGCTAACTTGGACTCAGGAAATGCATGATGCTTAAACAACACCTAAGACCATATATGTCTAAGTTCCGAGAGCAGAGAGCCCCCACCTAAGATGTCTCTTCTCTAATCTTTTTGTTCTTTCTTACCTTGGAACTTATTTGTTATGTGTACATGACGTTCATCCCTATGTCTTATCTGTACTCCCTTCCTATTACTGTTCTAAGAGTATTTGCACATAAGCACTTACTTTTTAATGTATAAAACTCCGCTGATGAATAAAACGTCAGAGGCTTATTTTGAATACCAACAGGTGTCTGGTGTCTAATTCTCGCTTCTCCAAGTGCACTTGTAACAACAATTTGGGCTTCCTCTGAATATAACAAAGATCAACATTTCTGATCCACAACAATAATTCTCACCAAGAATGTGTCAGAAGAGAAAGGGTCCTAAATTAGACAAATTGAGAAATGGCAATAACCATCAACATACAATGGTATTTCCACTTGTTTCTTTAGCACAGATGGACCTCAGAGTTATCGACTAGTATGCGTCACTATCCTTATCTGTGGTAAGGCAGACTGGGAGTTGATGGTTTGTGGTTTTGCTCAGAGAGCACCTGTCAGCATCTCTTTTTAAGCAAACCATTTGAGAGAGTGAACCAAATGAATTTACTGCAGTTAACTTTTTCACACCTGGTTTATAAACACCCATCGTCGTTGTCACCTTTTAACTCTATAAATCTAGGTGTCAGCTCCTCTGTCAGAGAAAACCAACATAAAACTGCAAAAAATGTTTATTTACTTTTTTTTTCTCATTACTTTTTAGCTTGAATACTAATTCTGCAGTATACTGACACTCTGCACTCATCCTGTGTGCTTTTCATGTACACAGCATTCACACCGTACAAGCAATGTTCAGATGTAACGTATTGCATTCACATCCTGTACTCTGAATTTACTCCTTGCACTCAAACTCTGCACACAGCAATCACACAGTATCCTGCACACTGCTCTAATGCCCTGCACACAACATTCACACCCTGCACAAAGCATTCCCACTCTGCACAAAGTATTCACACCCTGCACACAACATTCACACCCTGCACAAAGCATTCACACTCTGCACAAAGCATTCCCACCCTGCACACAGCATTTACACCCTGCACACAGCATTTACACCCTGCACAAAGTATTCACACCCTGCACACAGCATTCACACCATGCACACAACATTCACACCATGCACAAAGCATTCACACCCTGCACAAAGCATTCACACCCTGCACAAAGCATTCACATCATGCACAGAGCATTCACACTCTGCACACAGCATTCACACCCTGCACAAAGCATTCACACCATGCACACAGAGATCACACCATGCACACATTATTCAGTGAAATCTGCGCATAGTACAGAAGCCCTGCACACTATATTCACTACCTGCACACAGCATTCACATATAAGATTCACATACTACCTCCCAGCATTCACATTCTGCCCACAACTTTTTATTTTCTGTGGTGCCCAGCTAGGTAAGGAGGGTGTTTGAAAATACAGTGCCTACAGGAATCACTTCTTGAAGATTAATGCAAAGCATATTTAAAAAATTGCTGCCCAAATTATCCCCAAAAGACCCCCTTCTTTACAAAATCCCCTGTTTACAGGTTATTATGAGCATTTATATAGTGCCAAATATTCTTCAGTGCTTTACAATTATACATAATGCTGCTCCAACCTACCAATCCTCCCTAATACACAAGTATGTCCCATCAAGGCCCCTGCGCTCTGCCGAAGACCTACGCCTATCCTCTGTCCGTACTCCCACATCTGATGTTCTCCAGGGCTGCAGCTTTTCTGTGGAATTCCCTTCCCTTATCCGTTAACACTTTCACCCAGTCTCCACTCATTCAAAAAATCTTTGAAAACACACTTCTTCAGGAATGCATATAATTTAAACTGTTAGAGGATTTTCATTACCCCCTCCCCCATGACTCCTGCAACTGTCAAAAATAACCTAAGTTCTCAGTGAATACTTTTCTAGCAACCTACTTCGTTACCCCTACTTATACCCTGTGTGTCACTATACCCCACTCCCTCTAGCATGTAAGCTCATTGAGCAGGGCCTCAAGCCCTGTGTTCCTGTGCATCCATTTGTTTGGTTACAATTACGTGTCTGTTAGTCCATCCATTGTACAGCGCTACGGAGTTTGCTGGCGCTATATGAATAATAAAATAATAATAATACAATGGAAATACGTTGTAGCAAGCAACTCACAGACAAAATACATTTAAAGTGACACTATAGCATTAGAAATGCAAATCTGTATTCCTAAAGCTATCAGGTTTTCCTCTTTATTTAGATTCAGGAGGTCCAGTCCCTGAAGCCGTTTGTCTTTTTCCTGCAAGACAAATGGCTGCAGGGACTGGATTGCTAACACATCTAACAGTCCAACCCAGTGGTCCTCACAGAAGAGCATTGGGGACTAAAGCCAGCACTGTGCTTCTATTGGTGGATAACAGTGAGACTCAAGATTGACTCGGTTCTCACAGGTGTACTTGACCCTGCAATGTAAACATTTCTATACCTACTAAACGGCAATGCTTTACATTGCAGAGTTAAAACTACTGCACCCAGACCACTTGATATAGATGAGCGATCTGGGTGCATTTAGTAGTCCTTTAAGAGACACAAAATTGTATTTCTCTCTCCACTAAAATACTTATTTCTCCCCTCTTTCTCCTTCCCCTATATGATTGCACATTCTTCCCTTTACTTTTCTTCTAGTGGAACAAATGTCCCCTTGTGATCCCATCAGTGAATTTCATAAACTTCTTAAAACCTAATCTCCGTAATAACTCTACGGTACAAGTATCTCTCTGTCTTGTGTTTCTTTTCCATTCATTCTTGTCTTCCAACAAAATGCCTCCCACCATTTTGTATCCAACTCTGAAAGTTAATTAAACACACCCGAAACACAAAGCCACATTTTCTTTGTTTTGTCCCATCGTCATGTTATTTTTCTGGAAGGATGTTCGTTACTCAAGACAAGTCAAGCAGCAGTCAACTTTCCATTCTATAATGGTTGGTGTAATGCAAAACCTGACCTTCTCACACTGTATTTTTATTTTGCGTGGTGCAAAGGCTGACCTCCATTAAACCCTCAGCAGTCTGGAGCTTTTAATAGACGACACATTTGGCCCTCTTAGTGTGATGTTTCAAACTTAGTGGGTGAAGGGAAGTCTGCTATTCTAAAACAATTTTGCGTTAATCTTTTACAGCGTATACTCGAGTGAGCAATTCTCAGATTACAAACAATACTGGTTTTCAGTTCAACTATGAAAATATTTACGAAACTTCTACATTTTTATATCTTCCTGTTATTTTATTGGGTACAGTAGATGGGAGTGAGAGAGGGTTTATAAAAGTAAAGTGTTTATTATGGTAAAATAATGCCATTGCATTGAGCGATTCTCCAGAAATCAAACGAAGGAACGAGACTGAAAGTTGGGTGGTTTGTCAATGTCTTTGGAACCCTAGGATGGAAATAAATATATAGAGAGATGCAGGAAAATGGAGCCATGCATTATGGGGACATAATGGTATTTAGGGATTCAGAGATTTCATAATAGAGCAAACCCTCTGGTCCTGATTAAAAAAAGAGTCCTCTTCTTCTTTTGTGCCCGATATAGGGCCAAGAAACGATCAGATCCAAGGCTCCAATTAAGATTTCTCTGCATCAGAGTGGTGCTATTAGCTATCTAAAGCACATTACCTGCACCCACCTTATGATAAATATAATAATGCCTACCTACCCCACTACCTGTAATAAAATTTGTGGCGGGCAATGGTATAGCCTAAAATGAAAAAACAGAAGAAAGATCTTCTATTTCTTTTCTTTGGCCAAAATAAACAGGTCGTTAATGCATTATACCCCAATGCAACTATTCTGAATAACAAACAAAAAACAATAAATAAATGAAAACAGTATATCACACACAGACCATCAGGGATGATGATGCTGGACAGGAAGGTAGCAGTTCCATAACACTACAACACCTCTGAAATCTGAAAACATTTTCAACTTAATGTTGTGAAACACTGAGTAACCTGGAGTTACAGGTTCACTTTATGTGGCCTCAAACAATGACTGTGTCTCTGTTTGTAGCTTATGTCCAATTCCCAATGAATGATGCAGGAAGGAATGTATTCAGAGGAACAATAAGTAAACCAGCACATAAGTGCCTCCGTTGATACATCTTACCCCAGACAGACAGTCTATGCACATTACAGCAGGGACGATCCTAGGGTCACAGACACCTGGGTGCAGATTTTTTTTCTTTTTGGTGACGCAGGTGGGCGTGGTCATCTTATTAACCCATCCCTTTTACAAATGTCCAGATATGCATGTTTCTATGGCAACTACTCTACCTCTCCATTAGAGACTGTAGTGGGAGGCTAGAGGCTGTAATAGGGGTTTGGGGCTGAAGTGTGGAGTTTGGGGCAGTAGTGGGGGATTGGGGCTTTAATGGGGGGTAGAGGCTGTAGTGGGGCACAGGGGCTGTAGTGGAGTATAAGGGCAGTAGTGTGGGATAGGAAGGGTATTGGGAAATAGGAGCTGTAGTGAGGTATAAAGCATGTAGTGGGGGGCTAGGGGTGGAAGTGCTGGGTTAGAAGATGTAGTGTGGGTTAAGGGTAGTAGTAGTGGGGTATAAATGCAGTTGTGGGTAGTTAAGGGCAGTAGTGGGGGATAGGAGCAGAAGTTGGGTAAGAAGATGTAGTGGGGATAGGTGCAGTAGTGGGGGGTGTAGGAGCAGTAGCGAGGGATTAGGGGATGTAGTGTGGCTTAGGGGGCGTAGTGTGGGGCTGAAGGCAGTGGTTAGGGGGTCTGGCACAGAACAGGGCACTCTGGGCTAATAAAAATAATTTGCACATTTGAGACCCGGGCTTTTCAGGAGCCCACTAGGGGCTCTAGCGATGCACCCACCTTGGATTGGTCCACCATGTCAGAGTGACAGCATGCAATACTGACTTGGCACGTGTGCATAATAAAGTTTCATGTGATATTCGCTGGTTAAAATGGTTTAAAAAAAAAACAAAACATCACAGCATTTTCTAACTGGAAATGATTTGTATACCCTCCGCAAATCTGTGCAGGTTATTTTATATTACAAAAAAAATATATTCCAAAATTGTCAAATCAGCACAATTTTCCATTTTAATGCTGTCCCTTAACAGACAAATGAACATGTGGTATGTGGAAATAAAAGACAAATCTGCATACACAAGAAAAACAGTGAGACTCAAACGCTGATCAAAGGCATTCTGTCTTCATTCACTGGGCTAGGATTGTGGACATCTAAAAAGGGAAGTGAAATTTTAGGTTAAAAAAAAATATCCAAACTAAATAATCAACTGAGTTGGAGATATTTTCTAAAATTTGAATTACCGTATATACTCGAGTATAAGCCATCCCGAATATAAGCCGAGGCCCCTAATTTTACCACAAAAAACTGGGAAAACTTATTGACTCGAGTATAAGCCTAGGGTGGGAAATGCAGCAGCTACTGGTAAATTTATAAATTAAATTAGATCCCAATAAAATTACATTAATTGAATATTTATTTACAGTGTGTGTATAGAATGAATGCAGTGTGTGTGTGTTTGTGTGTTGTGTGTGTGTATATAATGCAGTGTGTATATAAGGCAGTGTGTGTGTTTGTGCAGTGTGTGTAAACTGGATGAGGGGAGGGCATTTTTATTTAAATTTTTTAATTTTATTATATTATTTTAATATTATTATTATATTATTATTTTAATAATATTATTATTATTTTAATATTTGCATTATTGTCCCCCCTCCCTGCTTGTTGCCTGTTCAGGGAGGGGGGACAAAAAAAACATTTTTTTTAAAAATAATTCAAATATTAAAATAATAATATAATAATAAAATAATATAATATTAAAATAATAATATTATTTTATTATTATATTATTATTATTTTAATATTTGCATAATTTTTTTAAAAATGTTTTTTGCCCCCCCCCTCCCTGGCCAGGCAACAAGCAGGGAGGGGAGAAAAAACATTTTTTTTTAAATAATGCAAATATTAAAATAATAATAATATAATTTTAATAATATTATTATATTATTATTAAAATAAAATAATATTAAATCCCTGGTGGTCCAGTGGCATTGGCAGTTCAGTGGGGGGGGGTGGGCTGGCAGCGAGCTCTTAACTACCTTCCTGCAGCTCCTGTCAGCTCCCTCCTCCTCCATGCAGCTTTTCGGTCAGCTCCGTTCTGTTTACAGTGTAAGTCTCGCGAGACCCGCGGCTCTCGCAAGACTTACACTGTGAGCAGAACGGAGCTGACCGAGGAGCTGCATGGAGGAGGAGGGAGCTGACAGGAGCTGCAGGAAGGTAAGTAAGAGCTCGCTGTCAGCCCCCAACAGGACCGCCGGGCTTGTAATGAGCCCGGCGGTCCTGGTCTGTATTGTGGCAATGTAAATTGCCACAATACAGACATTGACTCGAGTATAAGCCGAGCTGGGGTTTTTCAGCACAAAAAATGTGCCGAAAAACTCGGCTTATACTCGAGTATATACGGTAAGTCCTCCAATCCTAGTTCAGATGCTAAATCCCATATATGTAGCTTCACAAATCCCCTACAAACTGAATAGTTAAAATTACGTAATAAACAGGAGGAAGGGAAAGCTTGCAGGCTAATTATCACTTTCAGTCTTAGGCCATGACCATAAAATACCTATAGGGACACGTCAAACATCTAAAGCAGTTTAGTTTACTGAAGTGCTTCATGTGTGAAGAGTTGTGTCCTCTTTTTTCAGATTTGCAGAAGAAATTATCACTTTCATAAAGTAAATGAAAGATTGTTCTTGTATTTATGTATTGGGATTGATAATGCTTATTAAACATGCTTTAGAATATGCTGTATAGTATACCACTGATTTTAATTGAGTGTTCAGAAAATGTATGTGAATTTTATTAAGAAAGATATTTTGGATAATTAGGGAATGCTATGTGGTTTTGATATCCTTCAATAAATTATCCTGGTTATACTATACCCCCTGGCTGTCAATCAGACAACCAATCCTGTTACCTTCTGGTAGTTTAGCTCAGTGGAACTAAACTCAAGATGCAGCAATTGCCTTGAGCACCTGCCTTGCTAAGACGTCTCATTGAGCTGCATTGGGAGTCTGTGATTGGGCAGTCACAGAAAGTCTGGGTGGGGTTAGAAATAGGAAATAGTTAAACCAGATTGGGCAAGCAAGCATTACATTGCACAAAAGGAATTAGCTTATTGGTCAAGATCCCTGTCATCATTCACGTCATTTTCCCTCCCTCTCTCTTGTTTTGTCACTTTTCAGATATCCGAATCACTTCGGCACTTTGGAGCTTCGGCACTGTGATAATAATATTCCATATTAATCAAGAATGATTGATTTATCATTATTGAGCAAATCAAACTATTATAGATAGTCAAGATGGCGCCGGTAAACAGTACTGAAAATGTTAATAACCACAAAACACAGTCACGAGAATATTATGAGAACAGAGCTAGCTTTTTAGATAGTTATGAGAACAGAGATATTAACCGTACAGATCTGGCATGGAATTGTTTTGGGACTGCAAGGTCTTTGCTGGGCTGCACTGATAAGAAGATTTGGTGGAAAAGTACAGACTATTCACCCCTTTTGATTATTAAGTTTCTTATAAAAGACTAAAAAATTTGGCACTCATTGGAGTACTACCGACGCGTATTGCTGGTTCTGCTGATTTCCCAGTAAGAGAGGGTCCCCTTCAAGCCTGACTGCCAGTTCTCTCAGTCAAGTGCAGCAAGTTTCTCTCTTATGGTGATGTATTAAGCTTTCTTTTATTAAGCTGTTTTTTATTAAGCTGATTCTTTGAGCTGTTCCTTTAAGATGGATTTTAAGCTGAATGATTATTAATTAAGTCTCTGTTAGTCAATAAAGTTTGTATTGATTATTTCCAAGTACTTGATGTCAGTGTTTTTCCCTTTCTCAAATACTCAATTCACTCATCCCGAATAAGGTTTTGGTGCCCAACAATATCTTTAAAAACCTTAGGGTAACTGATTATAGCTTTTTGATATTGACACTTCATGAATTTAATGATTAAGCACAACAGGCACTTCCGAACTACCGAACTTCATCATTTTCGGAACTTCGGCACTCCGGACATTTGTAAGCATCCGAATGTCCGAATGGCATGAAATCCGTACGAATGTACATTTGGAACGAAACGAACTGCACATGTCTAATTTTGGATGTAGTGTCATTTCAAAGGGCACCAGCCCCTAATGCTGTTATACAATGACAGCCCTGGAAGGAAGGACAATATCCAGGAATATCATTTAGGGCAAGCTGGGTATGATGGATCAATGCAGACCCAATGGGTGACATCAGAAAAAACCACTAGAGCAGAATAAGCATGCAGGAGGGTTGTATACTCAGAAAATGGGGTGATTTTTCACAATGCCCCAACTCTTGACATGCCTAGCTGCTAGGCCTCTCTGCAGTATCAACAACCATCAACAAAGAGGTGATGAGTACAATGCAAAACTAACCAGGACAAATAAAACTTGATTTTTTTTCCCATCACACGGTTAGCATTTGTCTTTACAACGCTAATAGATTTTCTTTCATAACACAAATTTGCCAGCCCCAAGGTCTAGGTCTTCTACAAACTATGTCAGACTGGAAGATCACCATGAGATGAGGGCAACTGCATTCAATATAGAATGAGTGCTTTATAAAATTATTATAATTTTATAGCAAGTAGCTGCTATCAGTTTAAATACAGCCCTACTCCCAGTAATGCTAACTGCACTGTGTGCAGTGATAAGCACATGCCTTGGACTGGTTTATTCGAAAAAATAACTTGAACAAGCACAGGTAGCCCTTAAGCCAGCATTGCATCTGTCTGATGAACAATTCTGGGAAGTTGGAATAAAGGGACACTATAGTCACTACAGCTTAATATAGAGGTTTTGGGCATAGAACCTGTCCCTGCGGGCTGAGCATTGTAAACACAGCATTTTCTGAGAAAAGGCACTGTTTATATTGCTGCCTGTGGCCACCTCTAGTGACTGTCGTCGATCAGTGTAACAAGATGTAACAGCGAGTGATGCAAAATGTATTAAAATAATATATTTCAGATTTAGTTTTTTTGTGTTTGTGTGTTTACTTTTAAATAAAAAAAAGTTATAGTATATGTTATAACGCTAAGTTTGCCTACAACTATCACCTGTTACAAAACTGGAGGGTTTGAAAAGCCATGTACCACAAGCTCGTCTTTAATTACAGCATCTTGAAGACTCAGCTCTGTGTATTTTTAGATCAGATGAACCTTTCAAGTAGGGTTCCATTGCAAGATTTAAATCATGATAATGTCCCTTCCATCTCTTGAATTAATACCAGAAGATTAAACATGTTTAAAGAGCCAGTTTTGGCTGATAAGAAAATTAAGATTAGAAGAATTAAGAAAACATTTACGACCTTGAAGAATTCACAAATCACTTTCACATTAATGAAAGTCAGTTAGATATTTTAGTTCAGTCTGTTCCATGGATGAATGGAGAGATGGCTATCTGCAGACTGCAGAGTTTAGAGGTGTGAACCATTTTTTTTTTTTTAAATTCTTTATTTTTCATTTTTGGTGCAACATTTAGATTGTACAGATTGTTAAAAAGTTGAGGTTCGGTACCGTTCATAGTTTGCACCGTTTTGGGTCAAGCAATAGCAATAATTTTAAACAACAGTAACATGTTAAAACAAAACAGTATTCATTATTTAGGTGTTATGATGTTTTGTGCGTTCTTGTGTTGGGATAGGACTTTGCTTTCAATCAGTAGCTCCTGTCTAGAGTAGGTCTGGTGGTGATGGGACCCTATGTGAAGATTGAGTAGGTTTTCGAGTCATGTAGTAGCAAGGTTGCGTCAATTCCATGTTTCATGGTCGGACTCGCTGTGTTGTGCTGAGTATAGGTGTCTACATGCGTTAGTGGAGGTGAGCTGTTTGTCGTAGATAGCGTGCTTTGGGTTGATTACCCCTAACCAAGGGGGCTGCGGGGGGGGGGGGTGATTTGTCAGGCGCTCTGTGGTTGGACGTGTGATATGTTGGCTCTCAGTGGCGTAGAGAGGGTGGGTGTGGCAATGGCCTGTAGTGTTTGGGAATTGTTAGCGGAGGCTAAATAGTAAATATTGTAAAACGTAAGTAGTAAATAGTATAAAACATGAATAGTATAAAACGTAAATAAAGTCACGGAATGAAATCAAAATATGTGTGCACCATTCCTGGTGGCAAAGCCTGCGGTGTCAGTCCACTTCAGTCATGGTACAGGGTGTTGTGACCCGCTGGGTCTCGGTTCCGACTGGGCGTTGTTCCTGGGATCCTGGACTTCCAGTTGCGGGCTTTTTCGTGGTGGAAGCATCGGGTTGGGTAGTTTCAAAGCGGTTAGGAGATTAGGTGCTTCTTCCACGGAGGTTAGGACATGGGTAGTGCCTTCTTGGGATACCTCCAGAGTCCCGTTAGTGCCCCATTTGTATGCAATTCCCGCTGCTCGGAGTTGTGTGGTGAGCGGTCCATACGATTTTCGCCACATGAGGGTGGCCTTTGATAGGTCCTGGAAGAACGTCAGGGAAGAGTTCTCAAACAGCAGCGGTGTCTTGCCTTTCAGCCCAGCCATTATGTGTAGTTTATCTTGTACTGTGACACATCTGAGGATGACGTCTCTGGCCGTTGGGGTCTTTAGGTGGGGAGGGGTAGGCAAGCGGTATACCCCATCTATGATCATTTTCTTCACTGCCGTGTGTGGGAGTACTGTAGCTAGTAGGCGTCTGGTGTAATGCGGCAGCTCTTCGGCTGATATCTCTGCAGGGATGCCCCTGATTTTTATGTGTGAGCGGCTTTGTCGATCTTCCATGGTTGACATTTTGAGTGACAGGTACGTTTGTTGTTGTTGGATTTGTTTGATGGTGTCTTCCATCGTGTTTATGTGAGCATGTACCATCACTACTTCTGCCTCCGTGGTGTACACCTTTTCCGTGACCGTGCGCAGTTCGGTCCTCAGAAGGGCTGAGTCAGCTGCTAGGAGCTTATGGATGTCTGCCAGAAGAAGCTTTAAGTCACGTTTAGTGGTTGGTGCAGAGTCATCCGGAGACTCCAACAGTGGCTGTAGTGGTGCTTGTAAGTGCCCTTGTTCGTCAGGTCCGGTTTGTGGTGGATTGTGTACCCTTTCAGGCTGTATTGCCCATGGGTGTCCCTGGGAGTCAGGGCCTTGTGGAGCCCGGGTATGCGGCTGCTGATTTTGGTGCTGCCCAGTAAGTTCTGGCCCCTGTGCTCCTGTTTTGGGGGTCTGTGGGGGCTCCGGCGGTTCTTGCCGTTGTTGGGGTGTGGTAGGTGCCTGGGTAGCCTCCAGCGTTTCTGCCGCTGTTTTGGGTTTGGGCTGGGTAGGCTTTTGGAGCATAGTCCCAATATCCCTGCCCCCAGCCGTACCTTGTGGCCTTTGTGATCTGCGTCCCATTGCCGGCATATGAGTCAGAGCTGTGGATGGGTCCGGGGTGCAGGAGGTGTCTGTGTGCTCGGCCAGGTATCCACGCAACAGGTCCTCGAGGCCCAGGCTCGTTGGGGTGTAGTAGGCCCCGATTTTGCGTCTCCGTTTCTGCTGCCGCTGCGGTTGGAAAAAAGGCATCGGGAGACGTGGCTCGTTGTGCTGATGCCGATAGTGCGTGTGGCGAGGTAGGATGGGTCAGAGGAAGGCTGATTTTAATGGATTTTATCCGCAGGGCTTGGGAGCTGTGGAAAATGGCCTCCGCTCGTGTCGGGTAGCAAGCCCCGCCCCCTAGGTGTGAACCATTTTTATCTACTCTTAGTTTAGGGGCTTATTCACTCAATGCTGAATTGAAAAGGGGATTTCAGAAATGTAGTCTGAAAAAAACTCTCACACAGCTATCTTTCTAGTGAGGCTTTTTTATTCTACATTTTCTAATTCTTTCTAAATTATCTACAGATTAATTTTCAAAGAATATGCCAGTTTGAAAGATCCTGACCCATCCTGTACAGTGTCTATAAAATATTACATATTTCAGACACAAACTAAAATGGCGTTCAAAGAAATACTTTAGTGTTATGAATGCAAAACTGTATTCTTAAAACTATAGTGTCCCTCTGCCTCTGCCCCCTGTTAATATATTGTTAAAACCCTTTTATTTACTTGCTTGAATCCAGCGCCAAGGTCCCTCGGCGCTAGATAGGGCTCCTCCTCCTATGTCACGGCGATGATGGAATATAATGCTCCTATGTCACTAGCTCACGTCCTGTGCATGTCACAAACTCCATCCCTGCTAACCTACCTAGCTTTTTTTAAAATTATTTTTTTAAAGGACTACTATAGTGCCAGGAAAACATACTCGTTTTCCTGGCACTATAGTGCCCTGAGGGTGCCCCCACCCTCAGGGTCCCCCTCCCGCCGGGCTCTGGGGAGAGGAAAGGGGTTAAAACTTACCTTTCTCCAGCGCCGGGCGGGGAACTCTCCTCCTCCGATCCTCCTCCTCTCCTCCCAATGAGACAGCCACTAGAGGAGTTGAGGGCTGGATTAACCCTATTATAAACATAGCAGTTTCTCTGAAACTGCTATGTTTATAAAAAAAATGGCTTAATCCTAGCTGGACCAGGCACCCAGACCACTTCATTAAGCTGAAGTGGTCTGGGTGCCTAGAGTGGTCCTTTAATGAAAGGCATTGTCCTGGTTGCTAAAATTTTACCACCTCAATGACAATTGGACAGACCATACAGCTATGAAGTAATGATATAAGATGCCAGGATGTGATCTCACATAATATAGTATCTCAAGCCATCAAGGGGGTCTGCTGGCTCTGTCAGGGTTTGCACACTGATACTTCCTGCAGGGGGTCCATAAATCCATTTTGGCAGACCTGCTATTTTGAACCATGTTCATAGCTCGCATTGTGGCCACTTTCACTCCAATGCAGTATCAAACACATTCGGTATTGCTCATTTTAGTGAGGGACTAAAGACCTTGCAATACCCTCAATAATGAGACATATTGGGGTAACATAGCATTGGAAGACAACAGAAAGCTTTGTCAAGATGCAGCACTACATACTTTCATATATAGCTATTAAAGTCGCACTCTAAGCACCATAACCACTACAGCTTAATGTAGAGAGATGGTCCCTGCAGTCTCAGCTGTGTTAACATTGCTGCTGAATGCCATTTCCGAAACAGCCACTAGAGGGTCATCCAAGTTGAGGATCTGCAATATCTGCACCATCGGTGTTCCGCGTCTTCACGATCATCACAAACATGCTGAACTCTCCCTATAGAAACGCATTGAATTCAAACATCTCTATGAGGAGATGCTGATTGGTGCAAGACAGCAACTGCTGGTTATGCGCACATGTGTGGTGTGTGTGCAGGCTGTGTGTAATGTGTGTGTTTGGTAGTGAAGAGAGGGTGCTAGATCCTTGGTGGTCTAGCTGACTTATTGGATCCATGGTGGTTAACCTTGGATCACCTTGCCAGACCACCAGCTATCCAGAACCTTTGCTGGTCTGGTTATCAAGAGAGGGTTCTGGAAAGCTGGTGGTCTGACAAGGTGACTTATATTTGGGTCTTTATCTGGGGCTGAACAACCACTGGCTTTAGCTATCTTTGCTTTGCACTGACTGAGGCTAACATTTATGATAAATTATTGGTCTTATCTACACTATTTCATTTCTTCTGTAAAAATATAGTTTTTCTAGACACAAATGGATAAACACATTTACTTTTGGAGTGTGAGATAGTCGCACTATCTTTGATGACAAACACTGAAGTGAATGTGGGAAAAACAAACCCCCCCCTCCAGGAGATATTATATAACCAGCAGTCTGGCAGAGGGAGAATAACTCCAAACTTCAACACACAAAGACATATCACTGGCTACTTGTTACCAGTCAATGATTAAATGGAATGATACAACAGCAAACATACAAGGCATAGAACTAAGATCCAATCTAAGCAATGATAAAATAAAAGGAAATAGTATCTGACACTTTTATGGAAACAACAGCTAGAGGGCAATGGAAGAGAAGTACAAATAAAACTGACCTAGAAAAAAACATGGGCATGACATTAACCTCTTAAGTACCAGCTGGTAAAGCTTTCACTCTGTTAACCCTTGAATGCCAGAAAGTAAAGCTGTCACTCACTCTGTTAACCCTTTAGCTGCTGAAACCAAATATCCCTAAACAATCAGAGATATATTATGCTTTTTTTTTCCATTTAAGCCAGGAAGTAGACAGTACTATTATTATTATTATTATTACATTAGGAAGGCAAGAATATACAAAATATTTCACAGCATTAACCTTGTAATTGCTGGGGAATTTGTAGATTTGTAGACGAAGAAAGAAACAAACTAGAGTTGAGTTCGGAAAGTAAAGTCATTGAGTTTAATGTCCCTTCTGAGGGTAAGTTCCAGTATGTGCACTTACCTGACACCTGCAGATAATGTCAGCGTCTGTGGCCAGCAGATCCACCACCTTCCCTTTACCTTCATCGCCCCACTGAGCCCCCAGGACCACTGTCACCTTGTTGCCCACGTCGTGCCGGGGTCTCTTGTGCCCTTGCCCCTGGCTGGGGTGGGTGCTGCGGTCGTTGGAGGATCGGGTGGAGGACATGGCATGTGGTGGGACCCGGGAGGCTCTGTCTGACCGGCTGGAGTGTCACACGACTTGCCAGTGACATGGGACTGGGGACATGGAGGGGGGAGGGACGGACAGGGGGCAGAGACTGGGGGGAGGGAGAGTAATGGGCAGAGGAGGAGAGACAGACACAGAGACTGGGGGTAATGGGCAGAGGAGGAGAGACAGACAGGGGCAGAGACTGGGGGTAATGGGCAGAGGAGGAGAGACAGACAGGGGCAGAGACTGGGATAATGGGGCATTGAAGGAGGGACAGATTGGGGGACAAATACAGGGTGGGTAATGGGGCAGGGGAGGAGACTGACAAGGAGGCAGAAACTAAGGGAGGCAGGGGAACAGGGGAGGTAATTTGGCATTGAAGGGGGGGCAGAGAATAGGGGGAGACTATTGGGCAGCAAAGGAGGGACTGAGAGAAGAGGGCAGAGATAGAAGTTAATGGGGTCGGGTAGGAAAGACTGAGGAGGGGGTAATAGAGCATTGAAGGGGGGCATTCTGGGGGAGATCATAGGGCATTAAAGGGAGGACAGATTTGGGGGAGGTAATGGGGCTGGGGAGAAGAAACTGGGGGGAGGTATTGGGGCATTGAAGTAGGGACAGATTGGGGGACAGAGACGAGGGGGGTGTAATGGAGCAGGGGAGAAGAGACTGAAAAGGGGGCAGAAACTGAGGGAGGCAGTGGGGCAGGGGAAGAGGGACAGTCTGGGGGGAGGTAATTGGGCATTGAAGGGGGGCAGAGAGTAAAGGAAGGCTAAAGGGCAGGAAAGGAGGGACAGGCAGAAGGGTGCAGAGATAGAAGAAGTTAATGGGGTAGGAGAGGAAAGATTGAGGAGGGAGTAATAGGGCATTGAACGGGGGACAGACTGAGGAGAGGTGATGAGGCATCTAAGGATAGACAGTCTGGGGGGCAGGTAATGTGGTAGGGGAGGAGAGACTGGGGGGGCCGGGGGGAGGCTATAAGGATAAAAGGAGGGAGCCAGGGAATACATTGTGGCTTAGGGGGACTGGCTGCACTGATGGTGATTAGGTCAACTGATTGAGGGTAGTTTATTAACCCCATATTGACCAGGTTTAGGTATATCCCCTATTAAATGTTCTATGGCCGTCCTGAGCGTTCCCACACCATATAAAATGTTTAGGTTGAAAAAAACTAGATATTAACAATTACTATTTGTTTGCCTTAGTTGGCAATTAGTAGTTTGTTTCATAGCTGCATAGATACATTCATAAATGCTTTAACTTTTTAACTACAGAAGAAATATACCCAGTAACTGTGTCATGTATAGCGTTATACCCAGTAACTGTGTCATGTATACAAATATACCCAGTAACTGTGTCCTGTATAGAGTTATACCCAGTAACTGTGTCATCTATAGAAATATACACAGTAACAGTGTTATGTATAGAGTTATACACGGTAACTGTGTCATGTATAGAGTTATACCCAGTAACTGTGTCATGTATAGAAATATACACAGTAACTGTGTCATGTATAGAGTTATACCCAGTAACTGTGTCATGTATAGAGTTATACACAGTAACTGTGTCATGTATAGAGTTATACCCAGTAACTGTGTCCTGTATAGCGTTATACCCAGTAACTGTGTCATGTATAGAGTTAGTCGTACCGAACGCCGTTCGAATAGCCGAACATCCGTGGAAGGTAAGTAGTTAGCTGTGTTCGTGCCATCGATTGTCTGATATGAGTTCCATGTACTCGATGACCAAACACCGCTCATTGTGCTCGCGGCTTAAGATGACTGCCGCCACGTGTTCGAAGTGAAGCTTCGAAACTGTTCGACCGTTCGGGAGTTTGAAGTGCTACTTTGAGAGTTCGAAGTGTTACTGTTATAAGTCCAAAAGGCACAAACAGTGGTTTTAACCAAGGTTTATCACAGGGGCCATAGTCACAGGGTAGGAGGCTGGCAAACAGGCCCCTCCAAGAACCAGGTTACTTTCGCCACATGTGTCATGTATATAGTTATACCCAGTAACTGTGTCATGTATAGTGTTGTCCCTAGTAATTGTGTCATGTATACAAATATACACAGTAACAGTGTCCTGTATAGAAATATACCCAGTAACTGTGTCATGTATAGAAATATATACAGTAACTATGTCATGTATAGAGTTATACCCAGTAACTGTGTCATGTATAGAGTATACACGGTAACTGTGTCATGTATAGAATTATACACGTTAACTGTGTCATGTATAGAGTTATACACGGTAACTGTGTCATGTATAGAGTTATACACGGTAACTGTGTCATGTATAGAATTATACAGGTTAACTGTGTCATGTATAGAGTTATACACAGTAACTGTGTCATGTATAGAGTTATACACGGTAACTGTGTCATGTATAGCGTTATACCCAGTAACTGTGTCATGTATAGAATTATACACGTTAACTGTGTCGTGTATAGAGTTATACACGGTAACTGTGTCATGTATAGAGTTATACACAGTAACTGTGTCATGTATAGAGTTATACACATGAAGTGCACAGCAGAAATGTGCATATTGTGATATTTACTGAGTGCCTCTGTGTTCACTATTTATCACAGGGACCCAGTGATATCGGCAGCACTGACCGGCATCCAGTGAGGGAAGAAGTGACAACCAGTTATTTCCTCCCAGCTAAGTCAGAACCGCGTGGGAGGGCAGAGAGAAGGGAGCACAGACTGGGAGAGATTCTGACTCCTAACAGCCTCAGGCAGCCAACTGGACCCCAGGGAAGCCACACTCCTGCACCCTAAAGGTAAGGAAAAACAGAATGGCTAAAAAATATATATTTTGCATGTTTGTGTGTATGTGTTACTGTATGTGTGTCTGTGTAATCTGAATGTGTCATTATGTGTGTCTGTATCTGTATGTGTGTTAGTGAGTGTGTGCGTATTTGCTTTGGCATCATTGTGTGTCTGTGTATCTTTTACAATATTATTACAACAGTACATAAAACACACAACACTACACATACTCCACACAACAAAAATGCGTACATTCAAACACACGAACACTGCTGAGTGCTAATTACAACCATGCAAGGATGGGCTAATGGTAGATCCCCAGCTGGCAAAGCATTGTGGCAGTTATAAGACAGGTGGGAATCTATCTTTTGACTATATTTGTGATAGGGGGGACCCCAAAAAATACTTGCACCAGAGCCCTGTCTTCTTTTGGTTTGCCACTGTATCACAGCCCGCTGTAGTGGTTATGATGCCAGGAGTAGCCTTGCCCAATTCCCCTCTTAAGGGACAGGCACTTTTCCCCTTTACTTAGGTCAATGCTGGGCTCCAATGCTCCATTGTGGTGCAGTGACATGCTGCTGGCTTCTGCAATCTCCAGAACCTGAGGCAATCGACATTCATTGGCTGACTGGTCTCACACAGTGACTGTCATTTGAGATTTGCCAGCCCGAAACTGTGTTTACGGACTGCAAGGTGGCACCCTATGAGGCTGTCAGAGGTGGACTTGCACCTCTGGCAGCAGAGGAGTTAATCTATGTGCAGTGCTTTAAAATGAAAAGCTTTGCATACAGACTAGAGGCACCATAACCACTTCAAATCATGGGAATAACCCTTTAACTCTTACTAGTTCAATACCTTTCTTGGCATATGGCTCTCAGATGAGTGGCTAAACGGACACCATAATGTAACAAGACACACTGGGCTCCATGACCACTATAGTGCACATCCCCATTATGATACCAACTCATACCAGGTTAAGACATTATTTATTGGCCAACAGTCAGCTGGCACTCTTGAATACAGCTTAAACCTGGCATGTTAACAAGGAAGTATGAACTTCTGCTTTGTAAGATCAACTTGTACTGTAAGTTCTGTGGACATCCAACACAGCAAGGTAAGAGTTAAACCATTAATAATACTCTACATCGAATTAATGCAGGGTTTTAGTTCACAGTTTATTTAAATGAAAACCAAAAACATTTTTTTTCGAAATAAAATAATTTATTAAGAAAGTATTCTGCACTTAGCAAACCCCCCAAATATCCTTATTTACATACAAGTGTTCAATATGGCATCACCAATGCACAGATAAGAGATAATGCTCGGAATTTGATGGATAACCTTTTTTTGTGTGCCTCAGTGGTGCAAAATACATTCTCAATCTGCCAGCACGCAAAGGAATTAGGACAATAGATACTATGCTTTTTTTGTTTTTTTTAATACATACATATATTCAATATGCGTTCTCTACACTTGGATTTGTGGATAATTGACATGCGGATTGCACTTGGTATTGCAAACCTGTCACATAAACATTTTCAGATTGGCAAATATGATGAAAATAGGTCAGTCCAGATGTGAAGAAAAAACACCAAAACAGATTGAATATACTGTGCATGGTCCATTTGTAACATATAACCTGCAACTTTACATTTAGTGGTAAAGGTACAGCAATACTCACAGTTATATTTGATGTCCCTGTGCCTTATCCACTAAATGGTGTTGCATGTTATATATTATTTCCCACAGTATATCCACAATGTTTTTTGTTGTTGTTGTTGCTTTGTGTGTGTGTGTGTGTGTATTTGGTATCAAATATGGGGTGTCCAAGTCCATGAACTGCAGTCTGTCTGTCTTGTACCTATTCCCCATACTGGAGAAATTAAATCAAAGTCAACTCTAAAAACAGCCTGGTGTTCTGAACTCTGTGTTTTTTACTTTTAATTTTGTTTGTTTATTTTACCACCTAACCCAGGATGGTGTCCTTTATTTTTTTACAAAACATTTATCGTTAGTCATATTTAGACGATAAAGCCATTAGGTCTGAGTACACTATGTTGTTTATATCTACATATAGAAATATTTGCACCTTAATTATGAAAGCACATAACTATTTCACTTTTATGATTAATACCTTATTATATAGAGATATTTTAGTTTGCTTTTAATCTCTTATTGTTTTAATTTCTCTTGACTGTATAAAAAAAAAATAAGACTGTAGTGTTTTATAAATGTTTATATGGGACCCAGCCTACAAATGTGTTTTCGTCAGTTATTCTGACAATCTATAGAATAACATTTGTACCATTGTTCTTAAAAACATAAAAAATAAATTTCAACGGCTACAAGAATGAAAATATGTAAAAGTGTGTTCAGGATGAGAATAATATTTCCGTATCCTTATGTAAGATGGACTAGAGCAGTGGTTCCCAACCCAGTCCTCAAGTACCCCCTACCAGTCCAGGATTTAGGGATTACCAAGTTTTGTCTAGGGTGTTTTTTAGAAGAAAATACCCCCAAACACTTTAGACACAACAAAGTAATCCCTAAATCCTGGACTGGTAGGGGGTACTTGAGGACTGGATTGTGAACCCCTTTTTGGCTTGTGTACTAGAGGATGACATAAAGTAAACATTGTACCAAAAAGGTGATTTCTTCAGTTGATAGATCCTATTAAGGTCAAAGAAGCTTTGTATATGTTCAAAAACAAGTTGCCAAGAGCCGAGGTCTTTTGTTTGTGGTTTAAATTGACTAAATTTTGAGCTAACAAGGTTACAAAATTTAGTTATAGTTGAGTTGAAATTAAACTTCCACCGTAGGATATAGTTTTTCTGCGCCTGCTATTTGCCCTAAATTTAGCAAACTAGTTGTTAACTAATCACAACATCTGCCTCAAAAACAATACGCATCATCTTTCTTAATACCTATTTTAGTCGTTAATCTCTCTCACTAAAATACAGTCAGTGCTTGAAATCCCAAAAAAGCTTGCGGCCCACCAGCTAAGTCCGAGTACCTTGTGTTTTCTGCTTTTTCTGGCACAAAATTAGTTACTACACTATTTCCTCCCTGTTTTTTTTAATGTTCATTTAAGATCTCATATGCAATTAGGCTATTATCAATCTGCATCCTAGGCAGCATGACACATCAAAGTCTGAGTCTTCCAGGGTTATTCACTAGAGTGAAATTGGTCAGGAAGTCAAAATGAATTTCCAATTGAAAGCCAAAGGAGCTGAACTAGACGCATAACCGAAAGAGAATTTTTCTAGTTTGGCTATCTTAGCCTTATGTTTGAATTTCACTTTGGACTACCAAGAATTCTCACTTTAGTGAGTAACCGAGTTTAAATTACTTCTTTCTCCAGTTTTTGCTTGCTTAGCACACTGTATCTATTTTACTTACCGCGAGCACAGTTTACATTACATATTTCATTTAAAGCAAGTAGCTATGACTTAAGGCTGGCGTCATTGTTTAAAAAACTCTGGTTAAAAATGAGCAGGCTTATAAATGTGTTTTTTTTTTTTCGTTTTTTTTGTCCGTGTACGTAGGTATCTATTCAGTATAATATCCATATTAATAATACGATCAATGATATAGCTATTTGCCTCTAAAGTGCAGTAAAATACATTTCAGCTTTTCCATGGAAAAACAAGTAATTAAAATATAAAGTAGCAAGGCCCATAAACATGCAGTTGATAGTAAAACAGTTCCAGTTAGGGGACTGATTTTATAAATTATTGTGACCAGCACAAGAGCGAGATAAGCAAAAAGGCAGATTATAAAAAAAATAAAAAATCAATAGACATATTTGCTGTTGACTTCATTGCTTGTTCTTCATCTTTTCTCTGAAACCTATAAAAAAAAAAAAAAAAAAAGGAGCAAAATTAGACAAGTAACAGGTGATTATGTTAATAATCGTAGAAGAAGCCAGCAAGAGTTGTCATCTTACTAAGAAATCAAAGAGTTAATTTTACTTCCTTTGAATTGCCCCACCGGAACTTGAATCCCAACACGTGCATGGGGGGAAGATTTATTGCCAACGTGACCCCCAAATTCCTAGATCTCGGTCAACCTCAGAAAACCTGGATTTACTTGATGATCTATTTATTATTATTTATAAAGCACCAACAAATTCCGCAGCGCTGTACAATGGGTGGGCTAACAGACATGTAATTGTAACCAGACGAGTTGGACGCACAGGAACAGAGGGGTGCTCAATGAGCTTACATGCTAGAGGGTGTATCTAATAGTCAATTCCCACCTAGTACTCCAATTTATCTTCAAATGTAATACAGTTAAAATGCGGGTCTCCCTGAATACTATGGCTTTGTCTGGGTAGAATTAAACTTCGCCAAATGTAGGAAGTGAAAGTGACGATTATGAAAATGACATGCCTTCTGTAACCCAAACTGTCTCTAGAATTGATACATTATTTGGAATCTTTTGCTCAACAAAAGCTGGTGTTGCTTAGGGCAGCTATACCTGCTTTGCAGACAGCAGGAGGTTTGCGCTCTCGAAGAATAATATACACACTCTGCTGTAAAAAATTATTTTTTTCCAATATTGCTTTACACATTTCCATCGGCTGTAAGAATATTTAAAGAAGTATAGTCTAAAACAGCTGACGGACAATGAATGGTGTTTAAAAAGGATTTAAAAAGATAGCATGCAATGTCCAATACGACATACAAACAAAAAATGTCAATTTTGAAGTGAATTAGCCCTGGTATTAATAATCTAAGTGGATCCAACTTGTCACTAGATATAGATCAAAACGGTCCTGTTTTTCCTCCCTATTTTCCAAGATCATTTCCCAACCACACTAGTTTCCTAAGTATTAAAGCATTATGTCACTTCTTTATACATCGCCACAATTTTCCAGTTGCTCCAGACTGACTGTGGTGTAATAACAAGTCAGGAGAAAAAATGGCACAGAATTGCCTCTTAATATTATGTGTAGACAGGGCCACTAATTCAGTCTGGGAGGGAAAAAAATAATAACATACGATGAATGTGTTGGTAGGAAAATTTAGGACCCAGAAAACGTTTTTACAGATAAAAAAAACAAACAAACAAACAAGCAGATGCACAACATGTTTTATATATTAACTGTTATGTTTATAGCAATTTTATTACAACTTCCACATGTGAAAATCAGTTATTGCTTTGGGCTGCAAATAATTGGCCAGCAAATACATACCTGTTCACGTGCTAGTTTTTAAGCAGATTAATTATTAGCAGTTTTATGGCGACATATTCTGCAGCGCTTTATAATTATAGAATGGGGATAAAACTTACTGGGAAAGGTTAAAGGATCTTAACACGTATAGCTTGGAGGAAAGACGAGACAGGGGGGATATGATAGAAACATTTAAATACATAAAGGGAATCAACACAGTAAAGGAGGAGACTATATTTAAAAGAAGAAAAACTACCACAACAAGAGGACATAGTCTTAAATTAGAGGGACAAAGGTTTAAAAATAATATCAGGAAGTATTACTTTACTGAGAGGGTAGTGGATGCATGGAATAGCCTTCCAGCTGAAGTGGTAGAGGTTAACACAGTAAAGGAGTTTAAGCATGCGTGGGATAGGCATAAGGCTATACTAACTATAAGATAAGACTAGGGACTAATGAAAGTATTTAGAAAATTGGGCAGACTAGATGGCCCGAATGGTTCTTATCTGCCGTCACATTCTATGTTTCTATATCCCAAATATAACAGAGAGGGGAAGTGACAAAGGTCTTGCTCAAACTAGCTTACAAGCGGATGTATAAAAAAAAGTAACTAGTTTATAAAGGTACAACTCGCTATTCAAGTATAATTCAATTTCTAACGTTGAAATGATCATGGGATGACACAAACTGAACACGGACTCCGTGATATCACCCTGCACTGTGTGTGATCGTATATATCAGTCAGACGTTTCTGTGTGAGCGAATATGCTCGACAATTATTGCTGGTGCATATACGACATTTGCCATGACACTTAGTTTCAGCTGTTCCGTGAAGACGACAGCAGATCATGTTGCTATCTAATCCTATTTTAGTTTTAGAAAAGGAAGCAGTTTTATTGTTGGAGGAACAGGAAACAAAGTCAAATAATTGTAACGGATCTGAGGACGCAGGCTGTAGGCTTGTTTGTGTCCGTTATTTTCACCTCGTCTGCTCTAGAACCGCAGCATGTTTGGTGAATAGGTGTATACTTTATTTCTTCCCAGTTGGGCATGTTTGTCATTTACCAAGCAGCTTTAATCTCTCATGAAGTCCCTATTGAGATGTACTTACCTGATACTGGCACTCACGCTGCTACCCACGTTGGACTAAACAGGGACTACTACATACTTTACATTCAGCCCAGCAAGCAGCTCCCTCTGCTGGTTCCCACGGGCAAAAATCCTTTTACCTGTTTTCTTCCCTGCATAATATTAGACACTGCCCATTCAAATAGGGCGTCTTTTATAAATTCAAATGCTGTGATGTCACGCCCACCCTTAAAGTGACCACGATATTCTATTATCATTCATTTTGGAGTTGCAGAGATGGCGTGGACCAATCAGAAACATTGTTAGCCTACATAATGCTAACTTGGGCCCCTATTCCTTGCCCGATCATGGTTTCTGCCTTTATACAAGACATAGTAAGCCTCTATAGTTATATTCTGATATTGACCTTGGCTTGTATTGGACTTTGTGTATTTCTGGTATCCTGACCCGGCTTGTTATTCCGTTTCTCCATATCTCTATATTCCTCACTTTGGCTATTACTGACTTTGTCATTACCTTTCTGACGTTCAGCCCAGCCACTCTAAGGCCCGGTAATACGTCATTCTAGTACATCTGTTTATAGGTTTAACCATTCCTATAAAGTTAGGATATGACTGTGTGACACCTATTTTTTAATGCAAGAAGCTAAAAGCTCATGTTCAGGTTTCCTTGCTGCAGAGATTAGCTAAGGTGTATTCCGAGCATGCAATGAGTTTGGGAACACCAAAGATCTTAGTTTGATCCTCACTAAACAACTACAAGAAATTCACGGGCACTTGACTTAACTTAGTGCTTGCTTGGGGGAAAAATGCTAATTTGTAAAATTTGATTGTGCATGTTGCAAAGGAGTGAGTGTAAGCTTCTGGAACAGTACAAAAAATATTGAATTGTAACTCTTCTGGCTGGAGCTAAAAGCTTGGAAGGTGTTGAATTTGGAGCTTTCGGAGATTTGGTATCTGAACTCCGATTGAATTCACTTTGGTCAGAGCTGGAAACTTGTGTATAGCCTTACCTCCTTACCCCTATTTTAATAGTGAGACGGCTCCTTACATTTCTGATCACTTACGCAGTTTACCCTTAAGGCATGTTACTGACATCTAAGAGGGGAAGACATATTTACACAAATTCAGCATATGTTATCAATTGCAGAATAGTTTGTTGCTACTTTTGTTCATATCCTCGCTTTAGCCCATGATATAAAAAAAAAAAGAAAAAGTAAATTTCTTGCATTTTATTAGACTAGTTGTTATATTGCACACACACGGTATGAAACTAAACTGTAATAATTATAACATAAGATTCCAAATTCCAGAAGACAGAAATAATCAGTGTGGCGAAGGCTTATGAGTTTATACTGTAAATAAACTCATTATTGCTGAGGAGGCACAGTGGAACTGTTCATTACTGAGACATTTCGTAGCTTCCCCAACATTTAATCACTTTTTAATCTTGTTAAGCTGATTTTACCAACTGCCCAGGGCACCATTTCTTTCTTCTGGAGTCCAAAAATGGGGCAGATGGGTGATAAATGATGCTCAGACTGAAGGAAATATTAAAAGTGACTGTGAAATCACATAGGGAATTCTAATAGGTCTATAAATGTGCTTGTTTTGCCTTATATTTCTGCAAGAATTCCTACATACAGATTAAAGCAGTAGTGATTTCGGAGCTACCCACTTTGCTTTTTGAGTCCGGTGTTATAGCCCATTCACGCATTGAATCACTTTGCCGTGCTGGTTCCGGATGACTGAAAATAACAATGGTCATTTCGGGACTACACGTTACCTTCTGTACACCTCCCTTTCCTTAATAAAATTAAGTTAAATAAAGATTACAATGTTCAAAGAGCAAAAGGTAAGTGCACCACAACCACTTCTTTGAGATAAAGTGGTCTGGGTGACTAGTGTTACATCTGTATCTCCATCAAACCCATAATGTCTGTGTCCTGCAATAGAATATGCGTATTCCATACATTTAACAAGAATACACCATGGTTAACATTTCTAATCTTTCTGAACAAGCGTCACATTTTGGGTGACCTAAAGGCAACATGTATCTGTCCCAGTAAAAAGTAGTTCCACTCTTGAAGCAAGCCATTTAAAAAGTAATGAAAAAGGCCAATTGGGACAGGTCTGATTGATAAGGCAAGCTACAGCAAGGATTAAGGAAGATGCAGATTAGAAATTCTAGTGTTAAGGATTGAATTAGCATTGGAAAATAATAATTTCAGGGGGTCTGTTAGTGAACGTAAATCCTGTTTTATTTACATACCTCACTGTACCACACAACTTTTTGTTTTGTGTGTTTCGGGTTCAATTTCAACCTCTGTTTTTAAAGAAAGAAAACACTAATGTAACAATGCTGTGTACAACGATTACACACGGCTTAGGAAGGTTAGAGGGTAATAAAATACAAGATTACTTTAAAGGACCACTATAGTGCCAGGAAAACATACTCGCTTTCCTGGCACTATAGTGCCCTGAGGGTGCCCCCACCCTCAGGGTCCCCCTCCCGCCCGGCTCTGGAAAGGGGAAAAGGGGTAAAACTTACCTTTTTCCAGCGCTGGGCGGGGAGCTCTCCTCCTCCGATCCTCCCCGACTGCTGAATGCGCACGCGCGGCAAGAGCTGCGCGCGCATTCAGCCGGTCGCATAGGAAAGCATTTTCAATGCTTTCCTGTGGACGCTTGCGTGCTCTCACTGTGATTTTCACAGTGAGAATCACGCAAGCGCCTCTAGTGGCTGTCAGTGATACAGCCGCTAGAGGAATTGGGGGAAGGCTTAACCCATTGATCAGAGAAACTGCTATGTTTATAAAAAAAATGGGTTAACCCTAGCTGGACCTGGCACCCAGACCACTTCATTAAGCTGAAGTGGTCTGGGTGCCTAGAGTGGTCCTTTAAATATAAGCTAAATGGAAAGGTTGATATGGATAATAAGGCCACATGGAATTATCTAAGGGATTTTTAAAGAGAATAGAACCGCTCTCAGACAACAAATGGCACACTGTGCTAACAAAACAAATGCACAAAATTGGCATTAGCCAGCGTAGAACTCAAAGCTAAACGCTGCATATACAGACACCAGGCACCATAACCACTTCAAATCACTTCAGTGGTGATGGTGCTTGGAGTAACACATTAAGTTTAGAGCGATGCTTCACATTAGGTGTGTAGTTCACGCACTGCTGACCAAACAATCTCTGCAGCTCTGTTCAGCCGGGAACCAAACAGGAGAAACCCGCAGAGAAACTTGATATATTAAGATACCAAGTCATAATAATGTGGATGGGACAAGGTATTCTGGGAAGTTTGACTTTTATATACAGTAATTGTATTTTGATTCATAGGTTAATGGAAAATTATCCTCAATACCTAGATTAATGTTTACTTAAAAAGCCATTTTTCAAATTTTAAAGGTCTCTGACATTTTAAAGCATTATGTAAATAAAACAGCGACAGTGGTAGAGTTATTTACCAAAATAAACTGAATTTCAGACGTTAGGCCAGTGCAGCCAAACTGAATGCAAAGTTGACTTAAAGACCTTTTCCAGGTTTGCTATTTGGACCTTTGAATTTGAAGTCTCACTTTAGTAAATATCCATTTTTTTCACCAGTGAAATTCGGACACGTGAAATTAGCACAGAGTGTGTGCATAACTGAGAACACATGCGCCTAGATTGTTCCCAGTTTTAGGGTCATGATTTTAGGTGCGATGACGGTGATAACATTGCTGATTACCATACTGAAACATATACCTGTTAATATTAGGAGAAATAAATGGAAAGCCGTTGCAGAGGAAACAAAAATAAATAAAATTACCTTCTCCACTTTTGGAATGCCTTTTCTTTCTCCTTTTTGAAGAGCCTCTTTTTCCTTTCTGATCTGAAATGGGTGATAGGGTGGAGCTCATAGAGTTATTTAGGGTATCCTCGTTAACCACAGTTGGTGAACTTTCCTCCAATATATTTGACACAGCTGGGGGTAAGTCATCAATTGGAACATCTGCCTGAGCTGTTGGCAAGCCATCAACGGTATCATTTGTGTGAACTGGAAGCAAGTTATTAACCGTATCATTCGCCTGAGGTGTGTTTGAAATATTTGGGGATGAGCTATCAACCAGAACATTTGTCTGAGGTTGGGGCAAACTATCTACCTGATCATTTGTCTGAGGCTGGGGCAAGCTATCAACCAGAACATTTGTCTGAGGTTGGGGCAAACTATCTACCTGATCATTTGTCTGAGGTTGGGGCAAACTATCTACCGGATCATTTGTCTGAGGTTGGGGCAAACTATCTACCGGATCATTTGTCTGAGGTTGGGGCAAACTATCTACCGGATCATTTGCCATGATAAGTTGAGTGCCGTCAACCAGAGGATTTGCTAGGTCTGGAGGTAAACCTCCTAAACCATTTTTTTGAGTTGTTGGAGGTGGTTCATCTTTTGAACTTTCCACTGCTGCTTTGCTAAATTTATTATTTTCTGGATCTGGAGATTTCTTTAACTTTTCTGAATTTTTATTTATTTCATTTACATTCTGTATGTTTTTAGGCGCCTTTTCATCATTTCCATTTGATCGTCCTTGGTTTTCAGAGATCTCAATAATGGGTGATTTGCTGTTCAAAATACTGTTAGAATCAGCTGAACATCTCTTGTCCTGTGTGGTTTCCACATCTTCTACATGGACTTTTAGGGTAGACGAGGTTGCATTCAATACAACAGGGGTAACAAGAAGTGGTTTCTGATCCATGCCTTCAATGAGAGGATTATCATTTTGACAAGATTGGCTTGACTGTGCTTCCACATCTACTTTACCAATTGAGTTCAGAATTGGTGGGCTATCCACTTTAATTTTAGGTTGGTCATTCAAAAGAGAAGGATTTGAACAACTTTTCTCGTTGGTAACTACATTGTCATTTAAGTCAGACACTTTTTTGGAGTCTTCTACCATTTGTACAGTTTTGCCTTGAAAAGAAAAAAAATGAAATCACAATTTTTAGAGTGCTACGGTCATTAGACAGACGAGACTCACAGAAACACAGGACATATTTAGTTAGTGAGATGTTGAATGTTAGCCATGCAGTTAGATTTGGCAAGCCACTTATCAAGCTGAACACAGATTTGCAGAATAGGAAAAAAATATTTATTTTTGGCATGCAACGGTCCATTACAGTCAAGAATACATTGTTTTGTTCATTCACAATATTATTAATGCAAAAAAAAAAAATTAAAAAAATAAGAAAAAAAAATAAAGCGACAACATACAAGAATCAACAGGTACCAAAAACTTTTATTCCTTAGATTGCATGGAAAAATCTGTCCTATTCAATAAATTATTTTATCCCATATTTTCCCACAATACAGAGGCTAAATTACGTCTTCAAATGAATCAGCAATGCTACATTGTTAATGAAAACCCCCAACTACAGTTTACAAAATAAATATTAGTTTTAGGATCCCCAAAATGCAATTTACCCCAATACATTTTTTTTTTTTTTACAATACAAAACTATATTATTGCAAATGAACAACGCTCAGTATGCAGTTACAAAAGGAGTGAGATTCTAAGTAGTATTAAACGCATGTGGGTCATGTACATCGCATTACACAGTGTTAGCTAGAAGCACATGCAGGTTAGGATGCAGACAGTCCAGCTGATGGTCAGACAGAATTTAGTCCATGTTCAAAAAAGAATTTGAAAGCCGCATGCGGACCGGCGACACAACCTTTCTCATGCCGAAACCTCTGATACCTATAGTGTTTAACTCACTGCTAGAATTTTTAGGCCCAGATTCTGCATCAGTCTTAGTCTTTGCAGTTTTGCGCAGCTGAAATCCTTTCTTGATATCCGCCAACAAAGCATCAATAATGCACCCTTCTTCCACCTTCACCGCTGCTCCTTTACGGACTGGAAAAGAAAGGATAAAAGTGGGAGAAGTTACTTAATGACTCATTGGAGAGAAATAGTTAATGAGGAACATCACACGTTAAAAGATATTCGCAAGTTCCAGTTACACTTTTTGTGGGAGACGTGATCACTGGTAAAACGGCCGATATGTTTCAAGTATAAGCTATTAAACATAAGTCAACCAGATCTCCATGAGCATTAGATAAACATCTGTTCGGGTCTGAATAGCTGCACTGGGCACTTTATTATTATAAATTAGCTAACTGTAGTACTTTTCTATGTCAAGTAATTTGAGCAGTTTAACAAACCCCCCCCCAAAAAAAATCCAAATCAACACACCTCCCCCCCCCACCCCCACAATAAAAATAAAATAAAAAAAATCTCTCTCTACTTTCAGTTAGTTTCCTCAGCTGGTGATAAATCTGTTATGTTTCGGTATTTTGGGGGGGGGTGGGGTGTCCCCTATTTCTTCTAATAATACTTTATAAGGAATTGTGGAATACAATTCTCACTTTAATGAATAATATAATGAGGGCACACGTTACCAGACATTCATTCACGCACACATGTTCAGTAAACATACTTATTTTTCCATTGTCGCCTTTTTGTCGCTTCGCTTCGTCATCTGCCAATTGCTTTTTTCGTTTTTCAGCCTTAACGGCTTGATCTTTTCTGTCTTTATTTTCCTAAGGGTGGGGGTGTGGGGGAGAGGAGACAGTTCACATTATTCCATAAACTTGACATCATCAGGAATTGACTGCTGCATTATACATTATGGTTCAGAATAACTAGTTTGGACAAGTAGTAGTTTGTTTTTTCTCCCCAATTCAACATATTTTGGACTAAATTATTAAATTCCCAAATGACTCCCGAATACTCAAGTGAACAGAATCTCCAGCCAAAAGTATTTTCTGCTGTTCAGAGAAAGGGGGAGGAAATGCTGGAGAACACAATAATGGTGGTTAAAGTAAAATAGCATGAAATGTTCACTGGGAATGGTCCAGACTGGGACTGGCAGCTAATAACTAATCAGACTGGATAAAGGGTAGAAGCTGAGAAATACGGATGTGAAGCTGTTAGGACTCCCGTTTACTTGGTAGGGCAGCTATGGAGGGGATGGAACCTTACAATATCATCTTATATCTTTTATCGGATATTTTGATAGAGAGGTTGCAGACCTTTTTTGCTTTCAGGAACAGGTCCCGGAATGTTTTCATGGTTCTAAACGTATCTTCTAATGAGAGTTTTGTGTGATCTTCACATAGATATTCAGCTAGCTTTTTCTTCGTCTCTGAAATCTCCTCCAGTTCTTTATCCAGTTCATTGAGGCCATTGATACAGTCCTGAAAGTCCATTATTTAAAAACATATCGGATTACAATTATTGGTAAAACGTATCGGATTACAATTATTGGTTATATTGTACATGCAGGCAAATCAACATAGGGGCACGATCTGAAGAATGTTGAAAACAGACGATTAATAATTTCTTGTAAACTACAGAGATAATAAAAGAGGGCAAAATTATTAAAAGTGGCCAATACGGAAATATTACATGATTTCTTTAGTAGACTATACATATTAATCACAAAACACTAAAGACTCCATTCTTACCTCAACAGGTTTTTCATATTGCTCCTTAATATCAGAGTCCGACACTGAAATTTTTTTCTGCAGATCTTTTAGTTTTTTCAAGTTGCTACTCGTTTCGGAATATATATTTTCAAGGTTAATGCTAGGTAGAAATGTATACATAGTTACAAATTAGCGTCTTTTTAAAAAATTTAATTAGCTGAAAAACAGACAATAATTTGTTAAATAGTAGATTTAAACACACATACACTCTCTCTCACTTACAGGTGAGACAAAACCAAAAATACAAAGATAAATAATAATAATAATAATAATAAAAAAAAACATTCGAGAAAAAAAAAAAGGAAAATGATAAGTTTAGCAAATTTCGCTACAAGCAAAAACACTTATCAATTTACACTTGTTATACAAGTCAAATTTCACGGACATGTAGATTACAAGGATATATCAAAAATATTGTGAGAAGGCATTAATCAAAGACTTGTCAATCATTGCTGATAAACACTGGCAGCAAATATTGTTATAGTAACGTATTTGACATTACCTGGCAGCGGAGGATACATTTTCAAGGTCATTTGGAAGCTGAAGTAGATCTGTGTGATTCCCTTCTATCTCCTTAAATATACAAGTGCAGTAAAATTCTTAATTATTACTTTGATGACGTTTCTGTTTTTTTTTGTTTGTTATATTGTGTGTTGTACATTCCATTTAATAATGTATTCGCTATTTTTGCATCAGAAAATATTTTTTTCTGACGTTCTTTTACATCACATCTATTGTGTAGGAGAAAGCGATGCATAACACTCGCAGTATATTCTTATTTTATTCTTAGTAAATATGAACGAATTGTGAAGGTGCCAAATGTGTCACAATATAGAAAGAAATAAAAAGTGACACTTTCAGGATATTTTAATTATTTGGAACAGATTTATAAGACCCTAGTTCCAGTTTCAGAACATTGCTTAAACAAAAAAAACAAAAAAAAAACCACACACCAAAATAACAAAAAAAACAGATTAAAACGACCCGGTTTTTGGGAGTTTCTAAAATGGATGGTTGGGAGAAGAGTAATTAATCTACAGCTGATAATGGTATACTGCCACCTACTGGGAACTACAGTTTATTCACGGAATATTACTGGTAAATATACTTGGACAAAAAAAAAGTAAATACATTTAAGACAATGTCCATTACCTTTTGTTTCATCACAGATATGGACATTGTTTTAGTTTTGGCTACTCCGTTCAGATGACACGAATGCCTCAAATTCCAAATATAATATTTATCATTCCCTATGTAAAATGTATTGTCCTTACTTTGGTACCATAATATGGCACTGCATTATATAACGGTACGAAATTATGGAGGGATCTTATTTGTCCCTCACTAAAAGAAGATGTTTTAAAAAATTAAAAAATTTAAAAATTCAATAGTCAGACATATAATCATAATTATCAGTAATTTCTCACAGAAGCGATGCTACCTCTAAAATGTGATGCAACAACGTAATGCGGGTTTGGTTGGCTTTGGTCTCAGTCAATTTTAATAATGTGCTTATTTTAAATCCATTGGCGTTTCCCGTGTGACTACCCTAGAATAGGGAAAAAAAACAAAACAGAAAAAAAGTTATGTTTAATAGTTTTAGAGAGTTCACATATCAGACATCTAGTTCCACTTAAACTACAACTTCATTAAAAACTTGTAGCAGCGGGAATTGTGGAAAGTGTAATACGCCTTTAACTGGTGATCCAGTTTTTGAATATGCGGGTTTGTATAGAGAGGACCTTAGATCGCCTGTATACGTTACAGACGGAATGAAAATGTATCTCTATATTCTGCTTCCAAACAGAAAATAATTCTGTTTACTAGAAGATTATAAAGGTTAGTGCTCCCTTCATTGCACTATGCATGTGTTCCACTAGCACAGATTATAGCATCATAATTGGTGCAAAAAGTTAGATCAGAATTTTACAGATATAAATGAATACATAAATTCTACATGTGCAAACAAGTGGCTCAGCACAACGTATGGATCAGAGTATTACATGCACCGTATAATAAATGGTCAAACAACAAAGAGTAAAAACGTTTCCGATGAGAAGTGTAATGTTTCCAGCAACCCTACAGATTGTAATGAATTATCGAGCCTCGCTTGGCACGGAGTTTAATTTGTTCAGAATGCCAAGCATTCCAGAATGGATTGCAAGGAATTGTGCCAGGTTATGCAATGCATGATGGATTCCTTTTAACCCTTTCAGTATTCCTATCAGGACTGTAACAGTAATTTGCCTAGATACAGTTAACAAATGGGCTCATTCCTTTAAATAGGGATTGTGAGTGGCTTAAATAGCTGCACTATAGCACAGAGAGCCCAGTCTTTCACCAGAACTCACTCACTATGACCTTGAGTCAGAATGTTAACGGTAGAACAGACACACGTGTGAAGCCCCCCCTTGACACACAGTTACACAACGTACATAATTTAAGAAGTTTCCGACTTTGAGGACTAGCTGACAAAAGACAGGAAGCCTGTGACTGTTTAGGATATCTGGAATGAAATAAATAAAGAGGGACAAAATATAAATACATATTTATATGATATATATGGATTTAAACCTGAAACTGTATAGTTACACCCTCTTTGGCTGCCAGAAGGTGCTTATAAAAAAAAAAATAAAAAAAAAATAAAGAGAGTCAAAAACCGCTCACTTACCTTCACACGCTTTGCTAACTATTTGTGCTTTTGGTCGCAGCGTATCAAGCATAAGACTGGTTTCCTCACAGGACAACATGCTCTCAAGTCGAAGTTGATAACTGGCCAGAAAGAAATTGAAATTCACATTATTTAAATTTAATATAATATCAGAGTAAGAAAATAAGAAATGGGAATGCAGGGTTACCATTCCACCCCATTCCCTATGGTCTATTATTCTTGAGTAATGTATAAAATTAGCAGGGTGTATGGGATTACTTGGACATACAGTAAGAAAGAAAGGGGGAAAAAAGTTCAAAAAGTGTTTTATTCCATACCCAGGAATGCCCAGAAGCCGCAGATAGAATTGATCCGCGTTTGATAACTTTGACGGGTCTTCTTGGTAGGATTTTAAGTTTTCCACCTTAAAGGGAAAAAATTTATAGATTTACTGTGTAAATGCAGAGAAAATTAAAATGCTAAATTAGCTACAAAAAACAAAAAATAAATAATAAAATAATCACAATTTAAATAAATACATGCACCTTAAAAGCAACCACATAGGATCCTCTATAATCACTGAAAAAGGAATGAAGGAAACACTTGGTCTTCTACATACTTTTATCCCATAATCCCTGGCTGCATAAATGTTGGCCTCAAGCCACAGTCTAATTTAATTTTAAAACATGGGTCATGAGTTTACAGTTATGCTTTTAAGACCCTTTTTCTAAACCTATATCATTTAATTCAGGACTATGATAAAAGAAAAAGGTTAAATAAAAAAAAAAATAATAATAAAAGAAAAAAAAGTGATCTTAATTCTCTAGGACAACCTTGCTAGAATTCACAGTTCAATATAGAAAAGGGAGGAAAAAAATAAAAATAAAAACACACACATATATATCTATATATTTTTTTTTATTTATTTTTTTTTAATATATTTTTTGGATTTTTCTAATTTAAATTTCATTCATTATATTCCAATGCCCACTGGTGCTTAGAAGTTTAGAATGTCCCTTTAACTTGCGCAAAGATGTCATATTCTAGTATAATGTAATACAACGCAGACAATCAAACTGCAATCTCCAGTGTACGTATGCAATTATCCACTTAAATATTATTTTCCATAAATATTATACTTTTTTTATTATTGTTGCACAGTTTCATTATGAAGGCAAAATGTGAAAACCTTCAAAACTGCAAAGGGTAAAGATAAACACATTCATGATTAAATCTTAAACTTTCCTTACTTCATGCTTTTCAGGAAGCAGCTTTAGGAACTGTTTCAGAACTTCAATGTCAAACTTAGAACGGTCTCCCTTTTCAATAAGAGCAACGACTTCCTCATTCGTGCTGCACAGGAAGGGAAAACCACAGTGGCATTAGACGAGATGGACATGAAGAGTTGCTGCTTAAACTTTAAACTTTTAAAGGCTGGTCATTGGTACAATTAGACAACTTATTGAACCACCGTCCAAGGAGACATGCTACTTTGCTCCACAATGTTAAAGTTATGTCACTTTTTACATTTTGGGCTCATGGACAATCTTTGTTTTCTCCAACACGTTTACAAATACATTACTAAGTGTTTTTGAAAATTTGTACTTTGTGGGTGGGTAGAGTCTCCAGAAACACCCAAGTGAAGATCTTCCTTGCTTTAACCCACTATTGGCTCATGAAAAATTTAGGAGATAAAAGCAGCAGCTTTAATACAGAACTTACCTTCTAAATTGCTTCAAAAATATATTCAAGTTAAGGCTTTTCTTGGAATCTAAAAATGTAATCTTTAAAAACGAAGAAAAAAAATGTTATTGGGTCTGCAGCATAATCTAGCATAAATCACAATGCTTCTTGCGTGGATTATAGGTTGGGTTACCTCTTTTGGCACTTTCTTGACGGGGGCTTCTTCTTTAGTTTTTGTTTGTGGAAGACAAAACAGTTGTTCAATACTTGAATAGTTGGGTTCAACAGTTTCCTCAGTGCTACTGGAGGAGGCCCACATCGAATGGGTTTCTGAACGATGAAAAGATGTGAAATGGAAAAATGGAGACACAATTAAATATATACAATATTTGTTAGATATTTTGTTCTGCAATTTGTAAGCAAATTGTAGTTGGAGACTGCTTAAACTCATATCATCTCGCATTATGGCCCATTGTGTTTGGCATGGTTAAGCATGAAAATATTCAAAATAAAAATAAAATTGTTAAATAAAGAAAAAAAGATAGCTAGAATGTGTTGGCACTGTTTAAATCATTGAAAACAAAAAAAGAAGAATAATCTGTCACAAAATTCAATGAAAAGAAGGGAATATAGACAAAATACTTTATTAATAGAACTACAAACAATCACAAACACCTACTCAATCACTGATATCTAAATACTGGATAATCGAGGTAGCAAATGTGATCAAGTGATATACCTTAGGTAAGGGATAAATAAACGAACAGGAATGGGAGTAGGATAAAATACAATGAATGTACAAACAACCAGACAAGAAAAACCCAAAAGGAAAAAGAAAAAACGTAATAACCAAAAACCCTATTAATGGCAGATAGCTGCACAAAATGTGAAGTCTAATGGCAACTGAAGCTACTAAACACTGTCATAATAAGCAGTAATATGTATACAAAGTAGCTAAAGTGAATGCCAAATAGATGAGCTGAGTACTCATTAATTGCCATTAATATTGTTTTTGGTTATTATTACGTTTTTTCTTTTTCCTTTTGGGTGTTTCTTGTCTGGTTGTTTGTACATTCATTGTATTTTATCCCACTCCCATTCCTGTTCGTTTATTTATCCCTTACCTAAGGTATATCACTTGATCACATTTGCTACCTCCATTATCGAGTATTTAGATAGCAGTGATCAGTGATTGAGTAGGTGTTTGTGATTGTTTGTATTTCTATTAATAAAGTATTTTGTCTATATTCCCTTCTTTTCATTGAATTTTGTGACAGATTAGTCTCCTTTTTTTGTTTTCATCTATCATTTTAGGGTTACCCCCTTATCTGTTCACGACTATACATATTCAGGACCCTTATAGGGTCAATTTCTCTTATTCTGTTTAAATCATTGTAGCCTTCCCAGAGGAATTCATAGCCATGTCATTCTTTTGAATGCTAGAAGTTACAATTGCGGCTACCTACCTTTAACAACATTTGGTGGGAGTTTCTGCCAATTAAGTTTCTTCATTTTTAGTGTTGGTTTATTGACTTTGAAGGAAGCTGGTCTTGAGCATCCCAAGGAGAAGTCAACACGGGCTACCACAACTTCATCAGTGCCACCCATACCAGGAAATGGTGGAGGTGGTGGAGGAAATCCCCCCATTCCAGGTGGTGGGGGAGGAGGTGGAGGAAATCCTCCCATTCCAGGCGGTGGGGGAGGAGGTGGAGGAAATCCTCCCATTCCAGGCAGTGGGGGAGGAGGTGGAGGAAATCCTCCCATTCCAGGCAGTGGGGGAGGAGGTGGAGGAAATCCTCCCATTCCAGGTAGTGGGGGAGGAGGTGGAGGAAACCCCCCCATTCCATGCAGTGGGGGAGGAGGTGGAGGAATGCCACGCATCATTCCTGGGGGTGGGGGAGGCGGCAGCGGAGGAGAAAATCCACCAATTCCAGGAAGCGGTGGAGGGGGAGGAGGAGGAGGAGGAGGGGACAATGGTGAGGTAGAGGAGGGTGGGGGAGGTACATGTCCTGTTAAAGTATGATCTGATTGAGAACCAGATAATGGCAAAAAGTCTGCAGCCTTCAGAGGTTTTTGCAATGCAATTCCCAAGTCTTCATCACGAAAATCATCTATGGGTTTGTCAGTTTGAATACTTTTATTTAGTTTTTCAATACATCGGTCTTGCTTGTATTTTTGTTTGCTTGGGTGTTTCTTTGAAGCTAAGAGTCTGTCCATAATGTCATTGAGGTTTTGGTCTTTGCCTGAAAAATTAAAATATTGTGATAAAGTAATAACAATTAAAGGGATACTGTATGCACTGTAACCATTTCATCTAATTGAATTGGTTATAGTGCCCAGAGTCCACTGGTGCTGTCCCTCTATTTTCTGAGCAGTTTAACACTAAATGAGAGTCCCTGGCTTCCCCTAGCTCCTTCCCCACTAAAGGTATTGCTAAGGCAGATATTACACACTTCCTTCAAACCATATCGATTCATACCAGCAGTGAGCTCTGTGATAGGCTGAATGATGTCAGTGGACACTCTCACAGCTACCCACTACTGTTTATGCTAACGCTTCCTCATTAGATCAAGCAGCACGGAGGTAATGGGTTGCTGGAGACCCTCGTTTATTATTAAAACATTAAAGATGGTTTAAAGCTAAATGGAAAGACAGCGCCAGGAGACACCATAACCATTTAAACGATATGTAGATCTTTCAAAATACTTTACAGGAGAGTCCACCTCAACACTTCACAGACCTATAGCACCTGATTTAGAGGTGAACCAGAATTTCACAGAATTTCTAACATTATGTTTACTCATCCCTTATATTTAATAAGTGACTACCCAACCCCTGAGGGTTTAGAAGACAAAAACCGTAAGGGGTGCAAAGGTGCATTTCAGACTTGACATCTTGAATTTACATTAACTTATGTAAAACCACTACAAATGCACCAAAACCACTACAGCTTAATACAATGGTTCCTGTGCAAAGAGACCCTCTCTGAGAAAGGAGCAACTTTTATATTTAATTCTAAGACCAATTGTAGTAGCTGTCACTCAGCCAGCCAGTGGAGGCACTTCCTGTTGTGGTGCTGCAATCTTTGGAAGACTACACACTTTTCATAGAGCTAATGCATCTCTATTAGAAGATGCTGAACTGGTACAAATCAGTGATTGCCACGCATGTGTCCACAAAAGGGTAAACTTTGGATTGGCTCAGATCATGGCCACTGATGATCTCATCCGGGGCAGAGCAGCAGCCATGGAGAGACCAACAGGATGTGGGTAGAAAGAGAAGTAAAATGCCGTGTTTTCAGTTTTACAGGGGGCCCACTAATCTAAATAGGCAGGGAAGCACTAACGTGCAAAATACATGTTTGTATAAATAAGACAAACATTCTTACAGTCATCTGCAAGTAAAACTGCTCGGTTCACCAAAATCTCCAGGGTTTCCCACAGTAAAGGACTGGAAGGGTGAGACGGATCCAAATGGAGCAGGCCCTGCAGGATTGACAAAAGCTGTACAGAAAGTGGCGAGCAGCTAACCTAAAGCAAAGGAAAAATAACAAACAAGACATACATAAATTACATAAACCATGTATTCACATAAACTAAACTAGGAGAGGACATAGCAATCCACAGGCACGTCGTTAAATGCCAACAATAACATCCTCTATAAAATCCAGTATTATCTCTCTTACATAGGATGGACCGGTGACTTAAGGGGCTGTAAAACATCCGGCTGTGTCTGGTACTATTACTTGGCAACTGTGCCAGATGTTGCCTAGCTCCACATTGATATCTGCATCCAGTATTTAATCAGATCTAAATTGTTGATGGGGACAAAGTACCAGTCAGTTACAAGGTGGAAGGAGCATGCATTATGGGGAGAAATGGAGAGAAATAATATAAACATGGAGGCAGAGAACAAGTGATTTCTGTGTTTGGATTCTGAAAAACACTTTTCTCTAATACGGCTTGTGACAGACCCTCTGTCCCTGATTTCTAAAACTTGGAAAATATGTTCGTTTAAAACCCATTCGTCTAAAATGAAAAGACCTTTATTGTGCTAAGAGCCGTTGGAATCAAGAATTTTCTGCCGAACGACCGACCACCCAGAACAGGAGTGTGGCACCCATTAACCTCCATGACTGTATTAACACCTCCAAAACCACGAACACCTGAACGTTCTAATTGATCAACAGGGTGGTTGGCGTTCGTCTACATGAACACGCGCTCAGCGGTATTTGGTCATTGAACTATTTTCGGCTACTATTTTCACATACACAGCTGAGACTTCTACCTTCCTGCGTTCGGCTAAATCCATACGAACAGAGCGCTAATTCTGCAGAACAAACTCCCGAATGATAAGTTTGTGCAATTTATACTTTATTTGAAGGGGAAGATAGACCGGCCGCACAGCATGAATCTGTAGAACTGTTTTGGGTATGAAAACGTGTGCGGTCGGTCAAAAAAGACTTTCATCTATCTACTGAACCCCTGGACCGATTCGCCTGATTTTTGAATATGTTTGTTCCCCAATTATGCTGGTTCTGAAAATGAAGGGATAGTTTTGATGTTATAAAAAGTGAGTAGAAAGTGTATTTTTCACTTTGAGATAATTGAGTTGATACAGCAATTAACTCAATTATCTCCCAAGAAGAGGGGAGGAATTTACATCAATAAATGGGAGTGTTTAACTGTGTGACTGTAAGCTATTGGTTGTTGAGTTTGTATTTTTGTGCCCAACAAGGTCCACATAGGTGGTAACCTTGTGGAATAACTTGTATAAAAGAAAGGCTTGTGTGCTCATTAAGCCAGTTCTTACTTTACCCTCAATCTAGAGTCTTGTCTCTTATTGGGGGAAACTGCTATACAGCTATAACACTAGCTCTTTTAAGAGCTTCTCAACTTTTGAATGACTGCTGAATGCTGAGAATACCCCTCACCATCGGGAGAAGGACACCCTCTAGCGGTGGGAAACCCTCTACTCATCGGGGTAACCACTACACGGCTCTTCAAATTGTAAAATGTAATATAGATCATGAGAAAAAAACCAAAGTGGAGATTTCCCAATAGCCTCTTCTACGTATATCTTTTCAGTCCGCCTATTGCAAATAGGAGATAATCTGCCAACGAGTCCGACTGTATGTTTGGGGTAGAAGAATTCTCACTACCAGTGCTAGTTATTAGGCTGTGGCTGAGCTTAGCTTTGCACTGGAACCAGCCTTATCAGTGAGGTTCTGGTAACTTCAGCAACGTGCTGGAACATTTATGATGATGGGTCTGGTCAGAGCAGAGAGAGCAAGCTTTGTACCACAAAGTAACCGCTCCCCTGTAGCAACACATACTGGCATCAGGTGGAAAGTGTAATAATCACATTCCATCGTATACACACACACACACACACACACACACTAGTACTGAAATAAGTGGTGACCCATCGATACATTACTGCAGTTCTGGCATGTGACTGCAAAGTCTCAGCACTTCAGTTATGAATTTCCAGCACAACCGTGGCTTTTTAATGCCTACCTACCTTGTCTGGGTTGGCCCTCCACTAACATTGCCCCTGGTCCCTTGGTTTCCTCCATTTTGCTCTTTACTTGATCTTGACTGAAGTGAAAATAATTCTATTTTATTTTAAGGTTATTTTAAAAGCATATATTTTTTACCTGTGCCCTGTGACTTACTTTGTTGAAGAGCGTAGAGAAGACAGCTTGATGGTTATTCATATCAGTCCCTCCATAGATCTTAAGTAGTTCTTCTTCATCTTCCAACTTGGCTTCTTCAAATACAATTGCTTGTATCAGCAGGTCTTCATCCTCCAGATCCCTGAGAGGTATATGGATATATATAGCAAATTACTAGGGGGCAACATGAGGTCACAACAGAACATCTTTGGCCAAATAATATTTACATGCTGAGATGCAGTACAGAAAACGGCTACTGTGCATTTAAATATACATATACATACATACATACATACATACACACACACACACACATATACATATATACACACACACACAAACAAGGTCTGTCCAGAAAAACTCAAGCCATTGTTAATATAATGAGAACGGTTTACGCAACATCAGTGTAACTTGGCAGCCAAGAAAAGTGGACTGGATTGGAATGTGCATGCGTGAACAATGACAACTTCATTGTACTAGTCAGTGGGGGCGCCAAGATGCCATTCAGTGAGCATGTGTACTGTGTGGCCCTCTCATTCAATATTACTGAGTGAGAAGAGCATCCAATTTTGCGTTAAAGGACCATTATAGACACCCAGACCACTTCAGCTTAAGGAAGTGGTCTGGGTGCCAGGTCCATCTAGGATTAACCCTTTCTACTGTAAACCTTGCAGTTTCAGAGAAACTGCTATGTTTACAAATGGGTTAATCCAGCCTCTAGTGGCTGTCTCATCTGTTGAAAGAGTTGGTGCCCTGTGACTTTTCCCAAAACTAAAATCACCATTTAACCCCTTATGGACCAAACTTCTGGAATAAAAGGGAATCATGACATGTCATGTATCCTTAAGGGGTTAAAGGAAAGAGATTTCAGATAAATATGGCAGCTGATGGCGATTCCAACAAAGGATTTTGCAGAGTGTTTTGAGTAGTGGTAGAGACACGGGGAGAACAGTGTGAGATCCCAAGGTAGCGACTATGTACAATGTTTCTTGTATTTTCTTCAATTACTGTCTCTATTTTTCATGTTATGTGGCTGGATACTTTCCGGAAAGACCTCGTACATAGCGTCTAATGTGTAAATTGTCACAATTCAAGAATGGATAGTTAACTTCAGATTTTAGGCAAAAACATTTAAACTGAATGATCAGATGACTAGGAGATTTTTTTGTAGTTTGGCTACTTGGGGCTCAAATTTGGAAATCACCACTTTGAAATCCTGACAATTCACACTTTAGTGTATAATGCTAATGGAATTATTCATTAAACTATAATTTTTTAGTGAACTGAAAACCCAAATGACCAAAAAAAAAAAAAAAAAAAGACCAAAATAGTCAATTCAGAAATTCTCCAGGTCCGCTAATAACTATAGCTTGACTATTATAGCCTGAATTTTGCAACGTTTCATCGACGGCAGTTAAGAATTCAGTGAACAAGCCCACGTAGGTTTATTTCCAAGACAAAATGCATAAATTATCAGTTTGGGTTAATTAAATGTTTATCACAACTAGTTAACTACATATATTGAGGGGAAATGATACTTGCAGCTACAAATGTAACGGTTTTTATAGAATAGACTTTTTAAAAAAGAATTTAGAATCCCACACCATAATTCCTGAATACACAAAGGCCAAGGTTAAACCCAAAAAAAAAAAGCCCATTAACCACAGTAATTAATTGGCTGGTTAGTTTAACACCTCTTTCATGGTCTAATACCAAACCATGCATGTACAACTTTCTACAAATCACCATTCAATCAGGGATTTTATATTAAAAAAAATGCAATGATCCGAACAGTCGTGGCAACAGCTTTCTATACATTCAGATCACACTACTGTCTGATAAGCATATTAGTTATAGATTTGACTGTTATGCACTCAAGTGTAAATTGTCTTAAATTTCAGAGTGAATTTGCATTTTTAGACCAAACTTGCGGATTTCTGGAATTTTTCCAGTTAAGATATTTTGACTGTAAGTTTTAAATTTACTTGGAATTCACATTCTAGTTAAATAACCTCATGTGACAAAACAGCTACCAGAAACAGGATTATAGGTTTAGATAACTTAGTGAACAAAACATCAATGCATTAAAGGGAATGTGTCAAACCGAACTTAACATTATAAAATAGTCTCAGAAGAGAAAGCATTTACCTTTCAATTCAGTTTAACTGAGTACATCCTTACCTTAACTTTGTTAGCAAATCCAGCAGCTGCAGGCCTGAAATAGATGGATTTAACCGTTAAAACAAAACAGGAAGCCAAACAGCCCTGTAATATATGTATTTTTTATTGGACATCTCATGATTAGGTCGAGCAACTTGATCAGACACACAGGGATTCTACAGCTAACGCAGGAACTACAAGATGCCAACTGTTATAGGACTTCCACAAATTACACTGCGTAACTAAGGTTTGTATAATTAGCAATCAATGTCTTAATGTACACCTGAAGGTGTTATGAATTCTGATAAGCTGTAAATATACGTATTGGAAACAAAAATGTGGATCTGAAACGATTGATGCATCAACAATACTTGCAGAAAAATGTTTTTTTGTTTTTATTGACGAAAATTGCAGGTCTTGTTATTCATGAATTTATATATATTTTTTTTTATAGGTTGGTTTAATGTGTAAAACATTAGGTTGTATACACAATTTTCCACCTTCCTAACACATCATTGATAGAATTGGTACGGGTACTGCAATTATACATTATCAGTGAAATTGTGAGAAAATAAAGAATAGTCTTGATGTTTATTAACTCTCTCTCTCTCGTCAGTATTGAATGATGGAATTTTGGTTTAACTTCGGGACATTTCATGCCCTAGTCTTTCAGCAGTATTAAATAATTAAGCATTTTTAAACTGGTCTCCATATCAGTTATACAGCATCAATTGAAGGCTGTTTAAAGGTCCTAATAAAAGTAATTTTCATAGATGTACATTCAACCTATATTTCATTATTTACCCAAACATGGTTTTAGTGCCTAGAGTTTATGGTCAGGACACAGGGAGTGAGTTGATAAATTAAGTAGAGAATTATTGTGTTAAATTTCCTGAAATAGATTACTGTTCAGGATTATTCACTAAAGTGTGAATTTTAGGAATCAAAAGGGAATGTTACATTTCATGCGATTCTAGCCAAATTGAAAAAAATCCCAAGTCAGTTTTGTTTTCAACTTAGCTTTTTTTTTTTTTTTGCTTCTAAAAAGGTAAAATTTGCTGTAGATTCAATACAGCTCACACTTTATTAAATAACCAGATGGGTTTAAATGTGTGTGTTGTGTTCACTATGATATGCAGTAAATGATCAACTTGTCCTGAGAGCAGATTTTAGTGTTTTTTGTGTGCTTTTTCCATTAGAATATATCAATATCTTGCCTAAGGGTGGTTTTTAAACCTGCTGTAATAGATACAATCAGATTAAAATCACAGCACAGAATATCTCACAGTTTACACCAGACATAGCCACGTTTTCATGGAGGTAAGTCAGTGACTTTCATACCTGTCTTCAGGAGAAACTGACCAGCAATGTTTTCATAATATCCCTGCCAAGCACAGGTGTGCTAATCAGTGGATCAAGCAGATTTAATGACACCTGTGCACCAGTAGGGAAATCCTAAAATTCTACTCAGCTCTTGGGTCCTAGGAAAAGGTTTAAAGGGACACTATAGGCACCAAAACCACTTCAGCTCATTGAAGTGGTCTGGGTGCAATTTTCCTTTTGCACTTAGTGCTGCAATGTTAAACATTGCAGCACTAAGTCTGCCTCCAGTGGCTATCTCCCAGACAGTCACTAGGGGCGCTTCTTGGATCGAAACAGACTTTTGGTCCGGTATCTGACGCTGGACGTCCTCACGCTCGACATGAAGACATCCAGCGTCAGATGTTTCCCCATAGGAAACCATTGATACATTGCTTTCCTATGGGGAGGTCTAATGCGCACGCTGTATTTGCTGTGCATGCGCATTAGAGCCTGCTCATCAGGGGATGTTGGAAGGGTAGAGCGTTGACCCAGCGCAGAGGGACATCGGCCCTGGGATCAAGTAAGTAAATAAAGGGTGTTTAACCCTTTTGGTAGGTAGGGGAAGGCAGGGGGACCTATAGTGCCAGGAATACAGCTTTGTATTCCTGGCACTTTAGTATCCCTTTAAAGAATGTGAGACAGTAGTGACTGTGGCAACCTTTTGCCATGTAGACAAATGGCATTCAGGGTTATTTACCAAAATCGAAAATTGTCAGGAATTCAAAGTGAATTTCAAATTTAAAGCTAATAGACAAAATGGAGAAAATTATTCCAGTCCGCTTCAAATCCATTTCAGCTACTTTGGCCTTGAATTTGAAATTCACTTTCAAATACTGGGGAAAATCAGTTAAAATAAAAAAATAATAATAATAAAAAAAGCGTTATTTTATTTAATTAAGGGGGACACAATAATTTAAATAGTTAGTGTTCCTTTAATCGGAAAACTAGGAAAAACTAGTCAGCTGTCAGTTTGAGTATTTTGGTCTAAAATGTTAAATTCATATTGGATTCTTGACATCACTTTAGTGAATAACTCTTTGCCCATTTAACACCAGGAAGGGGTGTGCTTTAAAACACACGATTAAAGGGATACTCCAACCACCATAACCACTTCAGTGATTTAAAGTGGTCATGGTGGTAGGAGTGTGTATGGGCAGTGTTTCAGCTTCACCTAATGTCAATTCTGTGCATATTTTAAGTCTTTTGACCGCGCAAGAGAAGTTTAAAGTGAATTTCAAATTTGCAAAATCATGTTTTTTGTTGGACTTAAAATTGTAAAATCCCTTTAGTGATAACACAGAATTATTCACTAGCTAAACTCTGAATAATAGTGCAAACCAGTGACTTGGTATGGGTTACCAACGCCCAGGGCAAAACAAGTTTTACACCCCCTAACCATGGTTTATGCTTCCCCCTTCTACTTTAATATAGGTCTGTTATTATACTAGATTCTTCTCAACATTAAATAAACTGTAAATTAATGCATCTTTTATACATGCTCCCCTTAATAATAAAATGGGGTGGCATGATCAACAAATATAAGCCTTTATTATTTTGGATAAGTATTTAAAATTTTACATATCCTTTAAATAAATATATATATTTATATTAAAATACATTAAAAAAATTAAATACATACAATATTTATATAAATATAAAAAAAATTCTCAAAATATTAAAGAATTTTAAAAGTGTGTCTAACAATATTAAATGGAGGCCATAATCAGGCACAAATCTTTCAATTGCCATATTTGTATTTTACCACCAGATTACATAATTAAGTAAAATAAGTATTTTGAATGGACTGTGTTTCATTCAGAAATCGAATATTATACTCTTACCAGGAAGAAAAGTTTTTTTTCACTTGAAGATATAAAATGCACACATTTCTGTTCCGTATTTGACATCTGATATTACCTATAAACTCATTTCGTAGTTGTACGCGTAGGCGAAGTTCTTCTGTCCCCAATATCACGGCATTTATAACACTCAGCAGTGTCACCATATATGGAACATTGTCCGTCGTTGACAGTTCAATCAATATTACACTGAATCGATACTGTTGGCTCTTCACGGTCTGTTAAGGAAAAATTACTCTTGTTCATAACCCCTCTTCCAAAAATCATGTTTATTATACTAAAACTTTTCAAAATTTGCATTCCTTCTTGAAAATCTCGTTTGTAGATATGTCGATATAAATGATATACTTGATATGTCGATATAAAAGTTGTTAAGTTAATATAAAATTTTAAACATTCGGCTTTCTTTTAAACCACGGCAAAAATAATCTTAAGCATTTTAAATTTAGACCTGATTTTATTTTTGGGCTACTGGTTCATATTTGCTTATTGTAATGTGTCAATATGATGAGGCAGTCATTAATTTAACCATGTCTTAAACATGGATCACGGTCTACTGTTATACCTTTCAAACTTTTCAATAAGCAAATTGACAGATCTGCACCATTTATTTAGACTTTTTTTGTTTTCTTTTTGTCCATGATTGTGAATGACAAAGTCTGTTAAAGGGACACTGTAGGCACCCAGACCACTTCATCTAATTGAAGCGGTCTGGGTGCTGTGACCCTTTTGCACTTAGTTTACATTGAAGCTCTAAGTCTGCCCTCTGTGGCTGTCTACCAGGCATTTTTCTCTTCTTACTCCAAGCTAAGACTTGGGCATTTACTGATGAACTCAAAGAGTTGGTCCTGCACTGGAGAGCTAAATGAAGCTCCTAAGTATCAGCTTCCAACTCTCTATCAGAAGGGAGGTGGGGAGCGACACCAGAAGAACCCCAGGTAAAATGGTTTGGCTACATACACTGGGAGGCACCAAGTCACTCCTGGTACCATTATCACTACAGCGTGCTATAGTGGTTATGGTGCTTGGAGTGCTCCATTAACTTTTTATCCTGGCTACTATGTCACGATTTGAAATTCTGTACCCTGTCCTATCAAATTATACTTTCATAAAATTAAAAAAAATAATAATATATAAATATATATGAAAAAATAAGTAAAGGTCTTTTTCTGTATGCCAATAAGTTGTTTACCTTATAGTGCTGAAGAGCATCCAAAGCCAAAGCGTGTCCTTCAGTGGAGTAGATGCAAAGTGCAGCCAACAACTCAAAAACCTGTTTCTTGACCATCACATTGGACGTGTCCAGCGCTGTAAAACAGAGATTATATAGAAAACATACAGTGAACGCTCTGGATGAAAGAAACAATGTTATACTGCCAGTGATTACCTGTTATATTAATTAATAAACAATCATAACTTGACTTTCACTTTTTTCCTCATTTAAAAAACAAATTACAATTTTTTTTTTAATAAACTCCTATTCCTATGGCGTCCATGTCCCTATAAAAAAAAAAAAAACACAGCGCCCTCTCCCCCCATTTGCCATAGAATATAATAAAGCTAAATGTTTTCCTAAACCTTTTTTTTTTGTCACAGAGGAGGCATGGCCAATGTCGAATAAAATGCTTCTCATGGAGGGGAGTGGGGGACCCGATGCGCTTGTGCGGTGAACGCTATGTGCTAACCAAGTCTCCCCATAGATAAATATTGAATCAGTGCTTTCCTATAGGGGCTTCTGCATCATGTGACCCAAATTTACTTAGTTGGTGCTGCAAAAGCACCTCAGTTGCTAAGTTTCCCCCTTTTATAATATGGTTAATAAAAGGTATAGGATGGTGATACATAAATGCCAATAATAGTATTATTAATAGTAATAATAGTGGCGGTCAGTATGACAGTCACTAGAGGAGGACAAAACCCTGTAAATGTTACAAATCTATGGAATCCTCGGACGGGAATGGAATTGTAAGAAATATATATTGGATAATAGGAGTGGTCCAGTTATAAAAGTGGTAACCTTAATGCCCAGCTGATATCTGGAACATTAAAAAGCTGCAACGAACTGCAGGAAAAGTTAGTTAGAATGCAAGGAATTATGTATGTTTTCTTTTTTTGTTTTGGACACCATGAATGGAAAGTGGGTTAACCCAAATAACAGATTTAAAGAATGACGAGTTCCTCACCTTGGGAAATTTTCCGGACGTAACCTTCATTCTCAACTATATACTCAATTCCCTTGTGGGAATTCATAATTGTTCGGACACAGTTTATGCAAGTCAGCTGGAGGAGGGCGTCAGCAATTCTAGATACCCCTCTCCCCGATAGTGTGTCCAGGGCTTCCAGGAGAAGGTCCAGTCCACTGAGCTCCAAGAACTGTACGATCCAGTTGTCATCACTGCTCTCCAGGCGTTTTTTCAGACCGGAGTAGTTTACAACAGATGGGATTTGCAAGAGTCGGATGCATAATTCAGGGTCTGCATTCTCCAGGTTACCCTCAATCTGGTCGGGGCTCTGAGGGCTTAGTTTCTCCTTTAGAGCCGCCCATTTTTTATGTGCACCTTCTTTGCTCGCTGACATCTTAGGCACAGCTTCCTGCACAAAAGAAAAGAAAAAAAAGAAACTTGTTTTAAATATATTACTTTAAACATTATTTCAGTACTGTAGAAGAGAGTGAAGCATGACCACCCTCTGTTCATAAGCCATGACATATTCAGGTTAATTCACTAAATTGAGAATTGCGGGGATTTTAAATGTAAGCCAAACTGAAAACTTGTGAATTTCTCTCATTTTGATTTTTTTGGATTACATTTTGCAATTCACTTCCAGTTCTCTTTTAATTCCCATTCTTACTTTAGTGATTAACTCTGATAGTTTATATAAAGAGTGCAATTGTGACCAGGCCTATGTCACTATGTGTACCAAGTCAAATAGCGGATAACAGAACACCTAGCAGTAGGAAAATAAAAATCTATTCTCTTCCTAACTGGCTCTCTGTATCACAGACAGACTGTAAACATCAGGATGTGACATAATGTCCTAGTTCCCCCATTCATTAATAAAATGTAAAAGAGAAGTATACCTGACTGCACGCTGGTCTCCAGAACCATTCCAGAATGGACTGGTGCAGCAATGACGCATTTTGAAAACATCTGGGAATATTTAAATCCATTTGTGCAGAAAAATATATTTTGTTGCACATCTGGTAGAGGCAGTCATAGAAAGGAACCTTACCAGGGCCACAGAGGGACAGTCAGGCTTACATTCATGCCAGACAGGTACCCACCTCCTTTGGGCATTTCCAGTGATGCAAGTTGCATTACTGGCGCACTTCATATAGATCCACCCCGGTCCTGATTCTATACCTCTCAATGTTTGAAGCTATAGGGATGGCATCCTATGAAGCAGTTGGGTGAAGGGTTCATTTTTTTTTTTATAAACTGTAGATTTTAGTGACTTCAGTGATTTTTGTTCCCGAACTAAAATATTTCCCGCAAGACCTCATCAGTTAGGGGCTATTACGAGAGATAAGCACATCTCTGCTAATTTAACAGTACATGTTCCCATAATCTGTTACACAAGGAAACACAACATTCTAGATTCTGTTATAAGAAAGAAACGGTTAATAGCTCCCAACGGATTCCTCTTCTGCAACTGTCACTAGTCTAATACTATCCTTACCTTTTTTGTGTCATTTTACCCCACTCCCTCTAGCATGTAAGCTCTTCGAGCAGGGCCCTCAACCCCTCTGTTCCTGTGTGTCCAACTTGTCTGGTTCCAACTACATGTCTGTTCGTCCACCCATTGTAAAGCGCTGCGGAATTTGATGGCACTATATAAATAATTACATAATAATAACAACACTATCTCTGGTAATTAAACAGTAATTTTCCAACAGATAAATTAGAGAACTGATATTCAGTAGCCAGAGTTAAACTGACACTATAGGCACCATCACCACTTCATCTCATTGAAGTGGTGATGGTGTCTGGAATCATCCAATGGCTCGGTGTTAAACCACCTTTGACTCGGAGTTGCTGCAGATGGCTTATTTAACCTTTTAGTGAATAACCCCCTTAAAATCTGGAAGACACAAAATGTCACCCCTTTTTTATTGTCATCCTTAAAAGGGGCACTCCAGGCACCAAACCAAATTAATTGTAGTGAAATTATTATGGAGCAAGGAGGTCCCTGATGCTGGTACTTTTTTTTTTTTTTAATCACTCCATCAGCGGACGCTCTCAGCCAGCAGTGTTGCCCAGGCAGAGACTTCTTGATTGAAGCCTCATACTGGAACAGAAGTGAAAGGGGCAGAGCGGACAGGAGTCAAATTAAAGACTCTGGGGTTAAACAGTCTTAAGAGTTTGACCACTTCAAGTAAACTGGCAACCGGGACATCCTTGCACCAAAACAACTTTTTGATTCAGTTTTTATAGTGCCCGGAGTGGACCTTTAAGGGGTTTCATCATGCATTTTGTTTAAAAATAAATAAATAAATAAATAAATAAAATGTAACGACAACAAAAAACCTCAGAATAATAGGCCCTTATCTTTTGCTGCAACATGGATTGTGCTCTTTCCCTATTTACATCTGAATGTGACCCCAGTTTTCCAAACAGTAGGCAGGCTTTCTACAAACAATCCCTGTTTATATTTGCCTTTTCTTGTGTAACAGGCAGAAACTGGCAGAGTCACTGCAAATCTTTATTCCTGCTGCAATACACAATTATAAAAGGGATTTAACTATTCATGATATGACCAACACAGACAAAACCATTTAGACGGTTTTCCACCATGGTACCCGAGATTACAGATAACACATGTGCGGGATACACAAATTGCTGTTACTACAGTTTGTTGTAATACTCTGTCTTATATTAAAAATCGAGTTAGTCACATCACAATCCAGTTCACTCCTGGCACAGCAAAGGCACGCAATGCAAATTAAGAGCAATAAAAACATTATTTCATTTTTCCTGTATGCTTTCTCTTTTGAATTGTTAACTATTGTAACATAAAGACATGTATGCTTTAACTCTGAGCTAATGTAGATCTGTTTAAAGAATGGAGGCGCTAGACCAATCAATAAAGCTAGAAGAATGTTCTTAACCATTTCGTGTGTCCAATATCGGTTATATTGTTTCTACTTACGATCCTCCCTTCTATGGATCAACAGCATAAAAGGTGGACGGTAGTCTTTTTCATCCTAAAATATTATGTTTGTCACTATGTAACTTCCTGAAGTCAAAGAAAGGAAAGGCATACGAAGACAAACCTCCCCAAGAACGTACAATTGGCCAAACCAACTAAAAAGAGGTCACAAGGTCAGATACGAGCTAACTTTGGTTCACCTAGAAAGATCATTAACACATATTTTGGGAAGAAAGATACCCCCATTTTTAAATGGGGTTTGGAGATTGAAGGATGGCTAATTCCATGATCCCCATCTTTATCCTCTGGTTGATGTGGGATTTCTTACCTATAGGTGAAGAGAGAAAACAGAGGTCGGTGCCCAAGCACCCATACACCATAACCGTTTGCTTTCTTGTAGCACTAACATGGCTTAATACGAGATAATATGCAAGTCCATTATTTCTTTCTTGTCCAAATAATTAATTTTAAGAATACACAGAAACATTTTTCCCATCGAGTGGTTTATATGCATTGTCACTGTCGGACACATTAACGGGCAATGTGCAAATTCAGAAGCAGGAAGGAAAGCCTGATTAGCTTCCGTACTAATAGCATGTGTCTCAAGATACGCGGTTTATTGTACACAGCTGGATGACATACAGGGCCAAAAAACAAGCCTGGAAACCGTTTGATGATGGACATGGACTAACAAGTGCACTTTACTTCCTCTACAGTTGGTTCAATACACATCATCAGCATAGCACAATAAGGCAGGGTGAAATAATTTGCTAAGAGATGTAAAGTGGAATTTGAAAGTGTCTCAAGATGAAGAATAGAATTTGGGGAATCACTAGGCCAAAATTGTCCCCAGCATTTTTTAAAGAGGACACAACTATGGCAAGCAGGGGGCAAAACAGGAGATGGTAAACATAGTTACGTAGGATGAAACGAGACATGCATCCATCAAGTTCAACCTTCCTCACATCTGTTTTGCTGTTGATCCAAAAGAAGGCACATACTCCAGTTTGAAGCGCATCCAAATTTGCAACAAACTAGAAAAAAAAATCCTTCATGACCCCATAATGGCAGTCAGATGTCTCCTTGAATCAAGAAGCTATTACCCCACTAATTAGACATTTTATCCCTGAATACTATGTTTTTGCAAGTATTTATCCAGCTGGTTAAAACATCTGTACAGACTGTGATAAAACCACTTCTTCAGGCAGAGAATTCCACATCCTTATTACTCTTACTGTAAAAACCCCTTTCCTCTGCCTTAGTCTAAATCTCCTTTCTTCCAGTCTAAATGTGTGACCTCGTGTCCTATGCATAGTCCTGTTATGAACAGTTTTCCAGACAATGGTTTGTATTGACCCCATATATATTTGTATAATGCAATCATATCCCCTCTGAGACTCTGTTTTACCTTGTGTTACTAAAAACTATTCCAGGCAGGCTCTTTCCTTAAATTATACATGAAAACAAAACAAAACACTGAATCACATAATTATGGAATTAATCTTGAAGATAATTGTCATATCGTTGTCCAGATATGATCTTTTCTTAATTAATTACCACAGTTTAGTCAGGTTTATATTATATATAGATATATTTCCTGGAGAAAGCAGTTTGTAATGTAATATTGTTTTGTCTCACCCCTGTATTATTAGACTTAATTACTCCCAAAGGCTAATGACTCAAGACTTGCAGTGGCTCATGACGGGCTGGAAAGGGTGGCTGGTTACATATATACATCTATGGTTTTGTTGATATGAAGAATCTAAGCTAATTTTTTTTTTTTTTTTTTAGGAACCTGCAGTACTACATATGGCCACTTGCGGTTGTCTGAAATACTCTATTTTACTCCAGTGAATGGCTAGGTACTTTTTCTTCCTTTTTCCAAGTTATCCATATTAATGATAGGTTTAATGAACTAGTCAGAATCCATGGGAAAAAAACCTCCATCTTGTCTGTGATCTCACTGGATCCTCAGAAGCATAGTCTGACAACCCTGAATGTTATTTTGGATGTGTGATGTCCCAATGCATTGTTTATTTACTGTGTGCAGGGTTTAAAATGGTAAAAGTGATTATTGCTAAGGTATCACTAGGACTTACCGGAAAAGTCAAAGTTAAGCTGCTTGGATAAACGGATTCACAAAGCACGTCACTTGCCATTCACATTGCACCAGGCATCATTCAGTGGTTGTTCTCCACAAACTGAAATTACTTTGTGATAAAACTGGCCAGTCAGCTATTGCAGCAACTCCACCTTAATGGGACAATTCGAAAACCAATACAACTTTCATGCATTCGATAAACCTCATTAAAGGACCACTATAGTGCCAGGAAAACATACTCGTTTTCCTGGCACTATAGTGCCCTGAGGGTGCCCCCACCCTTAGGGACCCCCTCCCGCCCGGCTCTGGAAAGGGGAAAGGGGTTAAAACTTACCTTTTTCCAGCGCTGGGCGGAGAGCTCTCCTCCTTCTCCTCCTCCCCCCCGCTGAAGGCAAGAGCTGCGCATTCAGCGATAGGAAAGCATTTACAATGCTTTCCTATAGACGGCGCGTGCTCTCACTGTGAAAATCACAGTGAGAAGCACGCAAGCGCCTCTAGTGGCTGTCAATGAGACAGCCACTAGAGGATTAGGGGGAAGGCTTAACCCATTAATAAACATAGCAGTTTCTCTGAAACTGCTATGTTTATTAAAAATGGGATAACCCTAGCTGGACCTGGCACCCAGACCACTTCATTAAGCTGAAGTGGTCTGGGTGCCTAGAGTGGTCCTTTAATAGGATGTATTTTTTTTTTTGCATGCTCAAATATTTGTGCAAACAGTTCTTGCACAAAATAAGCTAAATGTTTTGCAGAATGGTGCACAATAAGCCTCCCTCCTTAGCCACACCCACTCACTCCAGAAAAAGACTTCCTTATCTATTGTATGCACACAGATCAGCAGATGACAGCATGTAGTGATCAGAGCTACAATGTAACCTGCAACTGACTGAGAGGACACTCAGGGTGTAGCTTCTCTGACTGTCTGCAGCCAAATTGTGAATTAGAAGCCACTCACTCAGTGCTTTTAGGGGTTGAGCTGTGTACATAAATTTGATAAGGAAGCCTTATAATAAGGCAGGCTTATGGTGCAGCATTCGGCAAAATATTAATGTTTTGTTCAAAAACTAAAAATGTGAGCATGCAATTAATGCAGCATATTAAAGAGTTATATTGGTGCACGGAGTGTTCCTTTAACCCCTTAATGACCAAACTTCTGGAATAAAAGGGATTCATGACATGTCACACGTCATGTGTCCTTAAGGGGTTAAACAATGTCCTCCCCTGACAGTAAGCTATCCACTAAATGAGTTCATGCAATACTGTGCGATTTAGAATGCATTGAATAAGTTAGTGTTGTGGAATTTGTTGGCCCTTTATTAATGTAACGAATATAAAAGTTGTTATTCCCACGGTATCAGTGACTCCTTCTCCCTGCATACATACTGTGAGCAAACAAAACGTGGGGTTTTCCTGTCTTTTTCCTCTCTGGCGGTTCCTTTCACCAAAGGAAGCAAAAGTCAGCCGTTTATGTGATTTATACTCGCCTGGTTTGTAGGGGAACTACCATTAGACATTAACTTCACTGCCCAAAAAAACAACCCTATTTAGTAAATATACAGACAGGCTCTGTAGTGTAAATTTATTACACATGTTGCAGATTATGTTAATATATGCTACAATAATCCTACAGGGTTAATCACTAAAGTATGAAATATGGAAAATTAGAAAATTATTTAAATTAGCCAAACTAAGCGGACATAGTTTATTTTTTTGTTTTGTTTTTGCGCTGATATGGTCTAAATTTTGAGATTCACATTGAATCTCGTGAAACAACGTGTAAGAATACAATAACAATTCTAGCAATCTCTGATTTTCCAAAGAGCGGACAAGCCCCCAATGCATATTGCCCTCCCACACACTTTCTCAATTATTTAGGACATCTTCTTATTTTTAATGGTTTTCTTTACATTTTCTCATCTTTGAAGTAGGTGGCACATACCAGCGAGATAATTTAACCCAGAGGTTGGCAACCTTCGGCAGATGTTATGGACTACATACCCCAAAATGCTCTTACACCCATAATGCTGGCAAAGCATCATGGGAGGTGTAGTCCAAAACATCTGGAGTGCCAAAGGTTGCCTATGCCTGATGTAACAACTTTTCTTATGATCTCACAATTACTACTCAAAATGAATCAGCTACATATTTGGAATTTATATAGAATCAAAAGTAATTAACATATTATAATATATATATATATATATATATATATATATTACTACATATACAAAAAAAAACAAAAAAAAAAAACAGAACAGTGAACCAGGCATTGTGGAAAAACAAAATTATGCTGTTGAGGTGTTTTGAGATCTGGTTTAATTAATTCAGCTACGGAAAGAGCAGAATGAAAATCACAGCAACTACGTATAGTAGATGTTGTTTAGTAGTGGAAGTCCCACTTATCTTAGACATGTTCCAGTACTGCATGGTGGGAATTAAAAACCGTGTCTGCCCATGAAATAACATGCAGACCACAAGGACAATTATATAAATGAAGGGCCCATGGATCCTTATCGTTATCTAAAGCTACCACAAAACTAAGAATGAAGTCATCATTAAGGTTAAAAACAGATAAGGCAGTAGTTTCATTCATCCTATCTAATAAATGGAACTGCTACAGTGTGCTGACAATTAGATCGTATACACTTTTATCTGGGAAGGGTATTTATGAGATGCAGTCAGATCCTATTTAAAACAATGAGAAAGCTATGATTGACTGACGTGGCAATCTGCTATGTCCAAGTTTGGTCGGAGCATACTGCAGGAAGTCTCAGACATGGTGAGTTGTAATTACGGGTGACGTGCCAAGAATGACCTAGTGTATAACTCCTCCTCGATAAGGCAGTACAATAGCAACTGTAAAAAATACCTCCAATTTAGCCCAATTGAAGAGGTTTTTTTTATTTTATTTTTTCACCAATTTTGAAATTCACTTTGCAACTTCTTCCCAAATGAATAAACGTCTTGAAATTAAAAATTGCTTTTAGATCTCAATTTACGTGCAAGTATTTTAGAGATGGTAAAAAACAAAAATAATACAAAAATAAATAAATAGAGAAAAAAAAACAAAAAACACAACACTAAGCATGTACCAAGCACAATTATTGCTTCCTCTTTTAGCTAAGGAGGGTAATCAGGAAAAAAAAAGAATTCCTTTAATGCATTCATTATGTTACCCTAGAGAAATCAGTTTGCTGCCTTTTCATTCACAATGCTTTATTGAAAGCCAGGCATAGATGGGAGCTCTGAGCTAACCCACCCAAACACTCTTAGCCAAATCACAATGGTCCAAGTTGGATAGACTTGACATTGATAATGTGAAAATATAAATTCTACATTCGCAGTTCAGTAGAAGAGACGGGGCAGTTTCTGGATGCAGGAAAGAACCCCAGTATTGTCAAACTGTTTCAGAATAGTTTGACAAAGAGGTTATAAGTTCTATGCATAAACTATAATGAAAGCATTTAAAGAAGGGATTTAAACCCTTAAGGACCAAACTTCTGGAATAAAAGGGAATCATGACATATCACACGTGTCATGTGTCCTTAAGGGGTTAAAGGCATATCGTGGGGATACTTATCACCACAGTAAACCCATAAATTATAAGTTTCTAGATGTATGGCATCCAGAGGCAGTGTAACAGTCTCACTGTGCCCCGAGAGGGATCAGGAACTCTACAGAAATGCAGAAGGAAATTATAAAGGAACATCACAGCTTCTTAAACAACTCATTTAACGTTGAATGTAATTAGCCCTAAACATCTGCACGTCTCTCTGTTAAAAAAAAAAAGAAAAGAAGAAAAATAAACTAATGTTTTGATAGATGTTCCAGAAACATAATTTTAATTCAGTAAGGTAGCATCTGGCATTCTGCAATGAAGAGCAGATGTATTGTCTTACAAAGTACATTTGCATAAATATTCTCCCATTACTGTGACACTGTCACGGTTGGCACTGCGCTGATCTTTTGGTAAAAGAAAACAAACGTTGGAATGATGAAACAGTCAGACTTATTGTTTACAGAAACATTTTTATCCATTGGCCGACTAGACCAGGCCTAGAGTTGCAGGTTTCTTTCTTTAAAAAATAAATAAATAAGTACAAGTATTTATAATAATAATAAAAATAGATTCTGTTAGCCATGATATCTAGTTAGCAGAATGTCTCCAATTTCACTGGGCAGAAATAAATCACAGATGGTCAATAGAGATGTCGCGAACCGTTCGCGAACTTCCCGCGAACGGCTCGCCACGAACCGTTCGCGGCGAGCTCCGGTCAGCTGACACATCCCAGCCAATCTCCAGCAGACCCTCCATCCCAGACCCTCCCACCTCCTGGACAGCATCCATGTTCGCGGGAAGTTCGCGAACGGTTCGCGACATCTCTAATGGTCAATATAAGGGCATATACAGCCCAAAGAACTTATATCCCTGAGACGGAGGTGGGACAAGGACAAAAGACTTTGTCATCCAATTGTCTTCTATTAAGCGGGGGTCGGGGCATCCATTACCGGTACCTAGATAAAAGATGCACATTATTTTAAGGCCAAGGCTATCCCCATCTAAGATTCTCAGTGAGGAATGAGGGAAAACTCTGGGTTGTACATTAGACTTGATACCCCCCCCCATGAGTATATGTACAGCCCCCTCTATAATTAGTAGGTATCAAGTGGTATGTTTGATTTAAAGGAATCACATGGCATTTTATGGGCTTTTTGACAGACAATATGCATGTTCACACTGAAACGGCTTTCTCATGGAAAAAAAAAAAAACAATAAACAAAAACACACAAAACAAAACTGTTGCTAGAAGGTAAAGTTCAGATTCTGCCTTTGAGAGTAAGAGGGGGCAAATTTCCCCACAGTGACCAGTAACGTTAAGTCCTTAAAGGACCACTATAGGCACCCAGACCACTTCAGCTTAATGAAGTGGTCTGGGTGCCTGGTCCAGCTAGGGTTAACACTTTTTTTTTTATAAACATAGCAGTTTCAGAGAAACTGCTATGTTTATAAATAGGTTAATCCAGCCTCTAAAGCCTCTAGTGGCTGTCTCATTGACAGCCGCTAGAGGCGTTTGCGTGCTTCTCACTGTGAAAATCACAGTGAGAAGATGCAAGCGTCCATAGGAAAGCATTATGAATGCTTTCCTATGAGACTGGCTGAATGCGTGCGCAGCTCCTGCCGAGCATGCGCATTCAGCCGAAGGGGAGGAGAGGAGGCGGAGAGGAGGAGGAGAGCTCCCCGCCCGGCCCTTGAGAAAGAGGTAAGTTTAACCCCTTCCTCTCTCCAGAGCCCGGTGGGAACGGAACCCTGAGGGTGGGGGCACCCTAAGGGCACTATAGTGCCAGGAAAACGAGTATGTTTTCCTGGCACTATAGTGGTCCTTTAAAACAACTTAGCACAAACAAAACCATTTATTCTAGACCTTGTTGATACTTAAACAAAGATGCACCTAAAGGTTATAGCAGTGGTTCCCAACCCAGTCCTCGTGGCCCACCAACAGTCCAGGATTTATGTATTTCCCGGTTTTATTCCAATGGAGATAATAAGAAAACCTGGACTGTTGGTGGGTCTTGAGGACTGGTTTGGGAAATGCTAGCTTATAGAACACATTTTCTCAATACTGTTTAAAATATTTATTCTATCTTAGATGCATCTAGCAATCTGGTTTATTACGCGATAGAATCTAAAATGTAAAAAAAAACAAACAAAATAAAACTGGCCTAGATACTTCTGATTAAAAGGAGGCCAGGAGGCTTCTTAAAGGTTGCCCCTATCTTCTGGGTGCGAGCATTTTGCGTCTGATTATAATTTAAATAGCGTGACGTATTCCATAGCACTCCACATTTTATATAGCGGGGATGTATAACAATAAGTAACGGACACACAAATAACGTTGATGGATAGAATAGGTGAAGAGGGTCCTTGTCAAAAAAAACTCATGTTAGAAACATTTTTAAAAGATCACTCTAAGCACTAAAACAGTTTTCACACGGTGTGACCATTTACCTGGGTTCCCCAGGTTCCTGCGCCACATTTAATGGGCTGAGAGAGCTCAGCAGATGCTCTGACAGTATGTGTGGTCCTGCGTATTCTAGCTTTGTAGAGCTCTCTGGATTCTCCTGCACAAGAAGACCAGAAGCCTGGTATGGGGTCACTGGCACCAGACTGGAGCCAGTTACGTTGTGAAACCATAATAAAATAATTTGATTACTTGCTGTGGGACAGTACCAGGCCACTCCTGGCAAGCTGTAGTGGTTATGGTGTTTGGAGTGTTTTATTAATGAAATAAAGTGCTATCCGTAGCGACTTGTTTCTGAATGACACAGGTGGATTTGTCATTTCTCCGTTTATTGAATTTTTTTTAGGGGATAAAAAACGATTTTAATGAAAGAACCTAATCCTGGAGATCCTCACATTGAAAGACAGAACCAGAAACCAGAGATATGATTTAAGGTTTATAAATGTTACATTCCTTCCCAGGTCTTTCTAACATGATTAAGGCTAATCCCATTAACAAATAATTGTCATACTTCGAGATACATGAATGAATCATATCCAGGAAATCCTTAAGATGTCTGCTTACACTAGAATGTAATGAGTTGTTCAGATTGTATCCCCAGGGCATGATCAACAGAACTTCAAATGTTTTACCATGTTTGTTTATATACGGCAAGCTTTGTATTGGCCAATTTGCCTTTTTTAATTCAATGTAAATGAAGTCACTTTGTTTAAATATTTATATCAGACCATCGTCTATCAATGATGATAACAATGCTGCTTGCAAAAAAGGGGGTTACGTATAGAAACTGTAATTTAAAAAAAAAAAAAAAAAATATCTTTATACATTGGGGCATTTTTTTCCCAATTCCCCCAGATTGTTGCATATTAAAAGGCTGGAATAAAAATGGGCGTGGAATCGTACATTGTATTTATACATTGACAAGAACGCTCATTTGGTAAAAAGAAACCCCCAAACAAACAATCTGCTATCTGGCAATCTGCTATGTCCTTGGGCTCCAGGTCGCGGCTCCCCCTTCTCCTCCAATGAGCGGGCGTTAATGCGCATGACGCGCATACATTAGACCTTCCCATAGGAAAGCATTGAATCAATGCAGAGCATGAGGATGTCCAGCGTCGGATACTGGACCAAGGGTCCATTTGGATCCAGGAAGTCCTCTAGTGGCTGTCTTGTAGACAGCCACTGGAGGCACACTTAGTGCTACAATGTAAACATTGCAGTTTCCCTGGAACTGTAATGTTTTACATTGCAGCACTAAGTGCAATAGGGACACAGCACCCACACCACGTCTATTAGCTGAAGTGGTCTGGGTGCCTACAGTGTCCCCTTAATGTACGTAATAGTTATTTTTTATTTTAATTTCTTTTTTTACATACAATCTTTAGGCCACACAGCTGAATAAAGTTTTATTACCCACAGTTTACAACAGGCGGGATCACAATGATAAATAGATAAATAAATTCAGCCTATGTGCCTTTTAAATATCCTCGATTCTAGTATTTGTAATTATTTACCATGACCATAATACATAAACAATTCATAGCCCAGGCCTGCAGTTGTGTATTTATTAGATGTGGCTGTATCTCCCCCTATGTTCGTAGATCCAGTTTTACATGGAATAAAGTGTTTTTTATTTATTTATTTATTTATTTATTTATTTTTTACTGCAGAGTTTCATTTGCTATCTGGCTTGTCTATCATTGTTTCTTTTAGAGGTAAATCTGTGCTTGCAGCTCCCGGGCATCTTAAAAAGGTAAGAGGTATTTGTTAATATATATTATATACAGCATTTATACTGGGCTAAATCCAGGTGTATATTTATGAATACAGTTGGGTGCAAATACACAGTGGCTAAATCATAAATATATATCTCTATCATACAAAAAATAATTCACTAAGCTCAGAATTGAGAGAGAAATTTCACATTTTAGATCAAAATAGATCAATTAACTCCTCAAATTCCTGAAAAATTGCAGCTTTTTTATGATTGGTCACAGTTCCCAGTTTAGTAGGTAAATCCCCAAATCTCTTAGTTAAAATGCAGGATCGGACTGACAAATTACACAAAAAACAATTCTAGGCAAGACTAAACTTCTAACACCAATTGAATGTTCGTAACTAACCATTTATAATTTTCAGCTTACCCCAATTCTTGACTCAATTACGTGTGTCATTGACAATGCTATAAAAGGCAAATTTGGCTGGACACATCCCTGTTTAAATCAGCAGGGTTTAAAAAGTTCCTACCTCAGGCCTGCAATCAGTAAACTCTAGACAGCAGGCCTCAATCATCATTTCGCTCAAAGAACCCTCCGTGTTGTCAAACTCTGCTCCCCCTTACCATGACAAGCGACTACAACTCCCAAAATGCTGTGAATGCAACAGAGCGGCCAAGCATTCTTGGAGTTGTAGCCAAACAACATTGAAGGGGGACTGGAATGGAATGAAATCCATATTTCTACATATGTTTTTTCCCCCCACAAGGCAGGTATGCATTGGTATGAAAATATTATTGAACTGTTACAATATTGTAATATTTGCTAATGTGGGAAAGGGGGTTGTCTTCCTTTAGATAAAAAGTAATTAAGATGTATTGCACACTTTTGTAGCACTGACAAAGTTAGTCATTAAACACCAAGTTATAGTGAATTAAATAAGAATGGTGAAATTTAGGGTATAATTGCTGCTTTGGAAAAATTCTGCATCTTGGCTTTAATCACAGCTGGACTATTTTAGCCTCTGTGTGCTTTGCATCAGATTTGGTTCACTAAAATTAAGTGGTTTTAGTAGATAACCCAAGCAGTCAATATAAGTAATGGCTGAGTTAGTGACTGTTGCTTATCAGGCTGACTGTATATACAATTCATAATCTTATCAACATTTACATATATTGTACCAATACATATTGCTGAGAAAGAGGTGAAGAATGAACAAGCTCACAATCTAAATCGGATGCCTTGTATATTATGGATTCCAGATTATATACACAAATGTAAGTTTAACTCACCAAATCGTAAAATAGTGAATTGAAATCCAAATGGCAAAAATTGTAAGGGAGTTAGAGAACTCTTATTTAAAGGGACACTAGAGGAGGACCCAAAACAAGTTTTAGCATTAGCACTGATCAATTCTCTGCAATTTAGGAGTTAAATCTTTCTTTATACAGCTCTAGTCACCCCTCCCTGCATGTGACTTGTACAGCCTTCCTAAACACTAACAGTAAAGTGAGCTTTAATGTTTACAATTCTATTATTGCAAATTGTTTAATTTATAATTGCAAATTTTCTGCTTATTTTAATAGCCTTCTAGATCTTGCAGGAGCCTCGTGTGTGATTTTGAAGTTAAATTTACAGAGCAAGAGATAGAAACTTCTAAAGCAGCATTTCTCAAACCAGTCCTCAAGACCCACCAACAGTCCAGGTTTTGTTAGTATCTCCATTGGAATAAAACAGGGAAATACATAAATCCTGGACTGTTGGTGGGCCGTGAGGATTGGGTTGAGAACCACTGTTCTAAAGTTAGTTACCATCTGATTTGAAAATGAAACCATTTGTTTTTATGCAGGCTGTCTCAGTCACAACCAGGGGAGGTGTGGCTAGCACTGCATAAACTGATCGAAAAGTGATTTTAATTCCTAAATGGCAGTGAATGGAGCAGTGAGATTGCAGATACATCATTTGTTCGCTAAACACTTCATTAAGTTAAAGTGGTTTTGGTGACTATAGTGTCCATTTAAGCATCAATGTTACCATTTGAATTGAAATAAGTTACAATGCTGGACTAAACCTGATGTTCTGACATTCCAATCCAGCCATTTAAAGTGCCTCTGTCTCCCCCCCCATTAGTATTTTATAATGTTAAATTATCTTCTATCATTATGAAAGATCTTTATGAAATGCTGAAATTCCAACACAGTCCAAATATTTAAATACTAATACAAATAAGTGACTACTTAGTGTTAATATTTTCCCTACACTTGACAAATGGCAGAGCTACTTTTTATCAAGCGCTCACTAGTGAAGGCTGAGTTGAAAAAGGCTCTGCCTACTGAGGGACTCTTGGGATCCTCCATAGACCTCAATGCGTGAGAACACAAAGCTGATGTAAGCTCCTGGCAGCTGAAGCATCAGGGGCTGAAAAGTACCGTTTGCAAGAAGATGGCAGCAGATGCCAGAGACACTTTCAGGTAATTAGAACTCCCCTTTCCCTGTACCCCTTGGCTACCTCACTGCAAGTGCCGCAGTTACTATTGGATGGTCTTTGTAAATTATACAAAGACCCCAAACAAGGCCAGAGCCTCTTTAATTACTTTAGTAATGTGTTCTCACAGGGTGCGATATACCCGATATTCTGTGAAGGGTGTGCAAGCTGTCTTTAAGAATTGGAAGCTGAGAGCGGACACACCCTGGGGATGATTAATTCACTCATCCTCTTGTTTTGTTTTCAAATATTGCAGATGCTGTACAGGCATGTGATATTGGGCATTCCTTATGTATTACTGCACATGGCACTGTGGGCGATAAAATTCAGCTACATAGTATGCCCTGACTGTTTCAGGAGAAAAAAAAAGGCTCATATTTATATTATTTTAGTAAAAAAAGAAACCGCACAACGCATACGGGATCATTTACTAAAATAAGAATTCGGACTGAGTTTCAAATTAAAGGCAAGAGAAGCTGAACTGAAAGCATTGTTGACTTAGAGAATTTTTCCAGTTCGGCTATTTTAACCTTAAATTTGAAATGCACTTTCAATTCTCACATTTGTGAATAATCCCTGTTGTGTTTTTTTTTTTTGTTCTGTCAGGTTGTCTAAATATCTTGCGTGTGCCGGTTGCACGTTAAAGTGATATTTCTATGTTACACCTTGTTTATAACACGCTTTACAAGGTAGTTTATAGCAATCGATTTAGCTGTTACTGGAAACCAAAAAGCAACAAGGAAACCATAGTTTAAAGGTAATAAAATGACGGCTTCTTTTAGTAACCAGACCTTTTTTTTTTTTTTAATGACACTTCTGTGGAAGGCGGAATAGATAAGTTCAGACAAATGTGCCAACACGGAGTGTCCTTCTTACATTTGGAGAACTATAAGATTGCCTATCACATATTATACTAACATATTATAAATATGTAGAAAGTTCCAACATATTTTGGAATGCTGTACAATAGATTTCAGAAGATACGGTAAAGGTTTTAATAAATCCCACATTGTGCTGGTCTGCCCCCCCCAATTCTAGGAATAAAGAATACAATTAGAATGCACCTCCATTCCACTGCTGAGACCAACTTCTTTCTTCTTCCAGGCATCATAACCATTTCAAATCACTGAAGTGGTCATGGTGCTTGGATTAACCCTATAACACAATTTACAGGCAGTGTAAGTAGCGAAGGCACTGCCCAATGAGAACATAGATTACCCTAGGCCAAAATATAGACCCCAACTTTTGTTGCGATACAGAAGTCAGAGTTTGGCCAAAGTGAAAATTCCAATAAAATTTCAAATTTAGGTCCAAAGCAGCTGAACGGAGAGCATAGTTGATTTATATAATTCGGCTGCTTGACCTTACATTTGAAATTCACTTTGAACTCTCTCTACAAAAAAAAAAAACACAAAACCCTGCAATATGCACAATTTAAAATATCCAAGTTTTCATTGTAGCCTGATTTGGTGAATTTTTCCTCGTCTACTATTTTTGTCTAAATTTTGCTTTTAGATTTTTCAATTGATTTATAGTTCAGTATTCAGTGAATAATCTCCCATATTTGTGGAATAGATACAAAATATACAGGATCAAAGCGGAAGGTGGACGGTTTAATGTGAGACATAAGTATTTTACAGTAGGAAAAATGAAACGGCTAAAAGGATTCCACACATTTTTAGAGATTTGTGTCAAAGTAGAAACACAGTTTGATTGGCTGAGGGGACACTGTAGTGGTTATGATGCTTAGATCAGCCATTTTAGATTTTGTAATTTTGTCAACTTATCACAATTGAATGTTTCAGTGACTACAACCTAAACCCAGTTTTGAGATCTGATAGCACATTTATAGATTAAACTTGTTTGTTCTAAGGAATGGAAATACTGTGAAATAAATGAGTTGGGCGTCTGTTAGTAGACATGTGATAAGGGTGGAGTAATGCTGTGTATTTGCAAAGTGTTTGCCAGACACTTTTATACATTAAAACAATTTCTATAAGTGCCTTCTGGTTGAGCAATGCATTGGCCTTGATTCAAATACTTGTCCATTTAATTTTTTTTAATCTATAATTAAACCGAAGTTCGCTCTGTATATTTAGGTATTACAAACAAACGCATCTGTATTGTAATGTGCTTTAATTGGACAGCAGTGTATTAACTCCTTAAATAAACACTCCACTGCCAAAAATAAAATCTTTAATTACGCATTTTTCATTGGGAGTATGTCTAAAAACAGCTTGCAAAAGCTGCAGATCTCTTGTGTGCAGCCTTTGCAAGCCCTCCCCTTCTGACCCCACCCAGACTCTCTGTGACTGTCCAATCACAGACTTCCCAAAGCGGCTCGATGAGAAGTCTTTGGAAGGTGCTCTGGGCATCTGCTTCTTTTTGAGTTTAAAGGAACACCATAGGCCCAGGAATACAAACATGTATTCCTGACCCTATAGTGTAGATAACATAGTTTAGGTGACTGGCCCCTCATTGCACCCCTTAAAGATAAACTCACCTTTTTCCAGCGCAGGGTAAATTGCTGGTGCTGGCTCTGTCCCCAACCCACCTCCTTGACTGAGCTCATCAGTCGCAAACTCATGAACAGCTCTGGGCGGCAAAAGCTCTAGCTATGCCACTGAGAGGGACACTTTAATTTTACGGGTGGGGGTGTGGCCAGGGTGGGGGCAGAGCTGTACTGAGAAATTCTGTGTGATTTATTAACAATGTTTGCAAGTACAATGTAATTTAGAACAATGCACCTTATATACACACAGACTAGTTTCTAAACACATTTATTGTAGTTTAAAGACACATTACTGGGAGTATTATTGCTGTGGAGCTCTTTTAAACACCAACAATATGAAGCTCGTAGAAAAGAGACATTAGTAGAGAAAAGAGGGACAGAGGGATTTGGGCACAAAATAGGGACTGTCCTTCCTAAATCGGGACAATTGGGGAGGTAGGCAGATGTGGCATTCATTTCAAAGCAAATTACCAGAAAATATTGTTTTAATCACAGAAAACAAGCAGTAAACAACTGTAAGGTGCAGCAGCCAAGTTATTATTATTTTAATAAAAACAAGCTTTAAATATGTTCTTTCTCGAATAGCGTTAACTAGAAATTCCAGAGTCACATTCAATCCTGGCTTCTACAAAGTGCTACACGGTGAACATTTCATAAAGCATCTGTCAAACTGCCATTCTAACGCTGACTGCCAGGTTTCCTTGACAACCACTGAAGTTTTCTACTTTTTTTGATTCTTCAGGCATGCTTGAACAGTTAACGGTTTATTCACTAAATATTGAATTCAGAAGAGTTGGCAATGATTTGATAATCATACCATGAATTGGCCTCTTAAAATGTTTCCAAATGTCTGTGACAGGAATCCAAGATGGGCCTGACTACCGCAGGAATTGTAGAAGCAGACAGAAGGTAACATGGTAAAAATAATTTTTGAATGATTTTTTAAATGAGATTTTTTTTTTTCCCTTAAATATCTGGCTTCTGTAAGGGTCAATTTGACGTTCTAGCTCCATGCATTGAATGTGTTTCTGAATCGCCTATAGTGAATATCATATTTAGGACATTTCTCTAAAAAAGTTGCAGTTACAAGGCACATTCGGAATCTGGTGAATAATGCAAAGCATTTTGGCAAAGATATGAATACATTTGCTGTTTTACACAGCTACTAAATTTTAAAGGGACCTTCCAAGCACCATAACCAATACAGACTATTCTGTTGCATCACCAATTTATGATCCATTATTTTTTAAACAGTTTGACAAATTGAGGCTCTCCCCCCTCCTCAGCTTTCTTTGTGAGAATAAAAATGTTTAAATGCCTATTCATCCAGCTAAAATACAGGGTGTGTTTTGAGGAGTCAATTATTATTATTATTTTTTTTCTTTCAATTAATGAACCAACTTCAGTGATATTACATACAATGAATGCTTAACATATGGAGATTTGTTTGACTAGGCACAGAAGATAACATCTTTTAAATGAGCTCCTTTGCTACCTCACAAGTCTGACTCTCTCTTGATTTTATGTTGTCCCTTTAAATTATCCACTCGCCAAACAGAGGTCTAAGTTTTGAAAATACATTTTACTATTTTTACTTGTCCCTTTGTGAAATTACCCATGAATCTCCCAAGGCTACGTTATAATATATACCTGTAACAAAAACGAAATAGCTACAAACAAACCAGTTATTTACCTGTCAAATCCTAGTCTGAATTTTGACCCACCCTGTAATTGTATGTGAGTAGATTGCCCTCATTACTATTATAGAGGCATGGGGTGGGGAAGGTGTTAAAAATGGTTCATAGCTTGCTAACTAGTGAACTAACCCCTGGCTGTTAAAAATGTATTCTTGAGAGGGAAAACCACAAAATATGGAACAGGAAGATTAAAAGCCCTTGGCTGACCACAGTATGAATAATTTGATAATTCCTTTATACATTTTATTATTTTTAAAATTGCAACAGACCTTAAGTTCAGTATTAAAGTGCCTATTACTTACATTACAATTTTTTAAATATAAAAGTTAAAGGACGACTAAGTGCACCCAAAGCAATTTGTTTTTACTGGGTGCAGTGGTCCTTTGGTTTTTAACCCTCAATTTAAAGCATTCGTGTTTAGTAGATACGACCATACTTGCATTGCAGGGTTAAATATGGGTTTTCACTTAAATGGCCATTGCAGGTACCTTTCTGGCTTTGTGTGTTTTGTACTTTGTGTTTTTTGTTTGTTTTTCTGTTTAATCTAAAAAAAAAAATATTTTTTAAATGTTTTTTTCTTTTTTTTTTTTAGAACAGCTAGGCTGGGAAAATTCACAAAATATTTTTTTATCACATTCTCTTTTTGTTATCTTTTGTACATAAAATTTGCAGAATATAAGATCAATGTCATGGCAGGTTAAAAAAGCTGATATGTTTTGCATGAAAAGTCCTCCCACTGTAAAGCGCTGCGGAATTTGTTGGCGCTATATAAATAACATAATAATAGTAAAAATATTAACTACTTGTATCTATAATTGTATATACAAAATATTATATATAAATGTTCACTTGCCTTTAAATTGATTTAATCTGTTACTTAAAGGGACACTATAGTCACCTGAACAACTTCAGCTCCCTGCAGCCTTTCTCATGTAAACACTGTATTTTCTGAGAAAATACAGTGTTTACATTGAAAGATAGGAACACCTCCAGTTGCAGTCACTCTGAGTGAACCAGAGGGACTTTGGAGTTGATGGAGGCATTATATGCCTCCCTCCACTCAGATCTGCTGTCAGCAGAGCATAGGGCAGCGCTGTGCACAGCATCCTGTGATTCAGTATCTCCTCCCTCTGCATGCAGACACTGAACTTTCCTCATAGAGATTCATTGATTCAGTTCATCTCTATGAGGAGATGCTGATTGGCCAGGGCTGTGTTTGAATCATGCTGGCTCTGCCCCTGATCTGCCTCCTTTGTCAGTCTCAGCCAATCCTATGGGGAAGCACTGTGATTGGATCAGGCTACCACATGTCAGCAGACTGCTTGTTTTTCCTGAGTCTAACAGCATGCAGATTTACAGCTTCTGGCTTGAATACAGTAAGATTTTTACCTATATTTATGGAGGCATGAGGGGCCCAGGGGGGCTAGATGGTGGTGTTAACACTATAGGGTCAGGAATACATGTTTGTGTTCCTGACCCTATAGTGATCCTTTCATTTATTCACTCTTTAGTTGTAGCACATACAACTGAGCATAACCCATTTTAATACATGTTTGTCATTGGAAAGATCTAGGTTAAATGCACCAATAAAATAAAACACAAGGTTTTCATAATTATATTCCTAAAATCTACCTATTCTGCAGGTAAGCTTATCCAGCCATTTTTGCCCAACACTCGGATTTGCTTCTTCCAGTGAAGCTTTGATTTAAAAAAAAACAATTCTAATTAAATCTAATCTGATGTATGAGGCTACTGCTCTATTTGCCAACACTAGCAAACCATTAACAGAACAGGAGATGCAAACTTCTAAAGTAAGCATACTCTGCAGATTAGATTCCAAATGAACATGTATTTTCAGATAGTGTACAGGGAAGCTGTGTGAATTACAGATGGGTGAAGTGTGATTAGGTCTACCCTAAATGGCAGAGAATTGAGCAGTGAGACTATAGGTGAATGATTTGTGCACCCAAACAACATAAGGGCAGAAGGTTTGATGGTTAGGCTAACCCATTAATGAGTTACGCATATCCATTATGACAGTCTTGTGAGATTTGCCACGTGACAGGATTTGGCTTTTAAATATGTTTTACAAAATCAGAGCAAATACTCTACATATGTGGAAAAATGTACTACTCTTTTGGATGTTTCAATGGACTATTTTGGAAACGGCATTCTATGATTCTTTGGTACAATTTTGGAAGGTTTATTGTAGGGATGCACCAAAATTTCAGCTGCCAAAATATTTGGCTGAAAATGGGCCTATCTAATTTCGGCCAAAAAAGGGTAAAATCTGCTGAAAATAGGGCTGAGTGACTTGTCAGGTCCTCGGTCCATGACTGAGGACCCGACATTTTGAGGGGGCCTGGCGGCTTGCCCTGTATGCAGCCGGGTGCAAGGCCCCTCTCGTCTTCCCGGGGAGAGAACCAGTACAGTCTGTAGCTCCGCCCGGTGTGAGCTGCAGACTGTGCTGTATCTCACGTCGCTGCAGGTTACCACGGCAATGCCCTGATTTCTGGATATCGCTAGATACAGCACAGTCTGCAGCTCACACCTGGCGTAGCTGCAGACTGGAGAGACAGACCACTGGACCACCAGAAAAAAAAAAAAAAGATATTTCTAACACCCTCAGTCACTGTCACCAGTCACTCCCTCCAGTCACCCTGTTACCCCCTCCCTCCTTCTGTCACCACGCTCTGCCACTAGGCACCCCCTCCCTTACTATGTCACCCCCTCACTCACTGCCACCCCTCACTCTGCCACCTGTCACTCCCTCACTCTGCCACCTGTCACCCCCTCCCACGCTCTGTCATCTGTCACCCCCTCATTCTGCCATCCCTATCCCACCCCACAATGTGTTCTACCAATACTACATCCCTTATCACCCCACACTATGTGCCCTACACCCCTATCACACCACACACTATGTGCCCTACACAAACTACATCCCTAGTCCACCCCACACGATGTGCCTTACACACTCTACATAACCTACAAACTACATCCCTATCCCACAACACACCATGTTCCCTACACACTACATCCCTTTCCCACACCTCATTATATTCCATACACACACTACATAATCTACACAAATCATTTGGGGGAAAAAGTCCAAGGGCATCCTGAAGCTTCGGCCCAAAATTTTCATTTTGGTTCATCCCTAGTTTATTGGAGTCTCCATTCATTTACTTGCAATCACACACACTGTTCATACCGTTTGTTCTGTTTGTTTCTGCTTCAAGCTGCAAAACCCATGATCAACCTGGCCACAAGTTGCTTCATTTATGAAAAGTCATGAAGGAAGGTAGTGGAAGTTGCAGACGATTATTGTATTAGCTTGCACGGTTATGTCTTGCTTAAGTAATTGTATTTGTTCACACATATTGCAGATGAATATGTGACACCATAGCAACAAAATAAAAAAATAAAAATATATAATTAGGAAAATACTGCCTTGTAATTATAAAACTTGTGCACAGTGGGGATATTTGGCTCAGCTGAACAATTTTTTTCCCGATGTCTTAAGTTTTTTATTCGATTCAGCTCAGCAGAATTTGGGTTCCCAAACGCCCAGTTTAGGAAGTGAATAGGATAGAAGAATGTGGAAAACAAAAACCCATTTGCGATACCATGTAATAAATACTTACATTCACAAGCCTGACTTTTCTTCTATTTCAGAATGACTGCTTACATTTTTCCATCACATACACTGCTCACATGTTTAAATTAGGGAATGTTGGGTTTGTTTGTATCCCAGAGTGGTTCTCTAATAGAAATAATGATTTGGACTGAAAGCACTTCTCTAGGTTCTAGGTCACAGGTAAACGACAAATGAAAATTTAGAAACTCACTGCTGGGTGTTATTCAGAACTTATTGCAGGTCCCTTTCTCAACTTCGGGATGATTTGACAGTATACAGATTCTCCATACATATTTTAACTTAAGTAGAGGGTTCTTGAGTCTCTCCAAATGTTTAATATTTCCACTGAAGCACATTCTTAACCATCGGGGAGAGCGTTCATCTCAGAAGGAGCAGCGTAGCTGAATACTCTAGAAGCAAATGTCCTTAAATGGACACCTGAGAAGTTGTGATTAACCTGCTGAGCGCAAGAAGAGGTTTAGGGGACCTAGAGGAGCTTTTAAATAACTGGGAGCTACATTAAATGTATTGGGTTATTGAGAAATGTATTTACTTTCTGTGCCTAAGAAACATTCTGTATGGAAATTTTTCAATGACTCAGTGAGGATGCTCTGTAGATGACTCATATGTTCATTGCGCAGGAAGTCTGTCTCTTTATATAATGGAGCCATAGCCAGCAAATGTTAACTCTCTGCATTCTGATACCTGCATCTCCAGATGTTTTAAAACTACAGCTCCCATGATGCCTTGTCATTCTAAAGACATGCAAAGCATCATAGGAGTTTTAGTTTTACAACAACTGGGGATCTACCTTTTGGGGCTCCCCTGGGGGGGAAATGATATTTTGTTATTAATATATTACCTCTTCCTTATTCAGTTTCACTGTCCCTGTCAAGTAATAAGTATTTTAGAGACTGCGGTGTTTACATTGTGGGGTTAAGTCCAGCTCAGCCACTAGAGACGCTTTGAGAACGGTTAAACCCCTTAAGTTCACAGTGCATTTAGATGAAGTTGTTATGGTGACCACAGTGTCCCCTTAATGATTATGCAAGGGGTTTACGACTGTCTTAATAAATTCTTACATCCTCCATTACTTTATTAACTGCATAAATATGTATGTACTGAATAAATGGATGTGTGCGTGCATTACTATAATTGGTAGATTCCCTCTGACAAGTCTTGATAACTTGGGATTGGAAGCAAAGACCCATTTTGGTGAATAGAATGGCAAAGCACTATAGCAGTGATTTATCAATGTGTCATGATGTGAAATGTAGTGGGAAGTTGTATAAAATGAGGAGTCACCAATGGAATGTACCTGCTAGTTTCCATGGTGATTATTCAACCTTTAGTGCTTTGTACCTTTTTTTTTTAAAACCATGACTTTATAAATCTCGAGCAGTATATTTATTGTCATGGCGCACAGTCTGTCAAACATTTCCAACTGTCCCTTGTTACACTGCATGGTTACAGTTACTAGTGCAGTCACTACTTGGAATTCTCTGACTTACAGGGCTACTCCGAGCATCCTAACCATCACACCCCACCCCACTAATGGGGCAAACTGTTTTGGAATGGTCCAGGTCTCCGGACCTGCTTTCTATGATGACATCTGGTTTCTGCAGAGCTTCTGGATCCATTTGGCCATTAATCAGCTGACCACTCTGAGCCAATGAATGCCCATCTGTGCATAGAAATTTGCATAGAATTCACAATAGCCAACCCCGAACTCTACTTCTGTACTGGGTATCAAACGCCAATGATGCTCCGGAAGCAAAGGCGTTAAATTCCACATACCAGTGTTTCAGAGTGAAATGCTGCACATACAGACTCCAGGCACCATGACCACTTCAAATCACTGACCTGGTGCTTGGAGTAACCCTTTAATTTCAAAACAAAATCCATGTGACATATTTAATTCCTTTGCATTCTCTGTCTGTATCATGAAAACTTTACTCATGTGGAACTGTCTTTCTTTAATCCTGATGTAATTTGAGACAACTGTGATCTCTGCTTTGTGCCACCCATTGTACGGGACTGGAGATTATTTTATTTGAAAAGCAGCGTCTTTGAATTATGTATCATTTACAATTCACACAACCCACAATTATTTCAGGTCACTTGATCATTATTTATTACTTAAAGGAATTTAAAGGAACACTATAGTGTCAAGAATGAACATGTGAATTTCTGACACTATAGGTTTTTAAATGCGTCACTTAGGTTTCCGGCCGTCTTCACCTTAATTAAAAAAGGTGACTTGCTCTGTGTAGGCCTCCTTTTGGCTGGCCCAGCCCATGCTCTGCCTTCTTGGCTGATATCCTCAAATTTGATTATCGCAGGCAATCCAATGCTTTGCAAAACACTGTGCTGGCCAGTGAATCAATGCATCTCTATGGGGAACGGTCAGCGCCTCCATGGAGAAAGTGGAGACACTGAATGTCAGTGCTGCACACTGTGCAGCACTGACACAGGAAGAACCTCCAGTGACCATCTGAGTGGTTGCCATTAGAAGTGTCCATAGGCAGTAATGTAAACACTGCCTTTCCTCTGAAGAACAGTGTTTATATTAAAAAGCCTGCAGGGACAGGCTATAGACTCCAGAACAACTACATTAGGCTGCAGTTGTTCTGGTGACTATAAAGTCCCTTTAAGTGACTGAAAAGTAATTTCTGTATGGGCCACTCACTTCGTGACCTGGCTCACTTACAGTTTACCCTTGCTCATGAACATGCATGGTTGGCTACAGTGGGCATTAATGTATACTTTTCTTTGCTCTTGCGTTACGGCTGTGTGACATGTCTAGGCCTCTCGTTCTTGCACCGTTCTTGTTTGAGTACGGCTGGACTGGGGTGTGGTGCCTGCTTCCTATAAAAGTGCACAGGCTGATATTCTCTTAACATCCTACAATAGTTTCCTGTTGTAACCAAGTGATGTGGCCTTATCTTGTGCCTGGCCTTGATAATGATTTCTACTTATTGTATTCCCTTTCAGTTAAGCTACATTGCATTCTCTGTTCCTGAAGATCACTGAGCCTGTCCTACCCTTACTACCTTGTTGGATTTTTTTGGGGTCTCTCACCTTTTTCTTAGAAAGGAACACTTGTTGGCTGCAAATTGTATTTCACTGATGCTTCTATACAATGTTTTAATATTCATTTTCTCACTGTGTATTATGGTCCCCATTTAAAATGCCAGCATCCTCTCTATATGAATTTGGTTCCTGCGGGTCCGTAGCCCCTATCTGGGTCCCTATCTATGACTTGCTAAGTAGCTACAGACATTCCATTGTGCACTGCAAACTAAAAGCTTCTATACACTGCCTGCTTTCTTTGACCATGTTAGGGTAGTTGCAACAAACTGACGAGGTTTAAACAGTTAACACAAAGTACAGGCAGTATGTTGGATGTCTCTGCTGATCACACTGCTGTATGGAGGATGGTGCATTGTGAGTCTTATACTGACAATCCAATGACATTATTTATTAAAGGGAGAAGTGATGGGATTTCAAAGTGACCTTTAAATAATTAGATAAAAAAATAGCCAAACAAAATGCATAGCTGACGTGGAGAATATTTCCAATTAAGTTGTTTTGTGCTTATATGTAAAATTTACTCTTAATTCCTTACAATTCTTACTTTGGTAAATACATCTTTAAGTTTTATTCCAACAGAAACTGGCAGATGTTAAAGGAGGGTAGGATTTTAACAGAAAAAAAAAGGTTCTAGGAAGATGACTAAGAGGGGAAAAAACATATTTTTTTCCCCTCTACGTCATCCTCCTAGAACCTTTTTTATTTTTTATTTAAAAAAAAAAAATACAAAATTTTAATTCACAAATAACAACAGCATTTCAAATGTAACATCCAATGGCTGTGGTTTTCAGGCCAGGGCCTAGACTTGTATCAAAGTGTTCACAACGTTTACATAAGAAAATGAAACAATATTTACATATTAATTTATATGTATTCCAGTGTGTCCAAATTTGCTGCATTGAATGCCAAGATGTATCTCTGAACATGTTTGTAAGCAGTATTTTTGGAAATCTTAATTTAACAGGCGCTACGGAATCTGGCACTATATAAATGGCAATAATAATAACAATAAACATCCCTTTTTTTCCTGTGGTGAGCATATTTTACCTTGGTACAATTTGCTGTGGTAATTAAGTTTTTGGTAAATAAACACAAGTCCAATAATTTAGATTATCATTACAAATCTGGAGCTGCCTGCATATTTATTCTACAATTTGCTCAGTTTACATATTTTTCTCAGTGTCCCAAATTTCTCCATTTAGCTTTGACAAATATGAGGAATAATTACCACAGGTATATGTAAACAACAAAAACGCCAAACAAAAAACAAGTTCCACCTTAAACACCAGAATGAAATCTCCTTTCTCAATGGAAACACAAAACCCAACTAATGTATTTATATCAATTTATTGTTTTTTCTTAGATTACAAACATGTTTAATTGGAATCTCCTGTTAACAAAACAAAACACACCCTCAATTTTATGATAGAATGAAATACCATTTCTCAATGGAACCCCCCATCCACCTCCCAACTAATGTACTAATAACAGTGCAGTGTTTCTCTATATTGTAAGCTTGCTTAACGAGACCCTCCGCCATTTGTTTCTGATAACTTATCATGTTTTGTTTTCTTTTTATCTGTGTATACCCATTGTACATGGCTACACAATATGTTGGTGCCTCATAGTTTATAATGATTGTATAACCGCTCCAAATATCAATTTTCATTAGATCTCAAATCACACACCATAGCCTGCTGCTCCCATAACTAAGAATTATTAGTTTGCATATGATAACTTCTTAAGAAATGGAGAATTTCATTTCTACAAGAACTTTTCTAATTCCTTTTAGCATCTTAGCAGTTCACAAACCGTATTACTGACTTTCGTAACTTGGTTACATGCTGTGTATCTGACCCTGACAACCCCATGCTATCTGTGAAGTAGCAGGCCTTGATAGAATCTTGCTAGTAGCTTAAACATCTGGCTCTGAAACCAAACAGATTAGCTGAATAAGGCCATTGTCACATTGTGTTCTTTAATTGGCTGAAATGTGTCATTAGCTACTTGTGTGTATGTCAGTGCTATGAAAATAAAAGGTGAAGAATAATAATTGCAACTAGCTAGACTTTTACAATATTTATATCTGTATGCAAGTGGTTTAATCATGACGCAGGGGGTGGAATAAAACTATATATTTGGGAATAATTTTTAGGCTTTTGGTCTGGAGGAGGAGTTCGTAGAATTTAAAAGAAAAGTAAATATCTAGGAAGTCACTTAATTCTAGTGGATGGCTTCTAATGTTTGGAAATTGCTCTGAATTATCTGAGAATCAGAAAGTTTGCCTTGATTAGAAACCAAACTTTAACAGAGTTTTTTTTACTAGAGTGATTTTTCAAATTAATTTAAAGGGAAAATAGCTGAACCGAAGAATTCTTTCGATCCACTATGCATTCAGATGGCTGGAAAAATGTGGCCTTAAATTTTAAATTCATTTTAAATTCATTTTGAAGTCTCACTTTATTAATGCTGCACTGTCACCATCTGGGGACATTGCAGAATTTGCATAGACCCCTCACTGTGACATCGCAGCTGGTAGACCAGAGGCAGAGGAGGGGCGGGGGAGGCAGGTAAAGGTGAGATTTACTTACCTGAAGTTGTCCTTTGTAGGCGTGACCATCTTCAGCACCAGGAGCCGACATAACTGCTTAACTTTCGTGCAAGACTACAGCATTGAGGTCTATGGAGGATCCTGCGAGACTGCGGGTTCTTCCATAGACAGAGCCAATAACCTACAGCCATAGCTGTATAGCTCAACCCAAGTATCTAATAAAGTCAACCTTACTTTGTATCTGTATATCTCTTGACTGGGTTGGAATTTTTAATTAAACCTTTAAATGTACCAAGCTAAATCTATGCTATTCAGCAAGGTAGGTACCACTAAGATAGAGGTGACTATAATAAGTTAACAAGGTTCTAAAATCCATGATGCTTTACTATACAAACCGTTGGCAAAGCATCATGGGACATGTAGTCTCCTTATATTTCCTAGCTACATTCCAGCTATTAAGTATTTCTCTCCTTGTTTGCATCTAAAATCATAACCCAACTTTCCTTATACCACAAGTCATTAGAAATTAAATAACTGTATTACTCATCAACTGTGCCTGCACACTGTTCCATGCATACACTACCTCTTCAATGGTGCTTGCATTCTGTAATTCAGATAGAGATATTTTCTTTTTTACAGCATATTTGAGCTGACTAATTTCCACCAAGGACACACCTTAATATTTCTCATGTTCCAGCAATCCATTCTGGTAGTGAAATGTAATTGCTGCTCCAGTTTAACTCTTTGTTAACACCAAAGCAAATCTTCCCCACTAGAATTCCATTAGAAGTGAAATGCAATACATAAAGTTGTGCAAACCTCACTTCTTCTTTCCCCATGACTTGTAACCTTGTGTCCCTCATTCCTTACCTTATTCTCAGTGTCTTCCATAGTGTAAGCCACTCAGTGATTATTTCCAGATGTGCACAGCAAATCCATAACCTCCCAGCAAAGTGTAGATCTTAAAGAGCCCCAGTGAGAGAATGGATGGTGATAATGATCCCTTGCTTGTCACAGGCTGCTCCTGTCTGATCAGAAGTGAACTGAATGTGTACACATTGTATTGTGCCTGCAGACAGTGAGGAATGCAATGGGTGTGAGTGACTGAGTGAGTGAATCAGAGCACTGTCAGCAGTCCTCACCAGCTCCACCCAGCTACAGAGCCTCCTCTCCTACCCCACTCCCTCTCTGTATTTAGGGTGGGCAGGGGAGGGTGTGTCAATCAAAGTGAAACTTTACATTCCTAAAGAGATTACATTATATCCAGGGAAAACCAGTGAAAAAACAATCATCTCCTTTTCCTTGAGTCTAAATATAGAGGTGACTTTCCCCATGGTTAGAATGGCCACTTGTGAAATTGAGACAGTTGTAAAGTAAATGTTGCTCTTTTTTAATGAATGGTAAAATAGACACAAGTTTATTTGAGGCTATAGAACTTTGCTTACCACTGATTCTAAACCTGTAGAACCTAAAATTGGGTACACATACTGAGTAGGCCATTAGTGGATAAACAGGTGCATTATTGGAAATGCTTCAAACTGTGTTGTGTTTTTTTTTTTTGCCTTCTTTTGGGTCAACCGCAAAAAACAAATGTGAGGAAGGCTGAACTTGATGGACGCAAGTCTCTTTTCAGCTTTTATAACTATGTAAATTATATTCTGCAGACCTCCAGGTAATAAGCCACCCCTCCTCCCCCAAACAAAAAACTGGTGTAATTCAGACCCAAGTTCTATGTGGCAGAGTCTAATAAAAGTGTTTTTGTATTATTTTAGTTTGTATTAATTGAATGTGTTATTGGTAGAATTGGTTGCCGAGCTAAATATACAGTTTAGCAATGGGTCATAAAGCGAAGGTCATTTTGCATTATGGGTAAGAATAAGATTAATCGCTGTTCTAGTGCATAGTTTGTTTTGTAAAGTTTTTAGTAGCTGCTATGTGAGAAATGTTCTATATAAGTGATGCTACGTAGTTTCATTGACGAGGCATGAACACAATGTGGGATGTTTATCAAGGTATTCTGAAAAGTGCTGGTTAAATTCTTTCATTGTTATGATCATATTTATTAAAGGGATTCTTTTTTTTTTTTTTTTTCATAGTAAATTCTGTTTTAATTTCCAAAGATGATCAAGTTTATACTAGTAGAAAAACTCTGACACTTTTCTGTCAAAAATATTTATAAATCTTTTGCAGGTGTGAAAAAATGGTACATATAAAAAAAAAAAAAGGTTTGGGCGCAAAAAATCCAACAAATGTAATACATTGTGCCAAAAATTAGCCTGAAAACTGTCGACGACACTTCAATAATTATATCTGAAAATTTTATTTTGCAACTAGAATGCTTGAAGTCCTTGTTCGTCACTTTAATGTTTATATTTCCCTATTGGGTAAACCTAAGAAGTTCTGCCATCAACAAAGGTTTTTGTATGATTCATGTTTTATTTAGATGTTAATTGTTGCTGCTGCAGTTGTTTTTTTTTTGTGTTTTTTTTTTTTAAATGTATTTATATTTTTAAACTTGTGTAGCTTGTTTTCCTTTGGGGTTTACTTGGATAAAGCCAAACCTTATTTAATGAGCTCCATTCTGTTGAGATTTTAGAGCCCCTCCTGTTGCAGCCCTTTACTTGAAGACTAGTCTTTCCTGGAAACTTTAAAGGGATCCTATAGTGCCAGGAAAACAAACTAGTGTTCCTGGCACTATAGGTTTAGTAGTGCTCCCCTCCCCCCTCCCTAGTGCCACCACCTCCCACGAGGCTGAAGGGGTTAAAATCCCTTCAGCCACTTACCTAAATCCAGTGCCGATGTCAATTGGCGCTGGGTCAGGCTCTGCCCACGCCCCTCCCCTGTCGACATCAGCCAGCTGGGGAGACCTAAAGGATTTGTGGCCATTGGGTTTGATACAAAAATGCTCACCAGTGCTTCATGTTTGCATGCAGTGTGCTTTTAGGGGTTTTACCCTCGAGTCTGGAGCCCTAAATTGGGACTATCTTGCTGGCTTTAGGACTCTTGTCATCTATGGGGCACAGGGACAGATGCTAATATGACATGTGCCTCGTCGGCACAAATGTTTTTGCATAATCACAGTAATGAAACTAAATTTCAATAACTTCCTAAAAAAAAAATTTTTTTTTCTCCTAAAACTAAATTCCACAATCTTTCACAATTTCCCCTAAATAACAGGCAGACGAATTAACAAAACTATCAACAAAGTTACCCCTTCCTTAGGGAGCACAAAAATGTCTATTTAAATCTCAGCTCCAGGGGACTCTTTTTACAAAACAATTTCACAGAGATTTTCTCTCTGTCAGACATCAGATTGCTGACTGGGAGACTTGCAACAGATAATCCTGGTGTTAACACATGCTGACTCATTATTTAAATCCTATACATCGTGCAGTCACTATGACTGACTGTCACATGACCAGTACAGCTCATCACTTGCTCCTTGTGTGGCTGCTAAGACATCAAGCATATTTTTTATATTTTTTTCTTTTTGGGCGGCGGAGGGGGGAGAATTCCTGTTTTGTCCATGTGTCCTTTACGGTTTGGGCGAATTTCGTTCATAGTTTTGGGGAAAACCTATTTGGATAAGCCAAAAATGTGCCTATTGGTGTACTGCAAAATATATACATAATATAAATATTAAGTATATAATTGCAATACACAAATAAGTGCTCTTTTTGGTTCATAATCAAGTAACCAATAAATGGAAAAATAGCAGGGGAAGTTGAAACACACCCACGCCCACACTACCACCACTCCTCCTCCTCGAGGGTCAATCAAGTTCTTCCATATAAAACTCATTAAACCATGTCTTTTTGGACCTTGCTCTGTGCACTGGGGCACAGTCAGGCTGGAACAGAAAAGGGCCTTCCCCAAATGTTTCCCATAAACTTGGAAGCATAGCATTGTCCAAAATGTCTTGCTTTGCGGAATTCTTATTTCCCCTCACTAAAGGAATGCTCCTTTTTATATTCTTGACATACTAAGGTTTGATGTGGTTCCTACCAGGCAAAACCACAAAGAGCTGAATAACATGCCAAATTACTCGGTGCTCTGGTATCTACAGACCCATGGAAGTTGACATATCCTCTTTGTCTCTCCCCCATAGACTGAAGAGTCAGGCAAGTTTGCAATATTGGCCTCTTTTTCTGGATGGGAGGTGGCATGCCAGTAAAGCTACTGCTTGCGTTTCACTTGTTCGCCCCATACCAGCCCCACTTCCTCCTCTACCAGCTTAATCATTTCCAAAGCAGGCAGGCAGGTGAAATGATATTAACCAATGGTCCAATCTACATGTCTGCCCAAGTTTAAATTACACCAGAGCTTTATAGATGGCAGTCTCTGACTCCTTACGAGTTGAAGGGTTGAAACACAGTAAATCTGATCTCTGTAAAACTCTCAATATAGGTAGATATGAGACACAATTATGATTAAAACAATGTACCTTTTGTTTCTGTTTGTTTGACTGGAACCCAGCTCAGCTGGCCTGTGTATTGTTCATCAGGAGAGATCGATCATATACCCTTCCTAAAATGGAGCCGGCTTTGATTTGCTTATCTCGTAAGTTCTCCTGCTTATAACGTGCAGCGTACCCTGGTGTGAAGAAAAATGGACAAATGATAAAATATTATGTGTAAACTTTTTATGTTTTAGGAATTTATTTAAATTGTGTGTGTGTGTGTGTGTGTGTGTGTGTGTGTGTGTTTTTATTTTTTTTAACACTCTAACTCATTGTGCAGGAGAAACCAAATGTAACCAGAAATACTTTAATTAATTGGTCATGCAGAAAAGGAGTCTGGCCTTTGTAACAATGCAAAGGGAAACAAAAACCTCAAACAAGTCTGACAGGTGCTATTGTTGCAGCCTTTACTGTCCCGTAGCATATGGTCACATTATGACAACTCCAAATACCATTGCTCATAGCTGGATATTTTTCATATAAGGGAGCAATACTGGGCTCAAGGTGACAGGACCACAAGGGTGAGGGGAAAGCACACCAACAGGACATGGGGGTAGGGTCAGTGAAGCATGGGCATACCTTGCCATTGCACTGTTGCAGGGAGGACCGCAAGGCATACAGGACAAAGGAGATAAATAGAACTGTGAGAGAGAACCAAATTTCACCCACTAGGAAATTATTTCCATGATGTTTATAAGGTCTTGAGGAAGTGACCTGTGTGGATCAGAGGTGAAAAAGAGACAAAAGCTGTCCGTAACTAGCTTGGCAAAAGGTTGAGAATCGAGTCAAATGCCTAAAGAGACCATGGGATGACTACGGGGGAATGCCTGATACAACCAAGTCAGACTGCAAGTGAAAGCTGCAGGAACAAGCTATGGAAGAGCTTTCTACAGCACAACCACTGGAACCAACAATACAATATAACATTTACTGTATTTTCTTTTTCAAAACTTTGTCTTTCAGACCTGCAAACTTTGGCACGTCTGATATCTGGACAGGGCATGGTGTACTGGGCCATAGCAGGGCTACTTGGTATATTGATGGCACATTATCTACAGATGGGCATATCTTAAATCAACAGATGGATTGTTCAGGTATCTGACCATCTTACTTGTAATAAACCAGTCCACAGCAACATCTATTGGCATACCAAAATCCCACATGAATTACTGGATTCAGTCCACATCAACCACCGCAACATCTATGGTTGAGTATGCTACTAGATACAGGAGTAAAATCGTTATGGCTATGCCCCCTAAAATAAGACCTTCTTCTCTAAATTCCATTACCATTATTCTGATTCCCTTAAAATTCTCGCTCTAATTCTCACCATAATTCTCCTAACCCTAAGTCTTGAGTCCTGTGGCTTGAAGGTGGATATGTGTCGCAGTCCAACACTCACAATATATATATATACAGTGTGGGACAAAACGGAGTAGCATTTTACAGGTAAATAACTTATTTGTTAGTAGTTAAAAAAAAAAAAATGGTTGCAGGTTGATCATGGGTAATTTCATGAAGGAGCAACGAGTAAAAATAGTGGAATTTTATCTACAAAATGTCAGGTCCTTTATTTTGATGCAAAGAGGAAAATCATCCTGAAATGTGGCCAACACTGTCTTTCCATTGCACTCTCTGGTCAGGGCTTAAGAAATCTCTCTGCCTTGTACCTATTTAACAAAATATTTAAAACCATGAAGAATTGCAGCGTTTTAACTGACAGGTGCCCCAGCTGTCCAGTATGTGCTTTGTTTTTGGTGAGACTCTCTGGCAATGTATTGCTTCGACTGTGAATGAAGATATTACTTTTTCCAACTCTTGGCATTGGTAACATTTGGGGGTTTACTACAAAACACTGTCTTTTTGTCTCACGAAACAGAACTCTATTGTGTGTTAAACACAGTGAGACAGATAGTTATGGGATTTGTTAAAGACCTTGTATAATACAGACTGCCTGTTTTATAGAAGAGGCTGTTTTACCATAGTTACAGCATGTTCTCTGTATCTATTTATATTACGCTTTTTTTTTTTTTTTTTCCTTTCGAAATCTAATTGAGTCTATAACGTGATTACATGAGTAGCTGAATGTTGGTTGCCAGTCATTTTATTGATATTTAGAGCTAGATGTACATCAAAGAAGGGAGTGTTACATTATTATAATTCACAAATCCAAAGGTGAACTGATTTTATGCATGCCAACAGAAGCCAGAGATGGTATTATTATACTCTTATACTTCAGCATTATCTATATTTTATATTACATGAATTGTATCTTTTTTTTTTTTTTTTTTTTGTTACAGGGTTATCCGCTAAAGTAAGAATTCAAGGTGAATTAAAATTAAATTTTCGCCAAACTGGAAAAATTCTGTCAGCTATGCTTTCAATTTGGTAACTCTGGCCTTAAATTTGAAATTCTTTTTGGAATTCACTTTAAATTCTCACTTTGATGAATAGCCCTTTGATGAATAGCCCTGAACCACAGCAACATCTATTGGCATACCAAAATCCCACATGAATTATTGGATTCAGTCCACCTCAACCACAGCAACATCTATGGTTGAGTATGCTACTAGATACAGGAGTAAAATCGTTATGGCTACACCCCCTAAAATAAGACCTTCTTCTCTAAATTCCATTACCATTATTCTGATTCCCTTAAAATTCTCACCATAAATCTCCTAACCCTAAGTCTTAAGTCCTTTGGCTTGAAGGTGGATATGTGTCGCAGTCCAACACTCACAATATATATATATATATATATATAGTGTGGGACAAAACGGAGTAGCATTTTACAGGTAAATAACTTATTTGTTAGTAGTTAAAAAAAAAAAAAACAAATGGTTGCAGGTTGATCATGGGTAATTTCATGAAGGAGCAACGAGTAAAAATAGTGGAATTTTATCTACAAAATGGCAGGTCCTTTATTTTGATGCAAAGAGGAAAATCATCCTAAAATGTGGTTATAACAGGAAGGGGCTACTGCCCATATGGCCAGGGCCAACGTAGACCTCCTGAGACAACTGTTCAGTGAGCAGACAATTTCAAGAAATTCTCCCATTAATTTGCCGCCACTTTCACCTGACCTTTCAGCTCCCGATTACTTTACTTCCTGTGGGGATATCTGAAGGAACATGTGTACGTGAACAAACCGCGTACGCTTGAGCAGCTCAAGGAGAATCTCCATGCAGAAATTCAAAATCAACTAATGTTATGAACAATGCAATCGAAAGAGCCCAACTTTGCGAGACTGCAAATTCCACTTATTTAAAGATATCATCCATTAAGCATTTATTGTAAGTAATATCATTGAAATTGGTTTGTTAATAAAAAAGGTTATTGACTCGTCAAACTCCAACGCATTTTTTTTTCTTTTGAAATCGAATTGAGTCTATAACGTGAGTACATGAGAAGCTAGGTTGGGTTCCTATAGTGCAGCCTCTGTGGTTTGAGCAAAAGTCGTGAGCAGCAGCTTGTATTTTGTTTAAATCATCCATTCGCACTTAAAGGGTAGCTATCATTTCCCAAGATTTTTAACACCATGTTTACTAATACCTACATTGTAACAAATATGAATTTGTGAGGTTTGGAAAAAAAAAATGAAATGTTTATTCCACACCTTTTTTACCCTTCAACTGGCACTAATCCCAAGCATGCTCCTTGCACCATATTCAATGCAAGGGACATGGCTTGTAATGCAGTGTCCCTTTAGGCACATAGTGACATCAGTGCAAAAAATGCCTAATAATTGTTATTGTGTGCATCGCATCTCAATCCAATAATAAAGTAAATAAAGATTAGTATATACAAGTCTGCTGCTATTATGATTTGTGTTTTGACAAAATATGCTTGTAATAAGCCTCCAGAATATAGTTCTGGAGAAACTATTACAAATTCCATTAATCGTGTAAACTCAGGATTGTGCATTTTAAGTTGGTAGGGTATTGGAGCTCTAAGAGTATTGTGCATGTGTTTGGAGCCTGCTTGTGGTATTGCGTGTGTGTAGAGTGAGCTGATTGTGGTGTGGTATTGTGTAATAAGGTTGGTTTTATTCATGTGTTTGTGGTGTAATGTGATGCATATGTGGCTAGGGGCTGTAGAGAATATGTGTGTGTGTGTGTGTGTGTTTATAGGGGATCCAGAGTGTGTGTGTGTGTGTATAGGGGATCCAGAGTGTGTATGTTAAGAGTGTAGTGTGTGTGTGTGTGTGTGTGTGTGTGTGTGTGTTTGTATGTGTGTGTGTGTGTGTGTGTGTGTGTGTGTATATGTGTATATATAATATATATATATATATATATTTGGAAGTATTGTGTGTTGGGGGGTGCTGTGTGTGAGATTGCTATGTGTGTGAGTGCTGTGTGTGGTGGGTGTGAGAGTGCTGTGTGTGATGGGTGTGAGAGTGCTGTATAAATGTTAGAATGGATTGTGTGTGTGTAGGGGGGAGGGGAGTTAAATAAATAAAATAGGCATTATGTTCCCCGCCCCCCCTCCCTTTTTACCTTTAGCCTGGGAGGGGGGGACCGGCATGGTGGTGACTGGGAGGCGGGGTGGCGGTGTTCCCTGGTGGTCCTCGTGGTGAGTGAGGGGAGATCTGTGACCTTCCCTGCCGGCCTCTGCCCATGGCCACCGCGGCCCACCGGGCATTTGCCCGGTGTGCCCGATGGCCAGTCCGGGCCTGGGCGGCAGCATTGTAACCTAGCTGTGTGATACAAAAAGTGAATACAAATACAAAAAGAGAAGTCCTGTGCTCACTCCCATCACTCCTGGGCGGCTGCAATGACTACAGTACACATCAGCTCCCATACATATAGTAACAACCAAAGAAAAAAGTTACCTGCGCTCTCTCCTTAATCCCTATGTATATTTAAACAGAGGTAATTTAGTTACTCCAATGGCCATTGGAAGGAATGCCCGCCTGCCAACGTCAAAGCAGACCCCCCCCCCCCCAGACGATTCCTACTCTGACCCTTCAGCCTGCTTCCTTGAGCCTCTGGCAAAATATCTCTGAGACTGGTATTTTTTATATACACCCCTATATATCAGGATTGATGGGAGTGAGCGCAGGACTTTACTTTTTGTATTTGTATTGCCTTTTTGTATCACACATCTTTGTTACAATGCTGCCGTCCATCCCATGTGTTCCCTATTAAGGGTTAACAAGTATATAGGGGTATATAACAAATACCCCTCTCTGTCTCATTAGAGATATTTTTGCCAGAAGCTCAAGGAAGCAGGCTGAAGGGTCAGTGTTAGGACCCGCTTAGGGGGGTCTGCCTTGACGTTAGCAGGCGGGCATTCCCTCCAATGGCCATTGGAGTAACTAAATGACCTCCATTTGTTTAAATATACATAGGGATTAAGGAGAGAGCGCAGGTAACTTTCTTTCCTTTTGGTTGTTACTATATGTATTGGCTGATGTGTACTGTAGTCATTGCAGCCGCCCAGGAGTGATGGGAGTGAGCGCAGGACTTTTCTTTTTGTATTTAGATTTATAAAGAAATCTATCTAATCGGCTGATCTTCCAAGTTCCACCTACATTCACACTGCTCTACAAACACCTGCCTTTCAAAAGCTTGTTACAAGCAATCCTTTGCTTACACAGAGGGTGGATACATATCTATATAAAT